CCTTTGAGACCAGTAGAGTTGTGTGCGGATAGCTTAGGCATCACATTAATGTCCATCTTTCTCAGTAGATGGTAAACTTTTTAACTATTTTGCATAATACTATATTCCTAATCAATCTACAGATACCCAGCACATGGTAGGACTTCCATAAACATTAACCAATGAACTCTTTACTGCTCACTCCCTAAAATCCAACATTTCCCACCTTGCCAAGAGCTAATCATTGAATCTGTTTCAAAACATCCAGTCAGCTATCTTGAAAGGGCAAGCCAATTAGCTCCTGTCTTGGTTGGTCCCTAATTCACTAATTTCTTCATTAGTTCCACAATTATGGTATAGCCAGACTTTTTTTAAACAAGTGTATAATGTTACTCATTAATGAGTTGTAAAATGAATTTAGTGACTTATGACTAGCATCCAAAAATAGAAAAGAGAAAAAAATAGGAAATTGCAGAATGCACTGTGCATAATACTCTCACGGTAGACACACAACATCTACATATATATGCATACATTATTTTTAACATGTATTTTTTTTAACGTGCTAACCTACCCTATCTTCAGAAGGTAAAAGCATCTCAGATGTTCCTCTTGTGGCAACTCTCGGCCTCCTCTCCAAAAAGCTTTGCAATTCTGTATGTTCATATTTCATTCTACCTTGGACTTCCAGAGTGTGAGATTGTAACTGGAGCACGGCCTTCCCAGACCGTCACGTGGTATCTTCATGCAGTCATGCCCAATAGCAGGAGCTCCCCAGCCTCTACACAAGCAGCTGGGTGAGGAGAAATCTGGAAGTCATCCCTGGGTTTGGACCCGCAGAACCTCCACCCCCTGCAACTCTCCAACCCACTTACTTTGATAGACTAAGTTGAGCTGGGGGAAGGACAGATGCAGTGCCCACCATCACCTAGCACGGGCCAGGCTGCCAAACAGCCACTCCTCTCGGCGCTGGCCTCCCCTCCAAAGCATTGCAGGCCAAGTGCCAGCTCATGAAACCTGGCCAGTTTGAAGTGACAAGCAAGTGAACCCAAAACTGTCGCTTTACACCTGGTGGTACGTCTCCTGCTGCCTGAGTTTTATATGGGGTCCATGTCCCTTTCCTCTAAAATCTGCATGTGCAAATTCATTTTTAAACTGCATTTTTTTTTTGACAGTTGATCTTAGAAGTATCTTTGCTGTGGGCAAGGGTGCTAGCACTGGTGGAGGGAGATATATGCCCTTGAAAATTGGATTCTTTTTTTTGGAAAACTGCTGACATAGGCTAATCAGCAGAGAACTAAATGACCCTACTGTTTCTACCTGCTGACAGGCTCAGCCTTGACATCAGCTCTCACCACGTGGCAGAGACAGGCCTAACTCTTTTTTTTTTTTTTTCCTTTCATACAAAGAGGGAGTAATTTTGTGCTTGCCAAGTAGTACAGCTCTGTAGTGTAGATAGCCAGTAAATACCACCACCCCCAACTTGGCAGGCACACCAGTGCTGACCTAAATAACTAGAGAATCTGGTAGTAGGTAACCTTCCTGATGCAGACTGGTTTAAAGTCCTTTCATCATTGGTGTTCTTTGGGAAACGCTAACAGGTCAACTCATGCAAGCTCAGAAAATGTATTGATCTAAAGATGAGCTGTCAGCCAGCCTAGTGTCCCGGCAGCCCAGGACACAAACCTTGCACTTCCTTACACTTTGCTGCTCACTCTCTTTCTGTGAGGAGGCTTTTAGAACCGTACCACCTTAGGGGAAGTGAGGATTTGCGTTTCAGTTCTGTTGTCCAAAGCTGTTATCTGTTGGAAAAGGAGGAATCCCTACCCATTTTGTAAGCACACAGCTGGCAGGAGCTGTTGCAATCTCACTGCCTTCCGATCAGCCCCACCCCAGCAGCAGGCAGTGTGGGCCCCCTACCCCCCCATGAATCACACTCTGGCCAAATGATTGTGGTGAGTTTCAAAATAAAAGATCCCCGCCTAAGCGCACCACTGTACTTCCTATCCCACAGAACCAGCATTGTGAGCTGTGCCACATCTCTATTCTAAATTTAGGCATTTTTTTTTTCCAGGCAAAGATTACTATGCAAACATTTAAGAGAAAAATTTTGCCCAAAGTAATTTTTTCCCTCAACTTCTATTTGGTTTTCTGCAATGTTTAGATGACTCATTCTCTTCCAGGAAATTTTAAAGAAAAGAGATGCAGGCTGTGTGATAGCACACAAAGCCTGCTCTGTAAATTCCCTGCCTAGAAACCCCTTGCCTTTTTATAGGGAACGGAAAGGCTGGAGAGTCTTCTTTGTGGTGTACTAGGCTCATCAGGTTTTGTTGTTCCCGGGAATAAATGTCTCCTTGTCTTTGGGTGGGGTTCCCCGTAGCTTCCCTGCTCTGACAAGCCCTCTGCAGCAGCAGTAACAGCACAGAAGTCCTTCCTGGGGCCCTGGGTCCTGCTTGCTCCCAAAGAGACACAGTTAAGGTTCCTGCAGTAGAGAATGGGTGGCCTCTTGTCCTCTGACAGGGGAGAGGCACTGCTGTTTCCTTCTCGCCTGTATCAGAATCGCTCCTGATTGCTCCTACACTTGAACTGGGCGGGCTTGCTCCCAGCCCAGCCTGCAGCCAGAGGGAGCGGCAAGTCAAAATCGCTTCTGCAGCCTGTTCAAATAAACATGGATAATAGTTGAGTCTGTCCTTTTCCAGCTAATCAGTGCATGAAAGGAAACATCTGCCTAGGCTAATTGCTGTTTTATTTAAGCCGTGGTAAGCAAGGAGTTTTCTTCTGTAACCTCTGCCATTTTAATATAAGGAGGCGGTAAGGGAGGATGGCGGGAGGGCAGAGGGAGCGGGACTACAGGTTCGAGGGCAGGGCCTTAGGAGCAATACTCGTGGTCACTTCCTGGGCCTGCTGCTGACTCTGGGGCTAGCTGGTGAGTCAGTTCACCTCAGTTCACCTCCTTGGGCCTCTGCTGCCTCCATGGAGTTCAGCTTTCCTGGAGATAGGAAGGAGGCGCTGGTTTGTGAGCCCTAGATAAAAGGTTTTCTCATTTGGGGCTTCATGCTGCTGTAACCATACGATTGGCAAGATACCCCCGAAGCCAGCCATTTCGTAGAGTCCCTGCCCGGAGGAGAATTTTCTCATTATCGTCTCCACGGAGTGAAGCCAACCAACCCTACATTGACGTGGCTGCTGTTTGAATCTAATAGGAACTCAGGAAGCCAGGCAAGAGATCCTGAAGAATCAGAATGGCAGATTAGGAATGTTTTAGCCAAGGACTTTCCTTTTATGGCAAGGAAAACAAAGACCCCAAGAGATTAACCAGGTTGTTCAAATTTATCTCCTTGATAATGGAGAAGCTGGGAAGAAGATACTCTTGTGATTGCTAATTCAGGGCTCTTTCCACTCCTCTCCCCACTGGGTGTAAAAATTCATGTCTACTTACTACATAGGTCACACCTGTGTTATAGTCCATAATGAGTTGCTTAGTAGAAAAATGAAAATGCCTGATAAAGATGTCAAACAAATACTGCTTCTCACTAGAATCAAAGGACTGCAAATTACAATAGGAAGTCATATCAAATTGTCAAAACAAAAAATGAAGTAGCATTTTTACGTGCTTCTGGTGTTATTTTAAATTAATACAGTGTTTCTCAAAGGCAATTTAATGGTATAAATGAGTAGTCCTTGACTCAGCAATGTTAGTTCTAGGAGAAAGTAATAAAAGGTGTGTGCATAGATTGTGTACAAAGTAATTTAATACAGCATGTTCTGTCATAAAAATTTGTAAGGAAGTAAATGTCTAAGAATAGGAACTACATCAACATAATGTATTATAATGTTATAGACGAACAATTCCTGGGGGAAATGTGCCAACATAACTTTAAGTGAATAAGTCACAAACTGTGTTAATGCAATCCCATTTTCATAAAAATCTTAGAAAATACATAACAAAAATTCCAGAGTGTCCATTTCAGACTGGTAACACTGAGTTACTCTTTTTTGAGGTTTTCCGCTGTTCTTTATTTACTATAGTAAACATGTATTCTTTTTGTAATCAGAAAAAAAGATTAAAGTCATCTATGTTGAAAAGCATCTTAAATTATTATGTTTCTGACATGCAAGATCTCTTCCTTTCTTTGCCTGGAAGTGAGTTGTGCCAGTAGGTCAGATTATACCTTCTGTTACAAGGCACCCTTGATATCAGACTTTTAGTAGGAAAGAGGTAGAAGAAACTGGCACAAGATGAAGGAAAGCTTCCCCTCACAGTGACCTAGTGATGCCAGTTTTATCCCCTTTTCTTTGGACTTGGCATAAAACACTTAATATACAAGGCGTATATTATTTCCTTCCTGCTTTCTCATCCTTCTCTGTTTCTGCTGTTCTCTCTGTGTACTTAGAAACCTGTGGCAGCAGCAGAGAACCTGAGGTCACTGCTTAGAACTAACCAGTTGGAGTTAACTAACCCTTAGCATGTCCTATGAGAATTGAGTTCAACTAATCTTGTAACCAGTCATTGAGGTGTCACTGCCCAGGGAGCTAGGAGTAGAAGACAACAAAGAGGTGTAGCTTCTTCCTGCTCAGAGCTACTTTGAAGGCCTTGGATGTGTATGTATTTCTTCCTTTCTCATCCTGTCTCACATCTTATTTTCTTCTACAATGCTCTGGAATGCTTGACTACGAATGTTCAAAAATGTTAGATCCACCTAACAACAGTTGCTAAGTAGGATGTGGCTTTCAGGCCTACTCTTCAGGGACCAGTTGAGAAGTCAGAGGCTGCAACCCACTTTCCCTTCACATGATTGTCCCTGCTAGGTTGTAGAAGGGGCACATTTCATTTTATTAAAACTCTTTGAGTAATCTGACAATAATTGAGTCTGATAGGAATGCTTATCTGATTTGCTGATTTAAATAACAGGCCTTAATTGAGTCTGTGTTGTTTGTAGAACCAGTGCTCTTCTTGTTTTTATCGCCCCCTTCCCCCTCCTTCTGTTTCCCAATTAACCTTCATTCCTCTTTCCTTCCAGAGTAAAGAAGTTGGCCAGCAGCTCCAAGATGATTTGATGAAGGTCCTGAATGAACTCTACTCGGTAAATCAGCTGGGTTCTTGGCTCTCTAATAGCAGAGGGAAGCAGCCGCTTGTGGTCACAGTCACGTCAGCAACAGAACTGAGCTGAAGTTGAAGACAGTGCATGGTGTCCCCACTGGGGGTACTCCACCCATCTCTTTTTTTCACATTCTTATTTTCAAATCTGAATGAGTAAAAAAACAGTCAAAATAAGATCCCTGCTCAGCTGTGCAAGCTAACCCTGGCTCCATTTGGGGTATAGCCACTAGAGACCAATCAAGGTCTAGGTTATCAGCATACCTGACCTCCATTGGCAGCAGACTAGGGACCCCGAACCTAATGGGCAGGGAACAGAGCCTGAATTGCACCATGAATGACTAGGTGCCTATTGGGAAGGATTTATTTGTTCAATGTTTTGCATCAGATCTTAGACTAATCTACCAGTTTGAGTTAGAGTAGGTGCTCTGGAGGGAAACCCAGGGCCCTAGATACCCACGATATGAGAGACCAGTCCAGGCAGAGAGCGTAGCATCAACTGCCGGGGCTTTCTAAAGGCCAGACCTCAGTGAAGAGGCAGACCTTGGGCCTGGAGAAGGAAACACAGTCAGTTCTGAAATGGTTGGCGCTGCGGGCATGTGACGCCTGTGACCAGTGCGTTTGCTCATGCACTCAGGGGCGGCGGCAGTTGTTTTTCCCCCAGCCGTGTTTCATTAATTATAATTAAAACAGTTGCACACTAAGAAAATTCTAGTGCCATTGAGGGAATATTTCAATTGTGCAGCTGAAGGCTTTTAAGGCCTCTTCTCCACATCGGCTGTGCCAGCCTGTGTCCTTCTCCAGGATCGCCTTGTCCTGTTTTGAAGGTTGTAGCAGCAGGAAGGACACAGAGCAGGATCTCTGTGATCCTAGCAGACGGGTAAAGGAGGAGTCCTGGAATCCTCAGTGGCTTTTTCAGGCTTTTATTGAGTTTACCAGATACACGGCAGGCAGGGGGGTCGGGAGGCTCGTGGCCTCTGCTACTCTGCTGGTTCTCATTCTGGTGTGTCTTTCCCTCTGCTGGCATCCCGTGTCGCCGCCCTTATAAGCCCAGTCTCAGCCCAGGTGTACCCACCTACACAGGCCCACACCCCACTCCAGGTGCCCGCCATCAGGCATGCATTCAGGTCCGTAGAGATCCATCATTTAATCCTAATGGCGGGAGGGCAGAAAAGCCTGACCATCATTTATCCGACGAAGATGAAATTGATTTTCTTTGTTCTCTAGCTTTTTCACTGCCCTTTGTCCCTTCCATCCTTCCGTCCTCCCTCCTTCCCTCCCTTCTTTTCTTCTTTCCTTACTTCCTTCCTCCCTCCTTCCTTTCTCTTTGTCCCTCCTTCCTTCTTTCCTCTTTTACTTCCTTCCTTCCCTCCTCCCTCCCTCCCTTCCTTATTTCCTTCCTTCCTTCCTTCTCTCAGGAAGACAGTAGTGGTGACATATTATAGGCATTTGAGATCAGGGAATTCCATGTTCTTTATCCAAAAGCCTAGGTGTGGCTGGTTTGTCATGGCAACAGTTAAGCAAGTAAATTGTGCAGAATCGTCATCAGACTTGTCTCTAGTGCCTCTCAGTTTGTTTGGCATTTCTGCTCTGTGACTCTCCTGCTCCGAAGCCAAGTAGATAAATGGTACCCTTTGGTTCAGTTCCCGAGTTTTCATTTCTCTCCAATGAAGCTAAGGCTTTTTAAAAATAGAAGCATGTTGATGTGAACCATTTGCAGACAGGATGAGTTCCCTGAACTCCTTGTCTTTTTAATGCTTTACTTATATGCTTGATTTTCAGAGCATCTTCTAGACACCAAGAAATGCTATTTCTCCTTTCTCCTGATAGAATTCACTGAGACAGAAAATGAGACCTGTAGTTGATACATGAAGCCTTTTATTTTCCAATATGCATCTTGGGCCTCTGCTATTTGCCATGTCTGTTGCTGGATAACGGCCACACCAAACCAACTAAAATCTACCCTCAGGGCCTCCCCTCGTGGTGCAGGCGGTTGAGTGCCACGCTGTAAAGCTGTCCACAGCCTCTGCAGTGCCTGTTCGATCCCCGCTGGCCTCGGAGCAACCCACATGGCAAGCAGACCTCTCATGTCTCGCCCACTGCTCCCCCCAGCAGTGTATTTCGTCAGTCTGCCTGTTCTGTTCCCTGCTCTGTCTCTGGTAAATCCTCTCACCCTCCCACGCATCTGGCCTGTACCCTGGTTCTTGCATAAATAAATAAATAAATAAATAAATATTTTAAAAATATATAAAATAAAATCTACCCTGATGCCCCTGCTGTGGGGCTGCATGCAGCAGAGGAAGAACAGTGTCGGGGATCTGTTTGCATTCTCAGAGGCCCAGATCTCACAATGTGCTTTAATTTAAAAAAAATAAAATAAAAAGTAAATGAAAGTGTTCAGTTTGTGCTGGAGTGTGGAAGAATCCCCGAAACTTGCTGCTCTACTCTTCCGAAAGCTGCAGTGGTCAGGCCTCTGTGAGGCCACGGTTACCACAGAGCGTGGATCCTTCTCACACTGAGAACTGGCTGAACAGGGTGTCACCTACCTTGAGGTGACTTGGTGTACATTTTTATAGTTTGTCTAAGGCTAAAAGAAAACTTTGATGTTTTCCTCTAGTAGACAATGGGAAGAAATAAAAGAGGACACTGGAAAGTTCCAGAGAAGGCTGAGTATTCTGGTGTAGTGACCCCAGCAAGGTGATTTTTCCCTCAAGGGGATATTTGGCAATGACTGCGGACATGGTTTGAATAGTGGGGTGAGGGGTACTAGAGGCAAGGATGTGACTAAAACCCTAGGACGCACAGAACAACTCCCTCCATCCCTACAACAAGAATTATCTGACCCAAAATGTCAATATGATGAAACCTGAAAAACTCTTGGCTCAGAGACTGGAGTCCCCTGAATTGGCACCTCAGGTTGGTCTGCCTCTAGCTAAATGACCTTTTCAAATGTCCCTAACCTCTGTGCCCCAGGCTCCCCCACATTCCATGTGCTAGTACCCTCCCCACCCTGTCCTCCCCAGCTCTTCCCCCCCTTCCCTCCCCTCCTTCTATCTCTCTATCTCTTGGAGGAGTTAGAACAAGGGAGGGCTCCTTGCAAGGAGCTGTCCCTTTTTTGCTCTTTGAGAGGGCAGGAGAAGCCTTTCATTTCACTGATCCTGTAGGCAAAGGGATAAAGGAAATAAGAGATTTAGATATTCAATGCTCCTTTTTTACTTTGCATCTGTTCCTAATGCCTATGGATACTTCCTTTGGGGACACTGATTACCCAGGTTGATAATTCAAGTATTTTTTGATGATCCAGAGTGCGGGGCCCTAGTGTTCCCAAATAAAGATTACTTTGGGCAAGAGGCCCGGATTCCCACCATAAGTGGCCAGCTGCCTCTCTGCACCTTCCTCTTTTCTGCCTGTAGGGCTTTGATGTCCCTGACTGGCATTCCAGAGGCCATGTCCCATACTGCTGTTCAGAGGGCAGTCCTGGCCAGCCCTCTTCTTGAAGTGCATTTTAACTCCGCGGAGAGATCTGGCTGGTGTGTAGACCACTGCAGTAGTGATTTCATTTTCTGACTGACTGTCCAAGAATGCCTTTGAAGTCAGAGCACACTTCCCAGAGAGCCCCAGTGTTCTCTGCCTCAATTGTACTGGGAGGATGTATCTGGAAGCCTGGCAAGGCAGGAGTTTATGTAGGGGTGCTGCACCCACATGGGTTGGCTGAGTCTGAAGAGTCAGTGCAGCCCTAGAATTGAGATAGAAGTAAGAGGTGTTGGGATAGGAGCTGTTGTTTCTCAAGAGGTTTTCTGCTTTTGTACCCCATAAATATATGTCCCCCTGGCGTGGTGCAGCAGCTGTCTGCTTGCTGAGTATCTTCAGACTGGTATTTAGCACCTGTTCTTTCGAAACAATGTCAGTTAATAGTCCCTCAATTCTACTTGCCCATTTGTCTCTAGCACTAAGCACCAGAGACAGAAAGATAAAAGTGGTCCCAAACTCAAGGCACTTAGTTTTAATAGAAGAGACAGAAAGATAAAGTAACAAGTAAAATGTGAGATGATAAGAATCCTTATGTCTCCACAAAGGAGGGGCATGAAGTCAGGCTCTTTGGAGAGAGATTTGAATTGAATCTTAACTGCCAAGTTCATGTTCCTTTTTTGTTACACCCTGCTCTTATTTCAGGCTGTCTTTTCATTTCCCACGATCACTCTAGAGGTATCGTTCATAGATCACTTACGAAGTCCTTTTTTTCTTTCTGTGTATTTTGTTTCCTCAAAATGATTCATTTAGGCCTTGATCTTTCCTATTAGCTATTTTCTTCAAATATCTGGGAATCTTAAGCTATGTGCTCATATTTTAAAGCAAAGCACTGAAGAGCTGAAGGTTCTGTGTCAACTATGACCTCCACTGTAAGGTGATCTGACTGGGCTGTGGAAAGCCCAATATCAGTATTTCTTGGTTTTTCACCTTGGGTGTTCAGATTCCCCAGAAAAGCCCATCTAATCTCCCACATTCAAATGAAAAGAGACAAAATGCAATCTACCCTTCCTCAGCTGAGGTAACAATTGCCTCTTTCTTACTTCTTAGTCAACCTGGAAACCTGGAGGGTTGTTTGAATTACTTAAGGTTTTTTAACACTGTCAGTTGTTCAGTATCACTACTTCTTTGTAGACAGTCTACAGAGTATATAATTGGAGTAGATCCTATACTTGTGGATATGATGTCCAGTTCAGAATAAGATGAAATTGATATTCTATATCCATAGCAAGACACTATTTAAACTCTGGTGTACTTTGATTTTGTCAGTGCCATAGTATTCTTAATCCTCCCTCCCTCTCTGGCTGACCCTGAGGGAGTTGTGGCCCTGCGGCCCCCTCTCACTGGAATGCCTCGCCTCAGCACCATTGATATTTGGGGCAATGTTGCGGGACTGTCCTGTGCATAGGGCATTTAGCAGCACCCCTGGTTTCTACCCACTAGATTCTAGTAGCAGTCCCCAACTTGTGATGATCAAAATGTCTTCAGAATTTGCCAGATATCCCCTGGGGGCCACATTAATCCCCAGTCAAGATCACTGCCCTAGACCCAATCCATAAAAGAAGTTCATTTCTCTAAGCTTTTCTTACTTCTTTCCTCCCAACCAGAAGCCCTCTGGTCCTATGCAGAGGAGAGACATTGTTCATAGTAGCAAAGAGTCTGGACTATGGAGTTTGAAAAACCTGAGTTTGAATCCTGACTCTGACATTTGCTAGCTCTGTGACCTTGGGTGGACAGTTTCCTCTTCTTTAAAAGTGAAAATAACATGTCTTTCATAAAGATGTTGCAAAGCTAAGTGAGGTGACTTACCTTAAGCTCTGACACACAGAGTGTACTAAGTAAGTAGTTGGGATTATTATTAATATTATGATCTTACTCTTCTCTGGTGTTCAGAGAACAATGCACACGCGCACACTCACAGACATGCACACCCACCCTCAACTCCTGTACTCTCTAATTCTCCCACTGAAAGAAATCTCATGGCATCAAAATGTTACCACTCTTGACCTTTAGCTTGCTTGGTTTGTTATCAAGCAGTTTTAATTCCCAGATAGGAACTAGAGACTCCCTGTGTAGAAAGCAGAAAGCTCCAGCAAGGAAGAGCAGGCACCTCGTGGCTGGAAATGGTATATCTGGGAGGACTGGAAGCAAATGCAAGATCCAGACTTCCTGGCCTCATTAAGAAAAGGGATTGGACTCCCAGAGAGCTGCTTTGATGGGAAATTTGAAAATTGCATCCCTCTCTTTTTATGCTGCGTCCTGTGGCCACTCCAGTTTCACTTGATGTGAATTTTATGCCTTCGCAGGCTCTTACCTGAGTAGATGTGTGCATTTATAATCTTCCTAGGGTTGTTGTCTAGATCACAGGATTCTTGAGGATGAAAGGAGAACCCACCCGTGTAGCGCTAGGCGTGAAGGCTGGGTGGGGTCTGCTCTGCGCTCAGTGAATGGTGCTGCTCCATTCCTGCTGCTGTGAGACAGGGTATTTGATCTGGATAAAGGGGACCAGAGCCCCAGAATGCTAGGCCTGTAGGAAGAAATTCCTCTTCCCCATTTTAAGCCTGAAAGATCCAAAAAGTATGAGATACTCCACAGCCATGCTGCCCTCTTCAAGGTTCCTACCCACAAAGGTGGGCTTTGATCCTGGGGTCTGGGTGGTGGTGGTATTGCCTATTGACTTGGCATTGTAAGAGGACTAAGCATAGAGATTACGTGGCCATTGGGGCCTCGCTGGTGGCATAGGTGTTGAGACTCAGTGCTATCACCATGATGGCCTGACTTCAATCCCCGGCCAGGGAGCTGACCCACATGTCACAGCAGACCTCTCCTGTATTGCCCGCTGCTCCCCTCAACAGTGTAGTTCTTCTACACACCTACACACACACACACACACACACATACCCCCAAAAAAACAACAAATATTTAAGGCATGAAATGTTTTAATAGATTAGGCTTGTTGACTCAAGTTCAACTACTGTTTTGTGCTTTGGCATGATCTCTAATATATAAAGTTTGCAGAACCAAACACAAATTTTTCTTATGGATATGAGGAAATTGCTCCATGAGAGAGAGGTCCAACTGAGTCTGTTTGTCTGTAAAGTTGAGAACTGACTCCATTTGCTTGACCTCTGGGGTGGGGACGGGTATCTTGCAGGTCATGAAGACATATCACATGTACAATGCCGACAGCATCAGTGCTCAGAGTAAGCTGAAGGAGGCAGAAAAGCAGGAAGAGAAGCAAATAGGCAAATCGGTGAAGCAGGAGGACCGGCAGACCCCACGCTCCCCCGACTCCACATCTAATGTCCGCATTGAGGAGAAGCATGTCCGGAGGAGCTCAGTGAAGAAGATTGAGAAGATGAAGGAGAAGGTGCGTATGTTCCTGTAACTGTGGAGGATGGGGAGGAATGTTCTGGAAGTCGGGACTGACAGGAATTGCCCCGTGAGCACCAGGAAGCGCAGAATAGGAAGCTCTGGGTTCCTTTAGTATCTAGGGACTGAAAGTGAGTCCTCGCTCTCTGCCCTGGAAGAAATCTTCAGTGTTGGAAGAACTTGGGCATGTGGGCTCCGAATTTTTCACTTGTAGCAGATAAACAGGTAACAGTAGTCACCTTTTCAAACCTGGGAGGGGACCGGAGGCCTACGGTTTGCTATCAGATGTCAGGCATTCAGGGTCAGATATAGTGACACCTCCTCCAGGGCGGTGGTGAGGGAGAGAGAATGGTGTTTGCAGATAGAACCAAACTGGGGCACGCATCTAAAGTAGGGAGCCTCATTAACCTTCCCTGGATTGATCTACATTATACCCGTGAATCTCATTAAACAGAATTAGAACCCAATTTAGGGCAGACACGCACAGGGAGTAGCAGCACAATTGTGGTTATCGAATGTACTGTACTTTCATCTTTTAGAGAACAATCTTCCTCTTTAAAAAAAAAGTAAAATTGAACTTCTGTTCCCTTTTCAGCGCCAAGCGAAGTACACAGAGAATAAACTGAAGGCTATTAAAGCCCGGAATGAGTACTTGCTGGCTTTGGAGGCAACCAATGCATCTGTCTTCAAGTACTATATCCACGACCTGTCTGACCTTATTGATGTAAGTGCTTAAAGCTAGGGGCCCAGGGGCTCCTCTGTCCTGGTTTCGGAACCTTGGTCAGGTGATCCCCAGTTCTGTTGTTCAGGCCTGTTGGAGTGTTTAAAGAACAGTTATGAAGATAGTGATCCTTCAAGGGCTCAGTGGGCACCAGGGGAAGCACCTCACACTTTTTCTCATTCAGTCTTCACTAGAATCCAGGCAGGAAGTAAGTCTTTATCATCTCCACTTTTGCAGTTAAAAATTTAGAGAGTTTAGATGACTTACCTGAGGTCAGCTAATCAGTGACAGGGGCAAAATGTACACTGTGGTCTGATTACCAAACCCTTGCATGCTCTTCTCTCTCCCGGGAAATGTTCCCTTAGATCCATGATTTGTGCACAGAAGTGAGGGCAAAAGCTAAAGACTTAGGATGCCACCTCTCACTAAAATTTATGTAGCGTTTAATATTTTCCCATATGATCTCAATTGACTGTCACAGCAACCTTTTGGGTCAGTATTGCGCTCTCCAATTTGTAGATAAGGAATCTAGGGGTCAAGAGGGTTAAGAAACTTACCCTGTGTAAAGTCACATTGCAGATTAAGGCCTGGTCAGGAGGTGTCCCCATGCCCGACACCTGCCCTGTTCTCTTTGATACATGGTGCGAAGCATGTGTTCTGCACGGGGTGTGCACCAGGGATAAGCTTTTTATCCTTGGTCTATGGATCCGCCTTGACTTTCTTTCTCTTGTTGCTTCCCCTCAAACTTTGTATTTGAATTTTAAAGCTCACCTGTAGAAGCCAGTCTGGCCCAGTGCTGACGGACACACTGAAGTCTGCCCTTTCTCACCTTTCCTTGCTGTCAACAGAGTGAGGTACCAGCTGACTTTAGCATCAGCCCCCAGGGCTTCAGGAATCTGTGTTTTAAAACCATCCTGGCTAGACTCCTGCTGTGGGCCGACACTTGCTTCTGGCTGCCAGTCGGCAGGCTCTGCAGGTTCGGAACAGACCTGGCACACTTGCCTTGGTTTCTCCAAGAACCAACCGACCACACTTCACAACATCATGTGGGCTTTTGGTCTAAGGTCACTGTTGGAACAGACTGGGACATCTGGGGCTTGTCCCTGAACCATTTTGCAAATCTGCTTTGTCTTGCCCCCTCCCTGCTCCCTCTTTGGCAACCGATGAATCGGTGCTTAAATCCAGCCTCCCATCAGAGTTACTTGGGGGTTACTTGTATTTTTTTAAAATACAGGGGCCTGTCTCCTTCAGCCAGGAATTTTTGATTCAGAAGGTTTCGTCCCCTGAATGCCCTGCATGCCATCATTTCACTGGGTAAGCGGAGCCCCGATCCCTGTTCAGGCTCCTCTTTGTTCTCTCTGCTTGTTGATGCCAATCTGAACACTGGCCCTCAGTGGAGGTCAGAGCCCTAAACAGGATCCTTCCTCCTCCTTCGGGGAGCAGTGGCTTGCTCCTGGGAAAGGGGCCTGTTCTCAGCGTGAGGAGGAAAATCGCTTCTTTCTTAGGCTCGATTTCTGTGACTTCTCGCACATTAGGTGATAAATCTGGCTGTGCAGTCCGCCGGCTCTTCTGCTGGCATGTACTTTCTCTTACTTTTGCTCCAAGGGCAACTTTTCTACCTTTTCACCAAAATGCTGTTGTCAGGGGAACAGCGGGGCCACTACTCTGTCAGTCACAGCTCTTGCAGTCCATGCCCCTCCATCAGATGAGAGGAGGTGTTTTAAAATCATCCAAGAAGAAAGCTATTTGTGCACCTTTAAAATCTCAGCATTAAAAAAAAAAAGGTATGTTCAGAGCCTTCACTCACAGGACTCGGTGGGAAGTGCCACAAAGAGGAAGCAGCCTCCTCAGCGCTTTGCCAGGTTGGGGTCAGGTCCTGCGAGCAAGTCCAGGCTGGGAGCTGGCCACATGGGTGGTAAAGCCGCTCTTGTTTTATTTTGTTTGTTTGTTTTTCTTTTTCCTGAGGTAAGGGCAGATTACTCCTTTTTTTAAAAAAAAGCTGACATTCTGCTTTATAAATTTTTAATAAATATTTATTGGGAATGAGGCTCTGTACTCAGCATCAGGGATACAAAAGGAATAAAATAGTTTTTGACCTAGACACAAACAGATCATTTCTGTCTAACCAGCTAACTGCAGCACTAGAGGGGAGATGGGGGGCCCTAGGACAGTGTTTCTTATTATGTAGGTCAAGATCCATTACAGGAGGGGGGCCTCCCTGGTGGCTAAGGGTTAAGTCTCAGTACTATCAAGCTAGCCCCAGCCACTGAAGCACAAGTCCGATCCCCAGTCAGGGAGCTAACACACATGGCACAGCAGACCTCGCCTGTCTTGCCCGCTGCTCCCCTCAGCAGTGTATTTCAGTAGGTCCGCCTGTTCTGCTCCCCACTCTGTCTGTGGTGAATCCACTTACCCCCTGAACCTCTGGCCTATACCCCATTTTTTGTATGCATAAATAAATAAAAGAAAATCTTTAAAAAAAAAGATCCATTACAGGAGTCATGAAATAGTTTTTATGACTATAATTTCCCCCACCCCAACCATATGACTATAATTTTTTTAATGAATAAACTAAACTAAATTAGGAGACAGTAGGAGTAATAATATTAGGACACGTAATACCTAAGCTAAGTCTTATTTGTGAAGCTGTTGTTTACTATGTGTGTATGTTTAGGTACCCATGGGGGGGGGGGTTTGTGTGAATATATGGTATATTTCTTAGTGTGAGTTGGAGATCAAAAAAATAAGTTTGAGAGCCACTATTTGAAGAACAGAGAAAGGTCTTTTAGCATCTTTTGTAAGCACAACGAGGGGCAGGAGCCAAATCTCTTTCCCTTAGTACATACACAGTGCTTCCTGCACAGCTGAGCACATAGTATATTTGTTGTAGAAGGAAAAGAAGAGGAGGAATATGATTTCCTAAGCCAACATATTTTTCTTTTGTGTGCCTTTTAAGTCTTTTTCAACTGGGATATAATTTACATACAATGACTGAAGTCAAGTGTTGCAGTTTCAAAAGTTTTGATAAATTGTACACCTCGTAAATGTGCATCCCTATCAAGATTCGAATCGCTCCATTGCCTTGGAAAACTCTTCTAGTCAATATCCTACCCCAGGGCAATCTCTTTTATGACTTCTTTCACCATAAATTAACTCTACCTGTTGTAAACTTCACAAAGATAGGATTATACAATATACACTTTTTTGTTGTGTATCTGCTTTCTTTTGCCCAGCATATTGTTTTTTGAGCTTCATCCATGTATTGATATATCCAGAGGTTCTTTTTCCTGCTGATCTGTAGCATAAAAATGGCCACACGCTGTTCTGGCAGTGAACCAAGCAAGAGCAGGAGTGAGTGGGAGCCAGGATACTTTGGCATTCTGATCCTGACGGTATCCAGAACTTGTTTTAAGACATGGAATGAGTCTTGTTCCAGTCTATTGCCATCTGTGTTTTGTGCACCATTCTGCCTCCTTCCTAGCAGCACTAAAGCTCAGTGTGTGCTGAAGGCATTGAGGACACATGAAAATAAGTTATTCTTGTCCATGTCAGTACATTGACACACAGACTATTTGACTAATTTTTATATTATAGCTTGAGATTTGAACTCAGACTGCAGAGAGTCCATGTGAGGCATCTGACACATGCTAGGAAACCTCAACTTGAGGCCAGAAAGACACTTTGAGCTAACTTGTTAGTGTCTAAGAACTGTAGGCACTCTGGAATGTGGTTTCCTCCCCCATACTCCTGTGGCTCTCTCAACCCAGGAGCAGATGGGTGAATGGAAAACATTGTCCTCTGACATTGCTGGGGCGTTGTGAGTGCTGCGCATGCAGGTCGAGAATCTGCGACACCATGTGCACCTGAGTCAGACATGAAGGAACTCAACTTTCTCAGAAGGAAATACCACTAAAGCCAGTTATTTTCTGTCTGAACTTCAAGTGGGTGTTCTCTTTTCTAGGCTTTCTCCAGAGCGTCTGGGTCAGGATATTAGCTGGCAAAGGGTTAATGAGCTGTCAACTTAAATCATCACATACGTGGATGGACTATCATTAAACTCTTATAAAATTTTGATTTCCCCTGAGAAAGTTTTCATCAAACATTTATAAAACCCAGAAATGGCCAAGGGAGCCTGGCATGACCACAGAACTCGTCAGAAGCCATGGAAAGCATACTTTGTCCTCCTCATAAGCAAAGGATATGCTGCCTGTGCTGTCTGTTCTCCTGGGCACAGGGGTGAAATCGCCAAGTCCCAGTTACCTAAGCTCGGTTCTTTGCTGAAGTCTCAGTGTCTGACTGTTGCCCTACAGGTATGTGGGTGGCTGAGGCTCTCAGAAACCTAACCTGACTCTCCCTGGTAGGGTGGAGGTGTGGGGGATCCAGAGGGCACATTATGAGTTGGATCCCCTCTCGCTGACCTATAGCAGTTCTGTGATAAAGGTGTGGACAGGCATGAGGGTGCTCCCTGCCTCCATAGGCCATGCAGAGTGAGCAAAATAAACGGCTTCAGTGGCCGCTCGACCCATTCGACTCAGGTAGCAGTCAGCCAGCAGATATTTATTAAATGCTTACTTCAAGTGAGACCTAATGGTGAGTTACACAAAGAAGGAATGAGACGCTGACCAAGCCCTGTCCGGCTCCTGCCTTCAGGTGGGGTCTTGGACAGTCACAGAGTGAGAGTGTATTCTGTGTCGAGTAAGGGCTACAGTGAGTCTGGTTCTGAGAGAAGGCCAGGGTCGGGTATGCCAGAGTTGCAGGGCTGGCTGGCTTTTCAGACACTGCAAGTTTGATATAAACCTTGAAGACTGGGTCCAGTGCCACCAGGTGGGAAGAGTGGGAGATGTTTCAGGAAGAGAGGACACTGGGGCCTGTGGGCAGAGTCAGTATGTGGTGTTCGTCCAGGGTCTATGTGGGGCCAGAGATGCTCCCCATTGCCGACCTTAACGACATGTTAGACTGATTTCGTTACCCCTTTTGAGACCCAGAGAGGTTAAGTAGCACATAGACATACTGCTGGTTTGAGCCTGTGATTTTCCCATATTCTGTCCTAAAGAGTATTCTGAGCATGCCTTTGAATTGGAACAGAAGACTCTGAAGAAGAAATCAGAGGGAGATGATGGTAGATGGTGAGACCAAACAGATCACAATTTGCTCTGATGGTTGACCTGGCTCAAGTTATTTAATGTCACTGAACCTCATCTTTCTAGTCTGGATAATTAAGATAATGCCGCCTCATTGAGGTTATTATGATATAGATCACAATATAGATTATATATCAGTAAAAGGTAGGACTGCATAAAGCACACACACACTGTGTAACATAGAGAAAGCACACCTGGTAATTAGAGGCACTTTAAAAATTTCCAAACTGAAGAGGGTGGACTTTAGAGGAAACTACGAGCTATTACAGGCTCTTCAGCACAGGGTGGTATAACATAAACCATATTTTATGACAGTGAAGCAGACAGCGTTGGTGTAAAGATGATAAGGGTATGAATTAGGACAGAGGAAGTGAGAAAGGAAAGGAAAGGAGTCACCAAAATACGGAAAAGTTAGGAAGAGCGCCTACCTCCTCAGACTCCGCACGACATGGCCCCTCCCACCCGCACACACTGCCTGCCCGCCGCAGCCTTCCTTCTGCTCGCTGGACTCAGGCACCGAGTGCATGGGCAGGGTCACGTGGCGCTGTCAGGAAGGCTTATGGGTTCAAGGGCATCCTGGCCAGCCCAGCAGTGTCTCCCACAGGAAGCAGGGCTCCTGCACGTGCAGCCTCCCAATCAGCTGCTTTTGTCTAGCTTCCATTTGCTCTTCCTTCCCAACTGAATTTAATGTCGTGCCATCCTCCGCCTCTAGTGAAGCTGTAACTGCTGTTCTTCCGCTACAGCCGGGCACCTGCCAAGCCTGTTGGCACTGAACCCAGAGCCCGCCAGGCACTCTATCGCTGAACTTCTTGTCAGATGCTGGGAGGGGGGAGTTAGCAGTTTCACTTGCTGTTTCTTCCCCAGTAGTAGCTGCTCTCAGGGTAATCCCAATGAGGGGGCCGGGCCAGGAAAGAGTTAACTTACTGCCTGCTCGTGGAATGAAATGGCAGTCAGGCAGATGGTCTTACTTGAGCTGTGACTCCTTCTCTGACGCGTCTTCTCAGGTTCTGGGTCTCAAAGTCACTCACACAGTAGAGAGGAAAATGGATGGTCAAGGAATTTGGTTCTCTGGGCCCTTTGGGAGGAATGGGGGATGTGGTCATGGAGTTTCAGAATGCCATTGCTGAGGAGGACCTTAGGGATTACAAGGATTTTCAAACTTTTTCTTTTTTTTTTTTTTTTTTTTTTATAGAGGCATGCTTTATTTATTTGTTTTGCTGGTTTGTTTGTTTGTTTTGTTTATACATGCACTGGGTACAGTCAGAAGTGTGGGAGGGTGAGAGAATTCACCAGAGCCAGAGTGGGGAGCAGAGCAGGCAGAAGGACTGAAGTACACTGCTGAGGGGAGCAGCGGGCGGCAGGAGAGGTCTGCGCACCATGTGGGACCCTCGCCGGCGGCCGGGGAGCAGCCAGGGATCGAACCGGCGCCACAGAGGCCGCGGGCAGCTTCGCAACCCAGCGCTCAACCGCTGCGCCACCGGGGAGGCCCTTCAAACTTTTTCTCTAGCAGAATTTTTTCTTCAACTAAAACCTTAGATAAAATCCCAATATATTAAATAGGAAAAAAGAGCAGAGCTGGCTTACTGAAGCAGGGATGGGGTGCTCCAAGCCCACTCTCACCCCTTAGCAAGGGCAGCTTGATAGAGACGGGGAACCTTACCATCTGCTCTCCAACTGGAAAACAACTAACCTCGCCAGGCCTATTCATTTGACAGTCAGCTGAAGGCTACTTGACTTGTCCCGTGCTTTAGGTAAAACCATTTGTTTTTCATTTTGCTTTAGAAGATCAGAATCCTTTACATCATTTGTGTTTTCCCAGGAAGGCTTATGTTTAGAATTTTGGGGTCTTCTAAATGCTATCTATGTAGGACAGGAGCCTTAATGCAGAAATCCTGGGCTGCAGCTAAGACCTGTCCTAGAATGGTGGGAGTTAACGGGGTTGATGGCAGAGTCAGACTCCCCCCCCCTAAAATCCCCGCGCTTCTTCTTCCATCTACCATCCTGAGTTTTTATATTAGCAACTCTCACAACACTCTGATTTCCAAACCCTGAATGTTAAATTTTGTTTTAATGGCATCCACATATAAGCCCCCAAGTAGAAAAGGATTTCCCTTTAATGCTTACTTCTCATTCTGCCCAAATAGCACTATATGTAGCACATAATTTCATTTTGTCCTAATGAGTCCCCTTCCTTCTAACACCTCACCACCCTCTGGGATGTGTTTAGCCGTTGAACTGGGGAACAAGAACTAAGAAATCTCCCCCAGGCCTTGGGAGTCAGAATACCAGCTTGCTTTCCACCGCACGGCCAGTCTTGTTGACGTGGTCAGTGCTGCCCACACCCACTATCCTCCCTGTCTGGGCCTCTGGGGCCTGCTCATGTGCCTGCTCCTTCCCACAGCAGTGTTGTGACCTGGGCTACCACGCCAGCCTGAACCGGGCACTGCGCACCTTCCTCTCCGCGGAGCTCAATCTGGAGCAGTCAAAGCACGAGGGCCTGGACGCCATTGAGAACGCTGTGGAAAACCTGGATGCCACCAGTGACAAGCAGCGCCTCATGGAGATGTACAACAACGTCTTCTGCCCACCCATGAAGTTCGAGTTCCAGCCCCACATGGGGGACATGGTGAGTCCCTGTTCCCACCCCATACTCCCCTAGAGGCTGGAGGTTATTTGTGTCTAAGTTCATTTCACTGACACCACTTGATTCTAGAGAGAAAGGCCTGGGGCTGATTTTCCACCAGGAGGGTGAGGTACATTCCACTCATTCAGCAAATAGTACTGAGGGCCTGCTGCTGCTAGCCTGGGTGTCACACTGAGGGGGAGAGCTCTCAGTGAGTTTACAGTCTGGAGAGTTGAGGTAGTTAGAAATATGCATAGGGAAGGTGCCCATTGAGATTAGTAGCATCGAAAGCAGTGAAAAATCGTAGGTGTGTTCTAAAAATGACTAAGTGTTCCATGTAGTGAGAGGGAAAGGAGTGATGGGGGTGGCACCCCAAGGGGTCAGACTGGAGGAAATGAAAGCTGAAATGGGGCGGGGATTAGAAGACGTTAGATGGCGGGGAGGGCTAAAGCGGGTGTCGGTGTGATCTTTAGTCATTTGGCAGAATTCTGAAGAATTTTACTCTCCTGTGTTTGGAAGATTATGATGAAAGGTGTAGTTTTGCTTGGGCTTGGATACGAAAGAATGGAACTCGATCTGGGACAGGACCCCGGACACCTGAAGCTGGGTACACAGGCGGGAGAGCCGGAGCTCTCCCGTTTTGGACTTGTTCCTCTAGCGACTTCCAAAAAGCTCCTGAATACACTACAGTGAAAGGAACAAGCAGCTGCTTGGTATTCATTACTCTGAACCTTGGGTTTCACTTCTTGCAGCTGCGCACACAGACGGGCCGAGCCTTGCTTTTGTGCTAGGAGCCACCCCTTAACCTGCTAGTGAACCAGGAGGATGATCGACTTCCATGACAGAAAAGGCCCAGTGTGGTCTTCAGGCATGGTTGAATATAGAAGTGAGGATTTTCTAATCAAGAATCATTTTTCTCTCTCTGCTCTGCGTCCCCTGTGTCAGTTCCATTCTCAGATTGTCGTCCTGAGGCAGCAGGTGACAGTAATTCCAGCCTTTGCTCCTACTGGTTGAAACCCAGCAGGAGGAGCATCTGCTTCCCTCCTCGCAGTCCCCATAAAGTCTTTCTGTGTCTCCCTTATCCCGAGGGGGTGATGTGTTGATCCCTGAGCCAGTCACTCTGGCTTATGCACAGATCACCTGTTCCTTTGTCTGCATGGGTACCCCCACCCATCCAAAGCAGGTGGCCTGGGCTGTGGAGTGGGAGTTTTCCCCAGTGGGTAGTCAGACCGAAATTAGGGTGCTGGAAGATCGAAAACGGCAGTGTCCTCTCCCCGGGGCTGGTGCTCAGTTAGGAGTAGTGTCCAGATTCTTGGAAAACCCTGTTCCGGAGTGGTGACCGTTGCAGTGTAACCAGGGGGTTTGCTGTCATTGGTTGGCCACAAGGAGAGAGGGACATTTCTATCCTAAAGACAGACAGTGGAGATGATTTCTTTCCCCACTGTCTTGGGGATACCAAACCATACATTTTGCTTCCATTGCTGCGGCTTAGGAAGTGTTGGCATCTGCATGAGGAGCTGGGATGGAAGCGTGAGCAGTCAGAGCAGGGGATGTGTGTCACCAAGTCCCAGGTGGCCCCATTCCTCACCTGCCCTGCTTTCTGGCTAAACCTGCCTTCCAAACCCCATCTCCAGCTGCTACTGAGATTCCTTCTCAAGAATCAATGGAACTCGGGGACCAGCTGAGTGGAGTGATACATTTTCTGGTGTTGACTGAGTTGCCTTCTGAGCCAAACAGCTTGTCTCCATAAAGGGGGACTCCAGTGCTGGGTGTGCAGGCCTTCTCCTCCCCCTGTCAGAGCTTCGTTTCCATACTCCACAGCACAGCTGGAATGCATTACCTCGCACCCCAGTAGAGGACCACTGCCAGGGCATGCATCAGCAACGCTGCTGCTTCTTAAAGGAGAAGGCATGGATGTGATTTTTTCCTTCCGTGACCCTCCCCACTAGGTCTATGTTACTTTAAAAATCAATAGTTCCCTGTTCTGCCCTCCCTGTTTGTGATCTAGCTGATCAGTGCCTGAGCCAGACAGGGACTAGGGCCAGCCCTAGATCTTGTAAAGGTTCTGTGTTCTGCGTAGCCTTCATTTGAATGGAAAATAAAAGGAAATGAGGGGGCAGGTATCTCTTGGTGCCTGCAGCCAGTCTCTTCCCATCGGTGTGGGTTGTCTGTAGACTGCTGTGGCAACAAGAGGGAGGTGTCTGGAAGTTCTTGAAGCAAGGCCAAAGTTCGGGTGGCATTTTGACTGGAAGCCCTGACATTGGCCAAGGCCCCACACTGACTGCTGTTCTGAGGCGCTCAGCCCATGAGTTAATGCCAAGTGTTCTGAGATGTACTAGGAGGAGGTGCTTGGCTCCATTGTTGGTGCCCCCAGAGGCTGATGGGGTTCTGGATGCCTAACCAGTGACATCAGGCGGCCAGAGAGTTTCATTCCTGGCGCGAACCCATCCTGGCCACTGAGTTTCTCCATTGTGTCTGCTTATTCAAGAACTAGAATGAAGTCAGCGCTCTTCAGATCTGAGAGAGTTGGCTCAGGCCTGTCTCTCAGCTAGGGGAGGAGGTCAACTCAGTTGGGAGACTGAAAGCCAGTGGAGGAAAATGTCAAATGTCCCCTCCTTTTTGAATGCCCCCTCTATTTGAAGAGAGGTTTTGTCTGTTCAATCAAGAAAATAGTCTGTGGGCATGAGAATGTGCCCACTCATCGCTGGGGAAGGAGGAGGATAGTTCCATCCACATGTCTCTGTAGACGAGAGGCTCAGGGACACATCGTGGGGGTGGTGAGGTGGCAGAAGCTCCGTCCACATGGGTCCAAATCTGCCAGCCTTCTGTTCCTCATATGTTACCCTGGGAATTGCGGGTGACCTCACGCCCATGCCACAGCCATGCTCCCATCAGGAGGCAGGGATCCTTGTGGGAAGGGCAGGCCTTTCCCACACAGATCTGTTGAAGATCTGGGTTAAAGTGATGGCTCTTTGAAAAATGCTAAGTTCCACCAGATTCCACTACCTCTAGTATATCCTGTGGACTTGTTCCTGGCTTCACGCTTTCTCTCATTGAGTCAGAGCTCTCATGCATGGCCTAGATTTATAAACACATGCTGGCTGCCGACAGTGGCAAGTTAGCCGCCTGACCCACTTCTCTCCTGCTTTCACTCTGGTAAGGCAGGGATGAGGGAGGTACCAGAGGTGGCCACTTGGACGTCTAGCAGGAAATGCTCACTGTGCCAGAACATTGTGCATCTGGGGTCGGGGCTGCCCAAGACACTCTTCTCTGGCCTCCTCTGGCTTTCATGGACCCACGGCCTGCCCCTGCCAAGCACCAGCCTGAAGGTGGTCTCCAAAGAGAAAGCCCTGCTCTTTCCCGATAGGCGCCACTATTTGGTCCTGGAAGAGACCCTCATCCTTTGACTCTAGATTTTGTTTACCATTGAAACCGTGAACCTCTTGACTTGATTATGAGTCATTTTATTAGTAGTAACGGGACTCTGGAACCACCAGAAGAACTGTATCCTCTTCCTGACCTGGGATTGGTTTCTTTTGGCAGGCTTCCCAGCTCTGTGCTCAGCAGCCTGTCCAGAGTGAGCTGGTACAGAGATGCCAACAACTGCAGTCTCGCTTATCCACCCTGAAGATTGAGAATGAAGAGGTGAGTTTCCTGCTCTGAGACTCAGAGACAGCCTCTGAGTTTCCCTTGAGCGTCTTGCTGCTCCCGTCTGGAAGCAGGTGCAGGAGCACGCAGAGCACGTCCAGGCTGCTGCAAACATTTCCTAGCCAAATGTAGGCTTGGATTTTCCCCCTCCACCACATCCTGTCCTTCAACTCCAGGAAGTTGCTCTTGCACTGCCAAAGGTTGAGGTCTATTTTGAGCTTTTACAAAGTGCTTCCCCCCTTCTTACACATTTAATCAAAATGGCACTTGGCAACTATGTGAATAATATTGTGTCTCTGAAACTACCCACTCATGCCTAACTTTTCCCAGCATTTTCAAGCAGTCTTTTGACTTTGACACTTCAAATATCTCTATCCTCTTAGAAAGGATGACCCTTTTATGCGCCCAGAACATTTGCCCTCACCAACCAGTTCCAAAGGCAGTATGAGTGATTATTCAGTGTCTTTCTTTTTAGCTCAATGACTTCTTACCTGGCTTCGCGGTAAGTCTTACTTTCCCCGGGAAGACCAGGTAGGACTAGGGATGGACCACTTAGTTTACAAATGGGGAAGCAAGTTCAATGATTTATTAAGGTCATGAAACAGAACCTGGGGCATTGTAGGACTAGACCCCTCACCTATTTTAACTAGCGCTTGTATTTTGGGCTTCGCTTGAATTTGTCTTACTCTCTTTCCCTTAGTATTTCCATGATAGCCCAGAGCTCATATTAAATTAGAAAAATAAAAAGTAGTTATCAAATAGAAGAGCTGGGTCAAGGTCATAGCATGAAGGAGATGGTGGTCTCAGAGGAGGGTCCCAGAGTTGCCCCCTCTGACAACACCCTCCCTCCTCTCCTAGCCCTCCTTTCCTAAGCTGCTTGCTCACATACCTTTCGCATACTGCCTCTCACGTGTGATGTTGGCCCTTGTCATGGCAGGTAAAGAAGACAATGGAGGCCACACTGCAGACCATCCAGGACATTGTGACCGTTGAAGACTTTGATGTGTCCGACTGCTTCCAGTATAGCAACTCCATGGAGTCCGTCAAGTCCACCGTCTCTGAGACTTTCATGAGCAAGCCCAGCATTGCCAAAAGGAGAGCCAATCAGCAAGAGACAGAGCAGTTCTACTTCACGGTAAGGGAGCTTGACCTTTAAAGAGCACCAACAGGCGTGCGGCACACAAGCCACCTGGACCCAGAGTCCTCGTCTAGTATCTGAAGGGTGATCTCGGAATACCCAAGATTTGGAGCTAGGCATATTCAGGGGCTGTTGCTATGCTTAACAACAGGCAGGGGACCCCTGGAAGAAAGGATGCTCCTAAGTACTCTACATAGAGATTAAAAAAAAAAAAAATTTTTTTTTAAAGAACTAATAGTCTTTTATTTCAAAGTTTCCTTCTCTGCCATAGAAGATTGTGAAAGGGGGACTTCATCTCTTGTTTCTTGGAAACTACATCCAAACATTCTGGCTAGTGCATATCTTGTTTTTAAAGTCTGTTCTAAGTGATCTGATGATTTATTTTTTAATAATTTTCATTGATGGGAAATTGTTTTTCATAATTATTAAAATTCAAAGAGCCATGTAATGTGCAGAATTACTGGTTTGCAGAGAATTCCAAAACATTGTATTTTGTTATTTATGTATCTCCCAGTCTTCTTTTAGACAGATGGGCTCCCCCCCGCCTTTTTTTAAGTAGTGTTAAAAGTCTTTTGGAAGATTGCTGGCTGGTCTTCAGTGCTGCTTTTTAATAATTAAGTTATTTTGAGCTTGCCAAGTAGGATTTATTGCTTGAACCAAAATTTATTTCCTAATCTGATGACCAAGAAAGGCGAAATTAAGTTTGCAGATGTGAGATGATATATAGCCAGTGAATATGTATACTGATTCTGAATGAGAGGAATTAACTTGTTTTTCAGTCAAGAAACACAGTCTGCATGAGTAAATTGAATTTTTCCTCCAACTAGAACAATTTGTCTAATTCTTCTTTGAACACTACCCTTTCTCCATTAAGAACACTAGTGATTTGTTATCTTTTTGAAAAAAGAAATCTGTTTTTAAGTAGTTAAGTTCATACATCTTCAGATTTTTTTTTATCCTGGAGAAAACTATTGAAAGAGTTGTTTAACGGTATTATTCTTTTTAAAATAACTTCCTTTTTATTATGCAAAGCAAAACTTATATAAAATTTAGAATAGAAAGGAAGAAAATAAAATAAATAAAATAATGCCAATACCAGAGATAATACTGTTAGGGCTACTTCCCCTTCTGGTCTTTTCTCTATGCATAAACAAACATATATGCAAGCATATATTTAAAATTTTATTGCAAATTTGAGATCTGCTATACATACTATTTTGTAATCACCTGCTTTCACTTAATAAATGATTGATTTTATTCTAAGACATTTAATACATAAATATTTAGCATACTGCCTGGTTGTCACTAGTGCTCAAAAAATGCTGAAAGTTTATTATCACTAGCAGTGTTATTATTAATCTAGTCTTTAATCATTGCTAAGTTATTCATTGGCCATTTATTGAGGACCTACCATGTGCCAGACACTGTGCCATGAACTGAGAATGCTAAGAATATAAAATGAAGCAGCGGGTGATGGGATGAGGCCTCTGAGGCGAGGACTTTCATTTTCACTTACTGTATTTATAAACATTTATAATGGGTTGATTTTTTTATAATTGTAATATTCAAAATAAATATCAAAAGACGTGAATGCTTACGTGAACACATGCATAAATGGCAACCAGGATGAATGGAGTTGGGAAGCCTCACACTCAAAGTGACCTTCGTGTGGCACTGAGAGTGAGCCAGCAGGCAGGGGACAGGAGAAGGCGCTCCTGGAGGGAGAGCAGCCTATGCAGAGCATGAAGCTGCAAACACCTGGGTTAGACATGGAGAGAACTTCCTGTCTGTAACAAGGGCTGTCTCTGCCCCAAACTCCTTTATCTCAGGAGCTGGTTGAACACTGTAGAGATTTTTCCTAATACAGCTGCTTGGCTCGTCTATCTGGACTGCATAGATATAACAACTTTAATAATCCAATCTTATTACTTTGCAGAAGATTTCTTCTTTTTTTTCTTCTTTGGTTAAATTAGAAAGATTACATTTAAGACTGTTAGGATTACTTTTGGCTTTAAATGAAGCTATAATATTTGTGTTCAAAGTTGATGTTAGTAAGAGCAGGAGTGATCACATTCACTTTGGTTGCCTCTCAGATCTGCCCACCCTTTCACCTCTGTGCAAATGCATTGACGTCCTGTAACCTGTTTCCTGGTTTTTGTGACCATAGTGCAACTTATCAAAATTATGTGCAGATTTCTTGGCTAACAGGAATGGTTTTCATCTGAACTTGTCTAGTAATGAATTTACAAGAGCTCATCATTTTTGTGATGGGTGCTTGGGATGCATCAGGTAATTCAATTCATGATAAAAAGGCTTTTGGGGGTGATGAAGTGGACATTCAAGAATAAAGGGCATGCATGTTAAGCGGGATGGCTCCTGTGCTTGCCAAGCTGAGCAGAGCCAACACACCTGCCGATACTCTTTCTTCTGTCTGTTACCCCCACATATGTTGCCCATGTGTTCCCCTGCACCCTTCAAAACCCCCAGAGCAGCACACCTTGCCACCTTGGTTCTGTTGGGAAGTCAGGGAGAGGTCCTCGGTCCTGGCTTTGACCCCTCGGTAGTGTGCCTGACGACCAAGAGGTCTGCTAAGTGCTTTCCAGTCATTGTCAGCTGCCATCAGGCTGATGTGCCCCGATGACATCAGTTGGAATTCTGAAACATGACCTATAAAGGTCAGTGATTTCCAGGAATCCCAGGAAAATAATAATGGAATTTTCAAGCTTGAAGTCATCTTTAAAAATAATGTAAATAAACCTCAAACCTTGTCATAGGAAAGGTTACAAAAAAAAAAAAACCCCACCTCTTCCAATGCAGACAGGATGGGCAGCTTGTCCAAAGTCCTAAGCAAGAGCTGAAACCAGACTCTGTTGCTGGTTTCAGGCCACAGGAATTTTCTCTAGAGCCTGCTGAAGAAGCTAAGGTGAAGTGAAGGCCCAGAATCAGCTCAGCCACCTTCTCTTGTTGGATCCAAGTGAGGGTGTATTTTCTCATGCCCTTGGCTTTGTACAGCTCACCTTCTATAACACAGTCCAGCAATATCAATACCTACTTTTTTATTGTGGTTGATAAAATAAGTTTTTTAAAGATAATGCAAAGATTTACAGGAAAAAGTCAAACTTCTTCCATCCCTGATGTCCTTCCCCCCCACCACCCGCCTCTGTCAGTGGTTGAAACCAACTTTTGTGTTCTTCCAGAGATATTTTATTCTATGAGTAGACTATCACTGACGTACCTTTTGATACAATTAGAATTGCATTAGAAATGGAATGAAATAAAATAAAAAGAAATGCTAATAGAAGTATACCACTTATACTGCTCTTCACTTTGCTTTTTTCAATTAATTTATTTTGGATTTTTTTATAATAGTCCAAAAAGATCTGCCTCCTTTTTTACTGGCTGCACAGAATTCCACTGGGTGAATGGACCATCACTTACATAACCAGTTCCCTGCTCTGTGGGCCATGATGCTCACTATTTAGGATTGTTAAGGTCTTATAAGACTGGCATTTCTTCTAAGTATTTCCTTGTATGAGGTAGAGTATGGGGGATAAAGTGGGAAGGGGTTAAGGATCAGGGCTGATAAAATGAATCAACCTAGACTGCCTGGTCTCAGGGACAGGTTGGGTAAGGTAATAGGAGAGGAGCCGTGCCTTGGCCATTGGCACAGTGCTCTAGAACACGAGATGGAGACCCTTTTTCTTCTTGGTATTCTCTGGAGGCAACTTGGTAAATGTCTGCTAATGAATGAGCAGGTACAAATGAATGAATGCCCTGCTCCATCATTTAAAGGGGGAGATGTGTTTCCCTTTAAAGGTTTCTCTATTATGTATTCTGTCTGACAGCTGTTTCCTACTTCAAAAACTGACGGAGAGGGGGGCAAATATCAGCGAGCCTGGATGACGGGGAAGCAGCCGCAGTAATGACAGCTGCGTGTCTCTGCACATGGGGCTGGCTAGGCTGAGCTCACTGTTCCTCCCACCCCCTTGCTAAAAGCAGTGGGTACTTATGGCTTTGGTGTCACACAGGTTCATTCCAAGGCATACGCATGATCCCCATGAGTTTTATGTGTCCATGATAAGAGTGTATTTAAGGGAAGAGGCATTTAAAAATTAAATTTGAAGAATGTTTTCATGCCTCTCACTAAATTTTTTTAAGGCCAGGAACCAGTTTTGTGTGGCTTTCTTAAGAAATAGTGCAAAGCAGTTTAGGGAAGGACTGAGCAAGTGATTCTGGTACAACTTTTTTGATTACCTGATAATCACAGTCATGCTTGTTATCATGTTCACCTTCAACAACCTGTGAAAAAAAACTTTAGCTCCATTTTTCACATGGAGAAACTGAGACTCTGGGGATTAAGTGACTTGCCCAGAGCTAGAAGAGTTAATAAGTGGTAGAACTAGAATAGTCCATCTCAGACTTTTCCATTTTACTGCAACTAAAAGGTATGTCAGTGAGGACTATAATCTTAATAATATTAATAACTAAAAAATATTTTAATTATTGCTAATAATTTTATATTATTTATAATATTTAATAATATCAATATGTTAATAACTAAACAAATATTTCATTGTTATTATTATTGAAATAATAATTTCAATAACTAAAACTCATTGCTGACAGCTAATAACCAACTTGGAACTATGGAGAGATAAATTGATAAGGTCATATAAACTGAATTGAAGGTCCATAATGGCAAAAGACAAAACCACCTAATAGACCCTCTGTTTCCCTTTCTACTTTTTGAAAAAATTATCAGTTTCAATAACACTGAGTATACAATTTGTGGGGGGAGCATAGGGAAGTGCTCAGACTGTGTTTTAGGAATTCGATTTATTCTGGTGCCCTAGAACAGAAAACTCCAGGTAATCACTTTACTTTGTATGTTTGGTAAGGAACGTGGAATGAAAGGAAGGTAATTGCCTGCTTTTGGAATATGTTTTAAATAAGGACAGAGCCTCTTTTTGCCCAAGGAAGGGATTTTTGAGATTGTGCATAGACAGTTCTTTTCCTGGGTCCCTGGTCTCCAAATATCTTTGAAAAGCTGTCCTCCCTCCTTTGCCTTCTGCTGTCTCCTCTCATGTGTCTGGTCAGCAACGCCAATACCCCTAACTCAGTTCTGCCAGCCAAGGACCAAGACTTCTCCCAGTTCAGCTCTCCTGCAGATGAACCCTGATCCCAGGTGGGCTGGGAAAGTGGCAAATAACATGCCTATGAGCTCTGGGGTGCCCTCACTTCCCATACCTGGCTCATCTGGATGGAAAATTCCTAACCATTGCTTCCACCCCAGAATTAGGAATGCAAGTCATACCTTGACACAGTGTTTCTTTCGATCCTTCAGGATTTAATGAAACCCGAAAAAGGCAATCCATCATGCCTCTTTATCAGCTTGTTATTTATTTTAATGGTTCACTGAGTGACAGTCAGAGTTAACTAGTGAACTGTGAACATGAATAGGAAAAAAATGATTTCAGAAACAGGAGTGAGAGGAAGGAATTTGCATCCATCTCCTCTCAGAACTTTGGCTGTTTTCTGAGCAATCTGGTCCTGTTTTAAGGGTGACAGTTTCTTGATGAATTTTTTCTTGTTAGAAAATCTTTATTCTCCAGGGATAACCTTCCTGGGGGCCTTTGAGGGTTCAGATATCAGCAGTGGATGTTTTCTGCCGGGTTTCCACCTCTGGGCCCTAAAGACTGTTCCCAGCCTCACAATTAGGCATTGGCTGGGGATTGGATGTTACCCAGGGAGGACTGACAGCAGGTGAGTGCAGCTGGAGCAGATGGAGGGGAAGGTGACGGGGGTGGGGACCTTTTTCCATGCACATGTTCTGTGCACATGCTCAAAGGAGCAGAGGGAACAGGTTGTGCGTGAAACACCAGATATGATTTGATGTATCGCTAGGGCTTTATTTGTTTTATATTTAATTCGGAGTGTAGGGACACACTTGGAAGCTTGGTTTGTAACTCCTGAAGTAGGTTCTTTGGAGGAAAGAGAGACTGATTATCTATATTTTAGCTATTATTTGAGCAGTTCTTGAGTGTCTGCTATGTGCCAGGCAGGGCACTAGGCATCGGGAATGCAGAGAGTCATGAGTGCTGGGCCTCTGACCTCAGGAGGCGGCTGTCTGGAGAGAGACACATGAGTCATAAGCTGCCTTGACAGCTGTGTGAGAGGTACGGTTAGGGAGGTTTGCAAAGGTAGGTGCAGTAGCTTCTGAAAGTGTAAGAAGGCGAGGGGATGCATCCCAGAGAAAGCATATTTTTTCTTTGTTTTGAGAGAGAGAAATATATACTCTTGGTTAAAAGTCCACAATGTACAAAGTACAGAGTAAAAGTCGTATTTTTCTCACCTGTCTGCGTTCATCCTACAGTGATGTATTAAGTCATAAAACCAATGATTAATATATAATTATACTTTCTGTTAATACATTAAGAAGACAGTACAAACTTTAAATGTCTTGTTCACTTGCCACGCCCCTCTTCCATGTCACATATCATTAGTGATTCACAGACAGTCCCTGGGGGAGCCCTGCCATTTTGCCTATGAGCTCAGACATGGGCAGATGACCCCTGACCCAGGAGATGGACCACTGTCTCAGGAGACAAGCAAGGCAGACTAAGATGCCCATGAATGGCTGCAGAGTGGAGTGGGAAACATGGTGTGTTAAGAATCCAGAGGCCTGGGCTGCAGCCCTGGAGTTGCCACTTACTGGATTGCAGCGATCGACAGTTTATTTGACATCCCCTTCCCGGAGAATGTCTTCTTATCTGTAAGAAAATGGTAATGTTTTTCCTGGTGTTTGTGCAGAGTCATTGTGAGAGCCAGGTGAGGAACGCATGCTAACGTTCTCCAAAGTCCTGAATTGTCCCTCATCTCTAATGAATACAGGGGAGTTGTGTCTGCTGCTACCTGCGTCCCTGTGGGTGGAGCATTCTAGTGCCAGGAGGTACAGGGTAGGTTCACTATGGATTCGGGCAGACAGGTAGAGTCCCAGAGTCCTCGGTGAATATTTCAGGCTTTAATGTTCTCTCGGAGAACCAGGTTCACAGGCACATCAGGCAGGGAAGCTGCCATGCAGTGAGTCAGGCAACTGAGCCTCCCTACCCCAATGAATCTTTACACTCTTTCCCTAGGCTCTCTCATGGTCTCGCCTCTTCTGTAGTCACGCATGCTCCACAGTCATCTTCCCATAGCTCCCTGTCTGAGTGACGCCGCTCTTACATCACTGGCCTCCAGGCACAGGTGTGCACACTTACTCATGCCCACGCCATACTCCAGGTGTCCACACTCAGGCACGCACACCCCACACCCACGCTCCCAAAAGCCTTCTGCTTTAGCCTCGGGTGATAGTCCCAGAGGCTAGAGACGTAAAAAGTCTGATTAATCCATTTATCCTACAAGTGTGTTGTCCTAACAGCTAAGCTCACGCTGTATCATCAAAAATCTGTGTGTTTGGATACTGGCTCCATCACTCAGCAACAGGCTGATCTTGAGCAATTGATTTAATGTCTCCAAAACTTAGTGCCCTCATCCGTAAATGAGGGTGACAACAGTGATAGTTCATAGGGTTGTTCTAGAGATTTGATGAATTGTCCAGGGACAGATCGTCTCTCCTAGGCTGACAAGCATTGAGAAGGGGCGGATCAGACCATTCAGCCCAGTGTTCAGGTGGGATCGTGTTTCTATATCCTTGTCTTATGTTTGGAGCTGCCATTATCTGTGTGTACAAGTGGGTGGTGACAGCCCTTCCCTCTGCGCGTTCAGAAACCCCAGGTTTTCCACAGACTCCATGCAGAATAGAGGAGGAGGTAAAGACTGAGCCTTGCAGCTGAGGCGAAGACTTAGCCTCCATGGCTGATGGACTGCACTGGCGGAGGAGCCAGGCAGGGTGGAGGTCAGTGGAGGTGACAAGTGGCAGGTGTATGTCCTCATGCCAAGAGGACAGCCCAGTGCGTCCCTCCACCACACTGCTTTTCAGCGGAACTGAAGGAGATGGATGAGGAACTTGAGACAGTGCCTCACACTCCAACCTGGAGCAGGATACTGATCACCATGAAAATCAACAGCTGCCTTAAGGAAATGAAAAAATGGACTGGGTGGAAATTGGGTCAGAAACCGAATACCCTTTTAAAAAGGGAATTGTACAGCCCAGTGTCTGTGATGATTTTTTTTTCTTTCAGGAGTCTCATTGCTCTTTTTCCTCCTTACAGAAAATGAAGGAATACCTGGAGGGCAGGAACCTCATCACCAAGTTACAAGCCAAGCACGACCTTCTCCAGAAAACCCTGGGGGAAAGTGAGTGTGTGAGCTGTGCAGGAGGCTTGGCAGGGAGGGGACAGCCCTGAGCGCGTCAGTGCCCAGCTGATGCCTCCATCCTAAGCTGGGGCGCCCGGTCTTGTCACCTGACCGCATTCCTTCCCCCCAGCCTGTTTGATGTGGACTCACACGCCCCAGATGACTGCTTGAGTAATGGGAGAGGCCCGTGCTTAATGAAGCACTAATGTGCATCATCTATTTGTTTAAATGGAGCATGCTGCCTCCACGCGGCCCTTCTTCCCCTGCTCTGCTACCACGGGGCAAGGAGCTATTGATTATTTACTCTCCAGACATTTTGTGGAAACTCTCAGCTCCTCTGTGGCGGGACTGAGACTGGAGCAAGAAGGTAGGGAGCTGTGAGGTGAGAGGCCCAGCTGCTCTGAGGAGGGGAGGGGCTTCTCACAGGCAAGGCTGCTGGCAGGCTGCTGCTTTCCCCGGCCTTAAGGTACATGTCACCTTCCTTAGCATCTAAAGGGTTGGGCTGAGTGGCTGCCCTCTCCTGGCCTTGGCCAAGCCGAGGCTGCGGCGCTGAGTGGACTCTCATCTCAGGGTGATTTTAACCAGACCCTCTGGAAAGCAGTAAGGCAAAGAACCTGCCGGGCACTCTGGACTTTCTCTCCTCAGCTGTCAAACAGAAGGCGAAGGTTGAAAAAGAAGCTTCCCTGGGGTTTTTGGAACCTTGCCTAGGTTGCCTGCCTGATTCTTAGCATCCTGTGATTAATGGGGTTCCCAGGTTGGGATGCCTCCCAATACCCTGCCCCTCCTTCTTGCCCCACGAATCTCCTAACTTATGGATGGGAAGGTGGAGGCGGGGTATAGGGAATATGAATAGGACCAGTGAAAGTCAAACCTGGACTTACATAAAGGTCTGATGTTTTAAAGTCAGTTCTTAAACACTTCTCGGCAAGCTGCAGCACCTGAAAGTACATACCCGTTGGCCCATTGAATTGACCCCACGAATCGAAGCCCTTATTTTCATCCCAGAACTTCCTCCCCATCCTTCTTGCCCTGTCTTCCTCCTGCCCTGGACGATTCCTCTAGGTGATTTAATTCTTTAATCTCTGCTGTCTTTGATCTTGTGATTTTTAAGGCATTTTCTTTTATGTGAAGAAAACCTGGTAACCACTGTTCTCTTTCCTCCCACCACCCACGGGACTCAGGCTGAACAGGTTTGGGCATTGAGATCCAGATTTTGCTTATAGAAAATCTTTACTCTTGTATTATCATATTGCTCCATAGGGAATCAGAGGACAGAAAGCCCAGAATTATGTGAAGCAAATTATAACTGTGATTTCTTTTTGCCAAGATAACCTAAGCATAGACCATAAGTGAAGTGAAGAGCAGAGCCTCAGGGGTATGTGTGTGTGTGTGTGTGAGAGAGAGAGAGAGAGAGAGAGAGAGAAAGAGAGTGAGAGAGAGAGAGAGAAGGAAAGGAAAGGGAGGAGAGGATTGGGTTTTCCCTTGTTTATCTAATACAGGTCTAGTCCAAATCAAGCTTGATTAATTGTGCACCCAAAGAAAGCAACATAGATTACATATAATCTATGCAAGGACACATGCATGTATGTCTTTTAAAAAACAGTTGCACACATACACACATTCATCAGATGTGCTACTCTGGGAGAGCAAAGGTTGGTGACCATGCATTAGTGTTGCAAATTGCCTTAATATAAAGATGACAAGTTCTAGCAATAAAGGAAAAAAATAGCAGCAGGCTGTCCATGTCAAGTCATCACGGCCCTGCCTTCTGTATGGATTTGTCACCATAATGCAAGAGCCCCTTGTTCTTGCCACAGAGGGATAATTGATGTGTATGAATATTCCAGAATGGAAATGGGACAGATGTTGAAAATAATGGCTCAGAATAATATTTTTGCAGATGAAAGCTGAGCCTTTAGTAATGAGAGGCTGTTATGAGTGGGAGAGTGTGTAATTCAAGATGAGCTGAACTCTAATCAGCAATAAGCAGGCAACCTTTAAAGGCAAGAAAAAGCCCCTACCCTTTCCCTTGTAGACTTGCCTTTCCAGAAGCAGGGAGGAGAAAGGTGAGGACTGATCTCTCCCTCCCCAGCTCAGTGCCTGCTTGGGTTTCCCCTGGTTTAGCTAATACAGGTCTAGTCCAAATCAAGCTTGATGAATTGTGCACCCAGAGAAAACAACATAGATTGTACCATGGCCCATGTCCACATGCATGTATGTTTTTAAAAAAAAAAAAATACTTCTCATGAATTAAGATTTTCCATTTTTAAGGTTTGCTGCGGTCCATTAAACTTCATATTAGGACCCACTGTTGGTTGGAGAGCCACAGTTTGATGTTTTCAGTAACAGCATGAAATCTCATTTTTCCCTTGCCACCCCAACCCAATCTAATGGGAGAATTTAGCGTGAATCTAAAACTATTTCTTATCTTCTCCCTCTCCCCAAACAATTCTTTCCTTCTTCCCTCCTCAGGGAGAGGGCAGGAGGGACAGAAAGATAATGTGTGTGTGTTGAGAAAGCAAGCCATATATACCACATATACACAGAGAGCTAAATTTTCATCTCCAAGAAGCCTCTAGTTACTTGCTCTTTAAAGTATGATCTGCCTTGCTCTTTTTTCCTTCCTGCATTTACCCCTTTTCCCATTGGGAAGAAGAGTCTAACAAGCCTAAGGTTAAGGGGTGCTGGAAACAAACACTAGAAACAGCCTGGGAGGCCAGTACTAGGCGCTGTCTGGGCAGCCCATCAGGCGAGGCGGTTCCCAGGGGTAAGTCCCCCTCTTTCTCTCCTTCCACTTCAATGTGTGCCTTGTGCCTTTGTCTTTCCTGCAGGTCAGCGGACAGATTGCAGTCTGGCCAGGTGGGTGTGGCCTGGGGCTTGGGGAGGGATGAGGGGAGGCCCCTGTTAGCGCCATCTCAGCCTGGGAGAGCCCAGCAGCTCTCAAAAGACTGGATGACTTTGCAAAGGAGTGCCTTGGGCAGAAGCTGCTTCCTTCCCTTTCCCTTACTGACCCCATCTAGTCTCAAATGGAAATGGGGTTTATTGTGACTTTGGGAAAAAACTGAGCAGAACTGAGTAAGTTACCAGAGACTCCCCAAAACCACTACATTGCAAGGAAACGAAATGTTCCATTCTGGGGGTCCTGGTGACCCAACCTGAGCTGTTAGACTTCAACATGTGGGCTTTGGGAAGTGTCTGACCCAGAGAAGGAAGATCAGGAGGCAGCATTTGATCTGGGGTTTGTTTACACATGGAAAAGATGACAGCCCTTAGTAAGTGACTGCTGCTGGATAGTGAACTACTACGTTGAATGGGTTTGCCAAACAGCATCGTAGAAACCTTGCCTGTGTGCAAGTACGCAGCCCTCCCAATCATTCTCCCACCTTCCCATCTCTCCGTGGTCCCAGACAAACAGTTCCCCTCCCAGTCATGGTGCTGCTATCAGAAAACTCCAGCTGGTAAAGAGCAAGGCATTCATTCAGCCAACAGTTTTCAGATGCCTAAAAATGTGCTGATTTAACTGGGGAAAGAGCTTTAATGGGCCTAACTCCTTAGAGACTCTGGGTTAGCCCATTATATCAACCACTTATATCTGCCAACACACACAATAATCACGAGGCCATTTACAATTATAGGCTCATTATTTAGAAATAGCTTCATTTGGTTTTCATCGTTTTGTCATTATGGATTACAATAAAGATCCCATTAATATACCAATCTTGATGACTGGAGGGAACCAGGGCAATGGAATCCTGTGGAAGGTATCTTCTGGTGACAGAGTCCTAGTGTAGGTTCACCTGAAGCCCATATCTGCAGAAGTCTCCATGGGATTGAAAAGTTGATTCCTCATGCTGTGCCCTTGGGCCGTTCTTTTCTCTGAACTCCAGTTTCCTCATCTATAAGACAAAAATGAGCACGCCACCAGATCAAGGATTCCAGAGGGGTTTCTAGAGCGGCCTGGAGGCAGGGGCAGAAGGCACCCACTAGCCAGGATATGGTCCCCACTTCCTCAGGACAGGACAGTGCTGCCCTCTCATGTGAGGTATTGAGCCGCTGAGTCAGATTCCTTGGAAGAAAAGGCTTCTGAGGCAAAACACAACTTGAAAAACATCACCAAGCACATCAGCAAGGTGCTGGACACTCTAAATGACAACAAAATGACACCTATTTTTTTCGCAAAGAATTTCTAAGAGCAAACACTGTAACTTCCTTTGGTGTTTACTGGTGTCTCCTAGCAAACAGATATCTGATCGTCTAAAGATATTTTACTGCAAATTAAACCAGCTCCCTCCTAGTCTAGTTTCAAATAGTGACAGGTTTTAAAAGCAGACACCTCTATGCTTTTGTGAAAAGAGCTTTATTGGAGAATAACATCAAGTCTCAGCCATTTCCGAGTTGAATAATGTGACCTGTTTAGTTAACTGTCCCACAGATTGTTTCTAACGCCCTTTCTCTTTTCCTCCGTGCTGCTGGATTGGTCTTCTCTGATTGGTGGACTCGACCACAGGCGTAGCTCAACTGTGAGGAAGCAGGTAAGGGCCGGGTGAGAGCCAGGCTGGCCTGGTGTGCAATGGTTCCATCCCACAGACATTTGTGCAAGTCAACGTGGGCAGGACAGACACTCTGTCTTCATGCCTGTGTCTGGAATGTGCTGTTATTCACAGTATGTTTAATATCGTGACAACTTCATTGATGCAGCTTGTGTAGCTTGAGTGACTCAATCTTTCTGATTTATTCCTCTCCTCTCTCATCATTTACTTCCTTGTGTACTGGAGCTCTGATTGTGATAGATTATGCCAGAATTGCCCATGGTATCACTTTTTCTAGAGACCACAAAAGAAACCTCGTGTTTCCTGCGTAGGTACCCATATGTGACTCATAGCTGTTCCTCACTAGACTGAACTCTCTAAGCTTGCAGATTTGGGGTTTTTTTGGTGGTGTGGTGATTAGATGTATTTCTAAGACATGCTAAAAATGCAAAGCTAAGTCTGTTCCAGGAGATGTTGAACTCTGCAATTTTGTGCACAATCTTCAGTGTGATATTAAGATCTGGCATTGGGCAGTCAGTTCTCAGCACCCACATTCAGAGGGCTCTTCCAGAGCAGTGGTGTGGCTGATCCACATCAGTGGGTAATCTAAATAGCACTTGTGCTTGTTTTTAAAAAATCAATTGAAGTATTTTTTGCAGTAGCAAATTTGACTTCCTAATTATACTTTATGGCAAATACTAAAATGATTTTGTATCCCTAAGCTTTTACCAGTTATGCAGTCAGCAGTTAGTAGAGAGGGGATGGAGACAGCTCAGAAATGCCCCTGTGGCTACTCAGGGGAAAGCTGATCTGGACTCAAAAAAAAAAAAAAAATCATTTTGGGTAATTTACAATGGCTCTAGCCACAGGGAGATCATAGAATGAACAGGGCATCTGGTCTCCCTGGTGTGAGCACCCCCAGCAGAGTCTTCATCTGCTCTGGCTGGGAAACCCAGATTATATACTTCCCACTAGTCTTAGCTTTGCTGTCATTATTTTTACCCCCTCTCTACTTTGGGTCTCATTGTAATGAGAACATCAGCTATGATGACACATTTTTTAAAAATGTCATTGCAACTCTTCTTCCTCTGGTTCCTCTATTTTTTCCTTCCCATAATTTCATTTAACACTGGAAAGGAGTGGAGTGCCTCCCAGGGATATAATTTATTGCATTTTAAATTAATAGGTGGCTACCTTAGAGAGAGAGAGCCTTTTTTTTTTCTGTAACGCTAAGAACTGGCTTGAATTTGGTTTGTTCCTTTCAGTCCTGGGACTGGCACTGTGCCTCGGGCTTCTAGATGGAGCACCCATGCTTGGGCTCCTTCAGAGGGGAGCAGCACCCATCTGGTTTGCATTCTGCTGCACCTAAGCAATTTCAGACAAAGCATTTTTACCTGGTGCTAAATTTGTGCAAGGATTTTTAAAAATCCCAATTAAAGATGTTGTTTTCTCTCTTCCCCAGCAACTCAGATCCAACGGTGGATCAGTAAAGAATTTTTCTAAAATAGAATAAATAATAAGTAATTTGGAAGTTGAGTCATCTTATATCAGTAACCAGGAAATAAATACTTGTTTGTTTGTGGGAAATCAGCCAAGCAAGAGGAAGAATCTGATAACTATTGTTCCTGAGGGTTCCTCATAGATTCCAATAAAAATGCTAAATCAAATCATCTCAGACTTGTCTAAAGGAGATCCTTCAGTTGCTGCCTCTGAGCCTTCCCTGCCCCCCTTTGAGCCCAGCATTTTCTGTGTCCTGTTACTTTTGCACCTTCTATCTCTAGCCATCTTCACAGTCCCTGACGCTTCAAGTCTGTCTTCACTGCCTTTTTTTTTTTTTTTTTTTTTTTAATCGTTACTGTAGTGGCAGGAAGGCACAGAGCAGGATCTTTATGACCCAAGCAGACGGGTAAAGAAGAGTCCTGGAGCCCTCGGTGGCTTTTTCAGGCTTTTATTGAGCTTTTTACAACATTTATCATGCGGGAGGCCAGGGGTAGGGGGGCCGGGAGGCTGGCAGGCCTCCCAGCCCCTGGCAAATCTTCACCCTTTCTGGGCTCTTTGGTGTTCTCTTGTGGTCTCTGCTTCTCTGTTTCTCCTTTGTTGCTCTGCTGGCTCTGCTCTCATCCTTTCTGCTACCCTTTCTGCTGGTGTCCCCATGATGCTGCCCTTATAAACCCAGTCTCAGTCTAGGTGCACCCACCTATGCATGCCCACACCCTATTCCTGGTGGTGTGGACCAGGAGTGTAGGACCACAGGGATCTATTGTTAATGCTAATGGCAGGAGGGCAGAAAATCCTGATAATTTTCACTTACCCTACAACTACCTACATCTAATAAGTAGTCAAGACTTGTATTTTCTGTCTTGGTCAAAGTGGATAATCTAACAAATGTAACAGGGATCGGTACCTGGCAAAATCCTAACTATCTCTCACTCAGACATTACAGGGGGAGGGAGGTTGGTGGGAGGGGCTGCAGCCATCCTGACTTTGTCCAGTTTCTCCCACCAGACTGTATTGTAGGCATCACTGGAATAGTGGGGATCCAAAGGTCCTCTTCTGCAATAGGATGGGTCCTCTCTGGGCTGCTTCTGTTGTGCTGCTGGTAGTGATGGACATGCAGGTTAATAGCGTTGATGCCTTGCTGTCTGCAGCCCTGCAGTCTTCCTCAAGTGACAGCTGAGATTCCATTTCCTACATGTCTAGCCAGAATTTGGCACTCATATCACTGGTTGAAGCCAGCAACCTTTGAACTCACCAGCTGACTTCTCTTTAGGTCTTTATAGATAAACCCAAGACCAGAGAAACTTTATAAAGTTTTTGCTATCCTCATTATCACTGCTACTGCCATGTATAAATGAAGAATAAATGACAGTATTTACAAACTGAAGGACTGAAAAATGGTGGGTTCGTATTTTTATAGTGGAGTACAGTTTCTTTGTTAGTGTAGGATGAGCTGACAAAGACTCTTCAAGACCACCCTGGGCTGTTGGCAGAAGTGAGTGATGGTGACACAAGGGGAGACCCTGGCCACTGCAGCTGGAAGAGCCTATGAGCACTGGGGTCAGCGCGTCCTGACTTGGCCCCACCCCCACGTGCATGGGCCCTGTGGCAGCCCCGGGGCCCCAGCAAGCATGGGAGCCTGACTTCTTCCTGAGGCCCTGCAGCCTCCTAACACTGTCCAAACCTCATGCTGCAGTTGAGAATCCAGAGCCAGGGAGGGCACAGTGAGCCTGTGAAATGAGCTGAAGCTATGGGAGCTGTGCCACCTACACGTGAACATCTAAAATCCCTCTGGCCACATTCAGGGTTCCTGGTCCTCTTCTCCCCCATAGCTGAGTTGTGCATTCAGCTGCATCGTAAAACCAGACTGGCCTTTGGTAATACTTGGTCCGGACCCCTGGCAGTGTTTGCTCAGCAACTAGGATGCAGGATAGGTGGTGCTGACATGTCAGTCTCACAGGGAGTAGGCCTGGGTTTGAACACTGGCCCTGCCACTCCCAGTCACCTTAAGCAGCCATTTCACCTCACTACCCTTCATTTCCTCATTTGTCAAATGAGAATAATGATAGTGGACGCCTCATAGTGTTGTTACAAGGACCAGTCCATCTAGAGTACTTAGATCATGACCCAACACTCTCTAGCGTTCCTCTGTAAGTGGCACACACTGGTGTTCATGTGCATAGGAATGTGCTCACCTTATAACCAATCCTCTCCTCAGCATAGATACCAAATTGAGACTCAGAGAAGTTAAATAAATGGCAGGGCTATTTAGCAAAATGTCAGAACGAAAGTTGACATTTGGGAGCCGTGTTTCTTCACTTAATACCTCTTAGCCACCACTATTTCCCAGAGTTGACTTTTTCTTCCTTACCTTTTATGCCAAATAGCCCCCCTTTCTGAAGCTTCTATTGTTCTATACCCTCTCTCTGCCACCCTCCCAGGGCCAGCACTGAATACCCCAAAACTGACCTAGAGCTCAACCTGAATGGACAGATGCAAACAGATCTTCATGGCCACATAATTATTTCACAATCGAGGTCATTAGGGCCAAGTACAAGATGCTAAGGCCCTGTAGATGGAGGTGCTGTTCTCATCTGAGGATTCTGGAAAAGCTTTTCTGGAGCAGTGATACTTGCACCAAGTCCCTGAGGCATGGGGCTCTGGGATGAGGAGAACATTCCAGAGCAGGAACAGCCCCTGAAAAGCTGTGGGACAAAGAAGGCAAAGAAGGAACAGAAAGAAGGCCAATGTGGCTGTATCAGAGAAATGGGGAAGAGCAAAAGGAGGTGCAACTGGCAGCAAAGATGGGGTCCTGGGCACACAAGGGCTGTGCAAAGAAAGGAGCCAGAAGAGTCCAACCTAGAGTGGAAAGTGGGCTGTGTACTTTGCAGACACCTCACCACTGTGTGAGGGAAGAGAAATAGGGGTTGGAGACCAGCAAGAGCGGGACTGCCAATTTGGTGGGTTGAACAGTGCTGGTGGCAGTAGACACGGAGAGACTGAGTGGACTAGAGATACCTGGGAGGCAGGCATAACAGAATATGCCGATTGGTTGGATGACTGGGAGTAGGGAACTGGTTTAGGATAAAAGGTGAACTGTTCTGTCTCGGACGTGCTGAATCTCAGGCATCTGTGTGGCCTTCCAAGGAGACGACCATGTGCTCTGGAGCTAGGACAGGCCAGGTGCTTCTTTGTAAATTGGCCCCTCATCTATCTTGAGACAAGCTCTGCACAGTTTGGCCCATTTTCTCTGGCCATAGACTATCCTCCTTTAATGATTCTAATACTGTGTTTCTCTGGCCTTTCAGGATTCCAGCCAGGCAATCCCTCTGGTGGTAGAAAGCTGTATCCGGTTTATCAGCAGACATGGTAAGCAGGATTACAACCTTGTCCATATTTGTGCAAAGTTGGGAAGAACTTCCAGGAATTCTTTATAGAGTAAGAATAGGGTTGACTTCCTATCCTGACATTCTCAGAAAAATAATAAAATCTTATTTGTTCACATGTTTGCTACCTGAGAATGGCCGCACCTAGACAATAAGAAAGGCATCTTATGGTTTGGCCCAAAATGCCTCAGCCCACTCACCCACTCCCTATTCTAGCTTGAGAGTGAGTTTTAAATTACAGCTGTTACACGAGTCAGTACAGCTGGTGCGATGTGGTGGTAGTTTCGCTATTACTCACTGTCTTTGCACATGTTGGTATCTCCTCTGCACAGCCTTGACCATGATGTCACATTGGCCTTCTACAGCAGACTGGCTTACAATAGTTCCTTGTGTAATATTACATTGATTCCTAGTAATATTCAGGGTTTTTTCTGGTTTGGTCTCACTGGATACAACATTGCCAAGAGCTCACTTATAGCCAGTTTTAAAGTTAGAGCCTATATTTATATCTGTGGGGCTGGCTCCTTCCCCACCTCAGTCAAATCATACTATCATCTGCTTGGTCAAAACTCAATCTCATAGACTTCATCTCTTACCAGCTCTGAGGTTAGATAGAATTTAGGGATGGAGATGAATGGCCAGAGAAGTGACCTTCTAAATGTAAGGGCGTTAGGAAAGCACAGATATCTGAGCTAGCACTGTGGTTTCTAGGAGCTGGGCATCAGAAATTGTTTGTAGGGCCTCCCTGGTGGCCAAGGGGTTAAGGCACAGCAGACTCTCCTGTCTCACCTGCTGCTCCCCTCAGCAATGTATTTCAATCAATCTGCCTGTTCTGCTCCCCACTCTGTCTCTGGTGAATCCTCTCACTGCTACCCTCCCTCCCCCCGCCCCTGGCTTACATCCCAGTTTTTTTTACAAAAAATAAAGTTTTTTTTCTTTAATTTGTTTGTAGATGCTGTCCTGATAGTCTAGAGAAAATGGGACAGAAGGACCTTCCCAGAGCTAGAGAGGTCATGTAGATGGTTCCTGGTCTAAATCCAGAGATAGCCATTCTCTCTGCCTCTCTTGCTTCCCTCTTTACTACAAACTGGGGCATTTCTTGGGTTCATTTTTGGCATAGGAATTATTTTAGTATGCTCATAACTTACTGCATTTTAACAAGCTATAGTTTTTAAGTCTTACCTCTATTCTCTTGAAATAATGGTATGGATATCACTATTGAACAGTCAACAAACATTTATAAAGCACTTGATTAGTGCTGGGCACCTTGCATGGCCAACCAGGGACACAAAAACAGGGGTTACACTCTGTGTCTGTCTTTACCTGGTTTTGTAACACAGTTAGGAGAAAATAAATAAGCAAGTGGGTAATTAAATAAAAAGAGATAAGCTGTAGTAATTCAGAGTAACAGAACAAGAAGTTTCAGAAGATAGTCATGGTTCATGGTCATGCAATTGGCAAAGATAAATCCAAACCAAGTTCAGGGGAGGAGGAGTTGTTTGTGCATAGAAGACAATAGGAAGAAGAGGGTCTGAACTCCTGTTCATCCACTCACAGCATACATCCCGTTCATTCATTTATTCAGCATGTATATTGATTCTCTAGGGAGCAATATTTCCCCCCCCCCATTGTTTTGATTTGCCACTAGTCTATACAACTACATAATTTTGGGAGTATGTCACATGTCCCTATGTGCACATGTGTCACCCACCCATTAGATCGCCAGTCCCACAACCCTGACACCTTCCCTCCTTCTCCCTAACCCATCACTTAGTACTCAGTGATATTTTTCAGAGTCCAAGAATTTCTCTTGTTTTACCAGTTTGTCATCTTTGGTTATTTATTTTCCACAAATGAATGAAACCATCCAGCAAATGTCTTTCACTTTCTGACATATCGCTTAGCATAATTGTGTCGAGATCCATCCATTTTGCCCTAAAAGATACTATATCATCTTTTTAAATAGCTGAGTAGTATTCCATTGAGTAAATATTCCATAATTTCTTTATCCAGTCATCTGTTAATGGGCATTTAGGCTAGTTCATGATTTGGCTATTGTGAATAATGTTGCTATAAACACAGGAAAGCATAAATCTTTTCATATTAGTGTTTTCATAGTCTTTGGGTAAATACCTAGAAGTATTGCTGAGTCATTGGTATTTCCATTCTTACTTTTTTTTAAGAATAAAATTGCAATTTCTGGCACCAGCTGGATCCAGCACAAAATGGAAGGTTTTGTACCATTTCCAAATAACTTACCAAAAATCATCAGTTTCATACTGTTATGTTAGTGTGGGCTAAGGTGGAAAAGATTGTGGGTTTGTCTGATGGTTACGTGAGGTTATGTTGTGTGTCACATGTATGTTACTGCCTTATAATAAAATCACTTGGTTTTCCCTTTACTTTCTGAAACTGACCATTTATTAATAGTTATACTTTTAGTTTCATTCAGTTGGACACTTCAAAGATTCTACCTGTTGAACAAGAGCACACAGTCATTTTTGTAAAGCATAAATTCTGAGAGGAAGTAGAACCAGACCAAGGGCCCACAGGCTGGACTGAGGAATGAGCACACGGTCACAGTCAGAGGCAGGTATAACCAGCCTGTGTAGTCTAAGGCTGGTCCTCGTTCATCGTCCTTTCACCTAGAAAATGGGCATGCTGATGACAGCTACCTATATGGCCATTATAAGGACCAGTTGATTCATTTATATGAACGCATTTCTTAGCAGTTTCTACACATGCATTATTTTGTTTATAATTATTTCTGCTCCAGCAAATTCAAGAAGGCAAATTTCCATGTACATCATAGCGCAACATGCCTGCATATTTTGCTTTTAGGGTAAAGCTGTAGCCAAGGACCAGTGGCTAGCAGTGTCTGGCAATATTCTCACCCAACTGATCAGTTGTCTTTTCATGTCTTCTGTTTTTCACAAGTAATGAAAATATTTTTCCTTAGAACAGCCAAACGTTCAGCTAAAGCAAGAATTAAAATCGCAGACCATGTGAAACTGATAGTATCTAATGGCATGCCCCAGTTTTCATTCCTGACTCTGGATGAGAAGAAGGTGCCAGGGCCACATCTCCACTTTGCAGGTGGAAACAGAGAAGCAGACTGGGAGGGAACATGGCTCCCAGTCTCCCTTGGAATCGAAAATAGAGCTGAATGCGGACATCACTTCCCGTGAGCCAGTGCTTTTGTAGACTAGTGCCTCCTATTCCTGCTGGTAGCTTTTCTATCCTTGCACAAGAAAGTCAAGGTGCTTAAATACACATTGTCTGGGAGAGACTGACATTCACCGAAACTTGGAGCTATGACTGGGAGTTTTCATTTTCTTCACCTTCATCACTTCTCCTGTCCTTCCAGGACTACAGCATGAAGGAATTTTCCGGGTATCAGGATCCCAAGTCGAAGTGAATGACATCAAAAATGCTTTTGAGAGAGGTGAGGAAAATAACCTTGAAAATAGGACCAAATGCTTGCCAGTCCCTTGGGGTATTAGCCCCACGCTTTCGCCCCTGAGAGGTGCCCAGAGGCCAGGGGGTCAGCTCGCCCCCTCTGCAGCCCAGCACCTGCTCTCCTGCAGTCAGTCCACCCTAGTCAAATGTGATCTGGCAGGGACATGCCAGGTCACGTTCAACATCCTTCCTTCTGAGCCCCATCATCCTGCCTCTCTCCTGAGGATGATCTGCCAAAACTCTAGAAGTTAACTATGATCTCTGGGGGGTTTATGACTTCCCCCGGAACCCTTGGTGGCAGTTAATATCAAGGCTAATGCGCATGTTCATTGTAGCCCATTTATTATCTTGTGGGCTATTAAGGTAATAGGCAAGCTTTGGCAATTTCCATCACTATAATGGATATATATAGTTTCAATTTGAGGTTGGGCCTATCATTAAATCTAATTACATCTGATATGAAATTTTCCATAGGGAGCTCCAGCATGATTGTTCTCCTGTAAGTAGGTGTCCTTTGTTGCAGGCCAGGAGTGAGAGATTCCCAGAGGGCCTGGCCTCCCTCACCTCGTGTCCCCTCCCATGGGCTTAGTCCCAGTCTGGCAGCATTGTTCTTATGAGCGCCAGTGGCTGTGTCCCATCCCCAGCCCACAGGGGATGGCCTGAGCTAGTCTGGTCCCAGCGAATTCATGTTGGTGATCCCTTGTGCCCCTCTCTGGCCCTGGGGCCCCTGAATCTGCTTTATCTGATTCCAGCCCCCCACTCATGATCACCTTCCAGGGCAGAGAGCTGATGGACTGGGAAGAGGACTTTAGCAGGTCACCCCTTTCCCACCACCTCTGCTTCATCCTGTGTGTTTTTGCCTCTCTCACTCTCTTTCCTTTTGGTGGGGGGCCGTGTATCCTCAGGAGAGGACCCCCTGGCTGGAGACCAGAATGACCATGACATGGATTCCATAGCTGGTGTCCTGAAGCTTTACTTCCGGGGCCTGGAACACCCTCTCTTCCCAAAGGACATCTTCCATGACCTGATGACCTGTGTCAGTAAGTACCTTCCCAGCTGAAGACAGGCTTCGGGGCCGGAGCGCCATGTAGCAGCAGATGAGAAACTTCCACGGGCCTTTTGTTTGCATAAGCTTTTTTTTTTTTTTTTTTAAATTTTTTTATTTCATTATTTTTTTACTTTAACATTTATCATTTTTTAAATTGCATAAGCTTTCTGATAATGTTTTCCTTTGCCCAGCAAAGTTCATTCTCCTTATTCTCGTGCCTTTATCCCCTGGTGGAGAAGTCTAGGGCCAGAACTCTTGACTTTTTTCTTTCTGATTTTCCTTCAAACACCTTTGCTTCACTGGGTTTTCTCTTCCTCCAGTAAAATGCATTTATATTCATGTGTAAGACACAGTCCTTCTCAGCTAGTTGAAGGTTATACTTCAGTGCTGGTGCTTGTGCTTTCCACAATATGAAGGGCAATAGCAGAGGCATTGCCAATATCTCCACTTGTTGCTTTAAACGCGGTGTGACATGCTGACAAGCCCAGCCAGTACATGTGCTTCTAGGAAGAAACAAAAGTCCTCTGCACATTTAAAAGTAGCAGTATGGTCTTTTCCCAGAGAGTGAGATAAGATGTTCTCTAACTTATCCTTCATAGAGGTCCTCTGCCTCTTACTCTGAAATTTGGGGCTTGAAAATCTTTGTCTGGCCATTTCGTTTAGTTCATGATACTGGAACATCGTCTCAATTATTTTTTTTGGAAAATGATCCACAGAAATTTGGATTAATATCAGACCATCCTGGAAGCAGACACCATTAGAATGATGACTCTGGAGGTTGCAGGAGGCAATGTCTTTGAAATGGAGAAAAGATTCTTTCCAGATCCGCTGGGGTTTTACTGACCTGCCAATTTGACCCAGTGTATGCCATGAGGACATCCCCACCCCCAGTCCCTGAGAGAGGAGGGGCTGCAGTGGCCAGCTGCTGTCTCCTTTGGTTTGCTAGCCTGCTATTTGTGGGAATCTAGTGGACGTGAGTTTTGTAGTGACCAATAGCATCCCTCACGTCTTCATGGCTTTTTCCAGGACTGGGCTTAGGGGGAATATCTCGTATCTGGGGTCACCAAGTCAGTCTGAGATACCTTGGCTGCCCTATTCTTCCTTGAGATGTTCCTAATCCAGTGCTAATTGTTTCCCTTCCACATAAAGGCACTCCTAGGAGGGACGATACCCACGTGGCAGACTGTCGAAGTGGGAGACTGGTCACGGTGGAGGCCTGAACCTAGGGCTGTGGCTTAATTAATCTGTCCACAGCACAAGAGACTTTTCGGTCTTTTCCCTAGACATCACTGCTTACCCAGGGTCTGCCATTGCTTGCCTCTGGCCATGTTCTGCTCATGCCCGCTGCAGACAAGGGAAAGGGGAAGATACGCCAGACTTTTCTGGACTTGGACAAGGTGAGGCCCATCAGAGCAAGCAGGACAGGGCCTGTGCAGCCTCTCCCTCCACACATACACACCCTCCACCCTGGGTGCCAAACAGTCGCTGCAGTTGTTTTAATGATAGGAGGATGGTAGATTTCTGTGGGAAGCCTCTCAGCCCTCTGCCCGAGGAGCAGATCGCTTTTAGTCCTGCCTCAGTGTCCAGAGTCCAGCCTGTGTGCCACGCAGCAGCCCTGCCCCAAGGAGTCATAGGGATGGAGCTCCTTTCACTGTGGCCTGGTACCTGACAGACTTAACCTGAGCCCTTTGTTGCACCTGCTGGTGGGCGGGTCTTCTGGCTACTGCTCCTGGGATTTCAGTCACAGTGGAGAGTAACACATGGTTTTCTTCTTTCAGCAATGGATAACCTGCAGGAAAGAGCTCTGCACATCCGGAAAGTCCTGCTGGCCCTGCCCAAAACCACTCTGATCGTCATGAGATACCTCTTTGCCTTCCTCAGTCAGTGAGTAGACTTCCCAGTGAGCACCTGCATTGACCCTTGGCTCCGGCCACCAAGGTTTACCTGGGGATTTCTGTCGGTTCATTGGGCCCAGAAAATATTGATTGAACACCTATGATATGCTAGGCACAAGGCAATAAGAATACGTGGTTAAATAATAGACAAAAGCCCTGATGTCATTGAGCTCACATTCCTGGGGAGGAGACCAGCAAAAATAGACACGTTGGAAAGTACAGAATGCACTTTAAGGGGTAGAATATGCAGGCATCTGAGCAGCAGTAGTTCGTCCAGCCTGCCTTGTGGGGGTTGCTGCAAACGGAGGGATACCTAAAGAGGCTTTTTTGTGGTCTCAGCAAAGAGTATTGGGGGAACTGAGGAGATAATGATGGGAGGTGGTGAGAATTTATAAAGGGTCAGGTTTGGGATTTATTACAACACTGACAGGCCTTGGGTAGGATGGAGTGTGTGAGAAAAAAGAGAAATTCTAAAATGTAGGTATGAGCGACAGGGAACTAGTGATGCTGTTTTGGGTCTGGGAGGCGATCGGGACAGATGCCAATGTGGGCGCATTCATTTGAGGTACCTGATACCTCAGCGCCAAGGGGGCTGAGTGTACAGTCCTACCTTCAGGGGAGCAGGCTGGAGTGAGGCTGCGTAGGGGTCATTGTGCACTGCTGCTGCTTAGCTGGTCACCCTGGGAGTGGTCTGAGAACCAGAGGGCCCTGGGCTTGGACAGACACCTCTTCACACCCGAGCAGCGTATCCTCACCCAGCAGGCACCGAGGCCCTCGTGGCAGCAACGGTGAGGAGCAAGGATGTGTGGTTCTCCCCTTAGGCTCTTCTGCTTTTTACATTGCTTTTACTGCAGCCTCTCCCTCAACCTGGTGAGTCACCAGTGGTGACCTGGGGGCAGGTAAGGCCCATGGGTGTGTTCCCTCTGGTCGCTGTGTCTGTGGAACCCCGAAACATTTAAATATCCAGCGCTTTCACTTTTAACAACCTAGATGTCTAGCCTCACAAAGCATTATGCAACCTGACCATACTGAACCTGTGTTCCCAACCGGCAACAGCGCCCCGGGAGGTAGGCCTGCTGCCTGGAGGAGGTGGCACTCCTCAGCCCACCAGGCCAGCTTTCCACACAGTGGGGAAGCGTTTCTCTGCATCCATGAACCTATCAAAGGTGGAAAAAGAAAATTAGACCAAGGATTAGGGTGTTTTAGCTCATCTTTCCTTTTTTTTAAGATTTATTTATTTATGCATACAAGAACTGGGGTACAGGCCAGAGCTGCTGAGGATGAGAGGATTCACCAGAGACAGAGTGGGGAGCAGAACAGGCAGATTGACTGAAATACACTGCTGAGGGGAGCAGTGGGTGAGACAGGAGAGGTCTGCTGTGCCATGTGGGTAGCTCCCTGGCTGGGGATTGAACTCGTGCTGCAGTGGCTGCAGATTGCTTCATAGTGCTGAGACTTATCACCTCGTGCCACCAGGGAGGCCCCTTAGCTCATATTTCTTTGTGAAAATCAAGTCTTCCTAGTCAATCAGTGTCTCCTTCCAGGAATACTAGTTTAGAGACCAACTCATGAGCCTCGGCAGCCTCATGGCAGCCTGGCCCTCAACGCATCTGGGCTAGCAGCCCACCCTTGGACCTTCCTGGGTTGCCCCAGCATCCTTCAGCCCTGTTGCTCGCCCTGCAGAGTGACAAGGTTCCTGGCCTGCAGCCTGCCTCCCTGAAGTGGCCATGTGTGCCCCGCTCAGCACTAGGCCTTGGTTCGCACCGTGATTGCCTTTGAGCTCAGACCCCCTCTTGACTCACACAGGACGTTCACATGCTGCGAAAACCCCAGTCATGACGCCCAGTCTGTCAGCCCCTGAGGGTCTCCAACCCTTGTCTCCCTGTTGACCTATGGTAAATGGCCTCAATGAGCCTTGTCTGCTCCCCCAGAACGAGGAGCTTGGCAAATGTGGGTAAACAGTGGATCAGGGGAGATCATGGGGGCAGGGTGTCTGTAAGTACAATGGCCTCATTCTCTTCCTCATATTTTCTCCCTGGTAAAGAAAGGGTGGGCAGAGCTTCCAGGAGGGGAGAAGCAATGGCAAGAGCTTCGAGCAGGTCTGGGTAGGGCGATGTCACCGAAGGAACACAGAACTGCACAACAAGTCAGTGATTGCTTTTGTTTTACTGTTTTTTCTGATCAAAAAAGATTAATTTTATCATCAAAGTATTTCATTGAAAAGATGCGGAATTAATAATCACTGTGTTTCCTGAAATAATGAATGGAAGGCACACAAGACAGACACAGGGGAAGATCACATCTATAGGCAGGACAGTGATGAGTGTTCCTGGCGGACAGGTGTGACAGCGGTCGCCAGGTAATTCCTGCCCCTGATCTTCAGGATCCTTCTCCTTTGTTGCCTGGGTCCTGGGTGTGTATGTTCTTCATTTCTGACTACAGTCTTTTTCTTGAGTAATACACATCCTTAATCTCAAAAAACAAAAAACAAAAAATCCAGAAAACTGAGTATAATATATATGGCTCATGTCCTTTAAAATGCTGGGTCTGCTACATGAGTCTTGGGTACATACCTTCCAGCACACCTTACTAATCATTGGCATTATCCTTTCTTAACATCTGCATTAATTGCATATTGCATTAATTATCTAAACAATAAGCATTTCTTATTATCACAGTTTCTGTGGGCCAGGGGAGAGAAAAGGGGGGTTATCTCAGCTGAAGGCTTGACTTGAGGAGGATCTGCTTCCAAGTTCAGGTGCCCGGTAGTTGTTGGCCTCCATTCCTGGCTGGCTGTTGGCCAGAGGCTCCCCTCTGTCCTGTACCTTGAGCCCACCATAGGGCTGCTCACAAAAGGCAGCTAGCTTCTCTCAGGGTGAGTACGAGGGCGCCTAAGACAGAAGCCACAGTCTTTTATCACATAATCTTCGCGTGACATCCTATCCTATCTGCCATATTCCACTCACTAGATGTGCGTCACTGGCCTTAACCTATACTCAAAGGGAGAGAATGGCACAAGGATGTGACTACCAATAGGCAGGGGCCTTGAGGTTCATTTCACAGGCCACCTAGTACCCCAGCAACTGTAGTACCCAGTGAGTTTTGCCCCTCAACAAAGTGTGGGTAAGCACCCCCACAATAGCTGACTCTACTGCTTGCCTTTGAAATCTGATCTCTTCAGGTGTCAAGTAATGTTGGCTTCTAATCTTCTGCTAGTCAAGGGAGGCCTGTAGAACATCAGGCTCTGCAAGGCATCATCTGGGAGGTCTTAGAAACGCAGACGCTCAGCCCCTGCCCTACCAGCCCAGAGGAGTCAGCATCCTCTGTGTTTTAACAAGGTCCCCCGGTGAGTCACATGGACATGAAAGTCCAGGAAGCTCCACTCTAGGTCCTCACATACTGTCTGCAGTTTCAGAGAGAGGCTGGGGGTGCTCCCCACTGCCTAGGATGGGAAAAGCTGAGTCTTCCCCTAAACATCACCAAGCCCAGATGCTACCTGGTCAGGGAAGACTCTGTCTAGTCTTCTGACTCTCCCACGGAATGTTTTGGCTCCTGTATGCAAATGGACAAGTAAAATTGTGGCTAGATTGTCATGGAGACTCAAGATGCACATCTGTTTATTCACTTATTTTTTAATGCATGTTTATTAAGCTCCTGCTGTAACTATGCCAGCCAGTTTCAGGTGCTGGCTGAGCACGCACCAGTCATGGAGCATGTGTTCTGCTGGAGGATAAGGGCTGCCCAGGAAAATAAACAGGTTACAGGGCTGAGATTGCCAGGGTCAGGCCGCACCGGGCAGGTGACAGTGGGCAGGGATGTAGGAGAACCAGGTAAGTGCGCCCCAGAAGTATGAGAAAACAATCTTCTGTGTCTAGGTCGTCCAGTCTGTGGTCTTTTGCTATGGGAGCCCTGGTACAGCCCAGTACAGTCACATGTCGCTTATCAAAGGGCGTGTCCCAGGAAGGCGTAGCGAGGGAAGAGAAGGAAGAGACATGATGGCACTGAGGCTTCCATCAGGACCCTGATGAGCACTTGGCAGAGCGGAGGGACCTTGAAAACGTCCCACTGAGTGAAAGAAGCGAGACAATTCCATTTATATGAAATATCCAGATTAGGCCAATTCCCAGAGACAGAAAGCACCAGCAGACTGAAATACACTGCTGAGGGGAGCAGTGGGTGAGACAGAAGAGGTCTGCTGCACCATGTGTGAATATGGAGAGCATTTTTTTAAGATGGTCGCTATTACTGCATGTTTGTTGGCTGGTGGGAATGACCCAGTAGAGCCAAAAAACTGATGGGGAGATGATGGGGAGAGATAGGACAACTGATGGAGTGGTCTTCTCGAGGAGGTGCAAGGATGGCAATTGCTGAGAGGGGCATGTAAGGGGGCACGTAAGGGCACAGAGGCAAACTGGTGATAGAGTGAGAGCTTGGAGGATTGGGGTGATGGCGTGACACCTCACAGGCACTGAGGAAAGACCTCTAAAGAACATCCACAAAGAACGACAGAACCACCTTCTACTTCTCATCTCAGCCTTCTGGGGAAGGCCGTAGTCAACATTCATACAGGAGTTGTGGGGTTTCCCAGGGCGAAGGTCCAGTGGGTTCCCAGCCCCACCTTCTACCCAGAGCTGTGCCAAAGAATACAGTTTCTCCTCATCCCTTTCAAACCTGAAATCCACTCTGGCACATAGTATCTACCCATTATCTCTTGTTGCCAAATCAAACCACCAGAGCCTGGGAAATTGAAGGTTTTAAAATAAGTGTCGTTGAAGCAGCTGTCCGGAGCCTAGTGCCCTGCCTGAGGACTTGATGCTTGGATTTGGGATCTAGAGTCCTCAGCGTGTTGAAAACACCTGTCAGGGCAAGATAACTAGACTCCTGCCATGCGCGGCGCCCCTCCTCCTACCACCTGGCTCAGTCAAGAGTCCTGTGCTAAGAAGTGTGCAGGACATTGTAGTTGCAGAAGATACTTATTGATGCCACCTGTGTGTGTGCACATGCTAAGTGCTTCATGGCATGTATTATCTCAGGTGATCTCCACAGGAGCCCCGTAAAGGGGGTAAATAGCATCCCCATTTTATTTATTTATTTATTTATTTATTTATTTAAAGATTTATTTATGCATACAAGAACTGGGGTACAGGCCAGAGGTGCGTGTGATGAGAGAATTCACCAGAGACAGAGTGGGGAGCAGAATAGGCAGACTGAAATACACTGCTGAGGGGAGCAGTGGGCGAGACAGGAGAGTTCTGCTGCACCATGTGGGTCAGCTCCCTGGCCAGGTATCAAACTCGTGCTGTAGTGGCTATGCATAGCTTCATAGTGCTGATGCTTAACTCCTTGCGCCACCAGGGAGGCCCACTTCCCCATTATATAATCAAGAAACTGGGGAACTCAAGAGGTTGACTGGATCCTAGAGGACAGCGATTCTCCCCACAGGGATGCTCACGTCCATTCTGCCACTTTTCCTGTTCTGCAGTGGTTCTCTAAGGAGAACAGGGCACCTGTCAGGATCTTCAGTAGAAGAGAGAACCATTAAGCTAGAGACCAACTTGGCAATGTGAACCAGGGTTCAGAATACACTCGAAAGACACTGCCCAATTCTGAACAACAGCTACTGAGATTAAGAGAGCTGAGTCTGAGGCCAGCACCAGGGACTTTGGTTTCTCCTTAAGGGCCTGTCGGAAGCAGGCCCCGCCACTACCTAATGATGCCCCGAGGCGGGCAGGACTTCTGTGCCAGAGCTCACAGCTCTGCAGGCAGTGAGGACAATACCCAGAGCTGGCCGAGCCGCCAGTGCCTGGATGGAGAGAGACCTCTAGGGCCACGTCTTTGCCTCACTGAAGGACTTCAGTCTTCCGCCACGGTTGGAGGTGTGGCTGGAGCAGCTGCTGACTGTAAAGGGGAGTTCCTGGGCAAATACCCGCTAATGAAGTCAGATGGGGGACACCTGCGTGGCATGCTGACCGTTTCCGGAATAAATCCTGAATGTAATAATACAGGAGGGTATTATGAAAAACAATTGTATTATCTGTTCCAGAAAAAAAATCACTGACTTAATAAAATGCAAAAGCTAATCAGTTGGCTACTTTTTTATAAGTCCAGAGTTTAGAATGGAATCTCCCTAACAGCTTGATGGTTTTTCCATGTGAGAAGGTGCACATGTACAGCGCCATCTTTCAAGTCCATCACTGTCCCTCAGCCCCAGGGGCTCTGATAGGTGGGCGAGGCTGTGGGGCCACACCCTGCCCTTGTTCTCATAACAACGTGAGTTTGGTATAGAAGGTCTGGGCAGTGATGGTAAATAGGATTTGAATGGGGAGCTAAAGAGACTGGGGTGTGACCTACAACTGTTATAGGGCAGCCCCTATACAAAACGGGTTTGCCTGACTGTGGGTCCTCACCCGCGCGCTTAAAAGGACTTATTAATACTCTACTGCAGGCACACACGAAAGGTTAATAAAAGGTTTATTTGCAAGGGAAGGGCAAATGAGGAAATGTATAACTCAGGGAGAAAAGTGGGAGACAAAGTCTTAAATGCATCCTACCCGATCCGCCAATCTGGAATCCCAAATGGCACTCTGAGAGCTGGTCACGAGTCAGGAGCCGTGAAGCTGTTAGGGGGAGAGGATGTCCTAAGCTAATCCCATACAGGCTTTGTGGACCCCACCCCCACTCCAGACTAAAACCATCAGGACATTGGGAAAAACAAATCCCATCACCACCAAAGGGAGGGTGGCTGGGACCTGAGGGTGGAGCTAAACAGCCAGGTTGGGTATAAAACCAAACACGTGGGCCTTGGGGGGCTCATGGTCGCTCGCCTCCTGGCTACACAGCTCCTGGCTTGCGGCCAGCTCTCAGAGCGCCATTTTGGGATTCCTGATCAGCGGATCAGGTAGGACTCATTTAAAACTTTGTCTCCTACTTTTCTCCCTGAGCTGTACATTTCCTCATTTCCCCTTCCCTTGTAAATAAACCTTTTATTAACCTTTCGCGTGTGCCTGCAGTAGAGCATTGATAAGTCCTTTTAAGCGCGCGGGTGAGGACCCACAGTCAGGCACCCCGTTTTGTGTCAGGGTTGCTCTACAACAAAGCCAGGAGGCGAGTGAGAGAGCGAGGCCCTCAAGGCCCACGTGTTTGGTTTTTTTGCCAAACCTGGCTGCTTAACTCCACCCTCAGGTCCCAGCCACCTTCCCTTGGTGGTGACGGGATTTGTCTTTCCCAATGTCTTGATGGCTTTGGTCTGGAGTGGGGGTAGAGTCCACAAAGCCTGCATGGAATTAGCTCAGGACATCCTTTCCCCCCAACACAATGGGCACCTCCACTTTGCCTCTCTTTGGCTCCTGAATGACCATCCGGTGCTCATTCTCATCTCCCCCACCAACCTTCTAGAAGGGCCCTGACACCCGGCAAAGTAGGCAGCAGTTTACAGAACATACACTTGGCAGTGCAGCCCTTGGTTGTGTTTTCCAAGCACTCATGCGTGTGTCTCCAGCTCACCCTCTCCCTTCTCCTCCAGCTTGTCACAGTTCAGTGAAGAGAACATGATGGACCCCTACAACCTGGCCATCTGTTTCGGGCCCTCCCTGATGTCAGTGCCTGAGGGCCACGACCAGGTGTCCTGCCAGGCCCACGTGAATGAGCTGATCAAAACCATCATCATCCAGCATGAGAACATCTTCCCGAGCCCCAGGGACCTGGAGGGCCCGGTCTACAGCAGAGGAGGAAGCACTGAGGATTACTGGTAGGGGCTGTGGCCTGGAGGAGGGGAGGGCGTCTCCAATCACACTCATGTGGAGCCAGATGGCCAGGCAAGCTCAGAAGGGAAACGCCCAGCAACCCCTCCCCATCCTGGGCGTTTCAAACTGCCAGGGTCTGGGGGTGGGGTAGGCAGTGCCCCACCTTTACCTGCGGAGCAGGGCCACTTCACATCACCTTCCATTTTCTGAAAGATAATGGCAACAGTGAGGGTGTCTCCAGGACAGTGTTGTGTCTCCGGGAAGGGCGCTCCTGTCACAGTACAGGGAGCTGCTGGCCACGGACACTCCTGCTCTGTCCTGTGTGTAAGAGAGAAACACAGGTCCAATGGGAGAGTTCAGATACAAGGCTTAATATCCTGACTGTGAGTGAGTAAGATGACTGTTTAGAATGATTCCAGAAATTTGTGAAGAGAAAGAAGGGTAAGCTTCATCTTTGGCGGGTTAGGCAGAGTTCCGCCCTGAAGCAGGGTTAGATTCTGTGGGCAAGGCTCATGGCCTAGCCTGGAGTCAGAGATAGAGAAGGAATCCTTAGGAAACCTCCACCAAACAAACCATAAATCACTATATTGTTTTATAGATAAAGTCACTGCAACCCATAGGGTCAGTGGCAGTTGGGACACCCCAGCGATGGGGTGACCTGTCAGTACAGGAACCATCCACTGCGCCCCATAGCCCCCAGGACATACTCACAGGGACATTTTTCCACTAAACACAAAGACAAACATCTCCCTTGTCTACTCTCTGATACCCCTTGCCCTCTCTTCTTCCTCCCCCTCCCTTCTTCCCCTAAATAAATTCCAGTCTGGGCTAAAAGCAGAAGCCAGCCCAATCGGATTCTGTCAGAATCAGCATCTGGAGTTAATTCAGTCAACCTCAGTGCCACCAGCAGAGGTAGGGGAGCACAGGGGAGGTTATTTACCTAATTAGAAACCAATTGGCCCACGCTGCTCCTTGATCCGCACAAAAGGAGCTGCCGCCCAGGGAGTGAAGAAAGTGATATTCGTGTGTCTGAACATGACACCTCACTGACATGCCTGGGTTTAAACTCTTCTGCCCTCAGATTCCAGCCTCTGGGCTGACTTGGAGAATCATAGGCTTGCCACGCAGAAAGTGTTTGGTCCTGGCAGATGGCTGGTGGGGACTTGGGAGGTTTCAGGTTTCAGCCTACTGGCTGGGGTGGGGGTGGGGGGGGTTCTAGGGACTGTCCTTGAGCATGTGACTTGGGGTGCTAGCTTCCCTTCACCTGGGTGTGGAAAAGCTGTAGAACAGTGTCCCCAGTCCCTGCTTTGTCTTCCTTCACATCTCAAGATCGAAACACTGCAGGCCCTGGACTGAGCTCAGGACACAGACCCCTCAGCTCTGTTTCCCAGTCCCAGCCCAGTGAACAGCAGCTTGGGGGGAGGGGTGTTCACTCAACATGTTATAGGACAGGGAGAGGGGCAGCCCAAACCCCGCAAACCTGCCTATTCTAAATGGGTTCTGCCATCCGCCGCATCAACACAAAACATAGGAGACTTTAATGGGAAGGAACTTTAATTAAACTAGAAAACAACACAGGTAAGGCAAAGAGTCTAGTTTCTAAATGAAGCATCCAGAGTTACCCATCCCCTCGTGGGTAAAAGTCCATCCAAATGGGATTGGCCCAGAACAAGGCCCCAAAGCCTGCCACAAGTCTAAAGCATCTTTCAGTGGGGACCCACAGAAAAGGGTCACAAACAACCGGACAAGCCCGGAAGGAAAAGAGCAAAATCAACATCAAGATAAAAGCTGCCATTGTCACCTCCCCATGGGTCTCACCCACGTCTATGTCACCCAGTCCACAACCCAAAGGCAAGCGCAGTTTCTTCACGTGTCTCTAGGCTCCACGCACCTCCTCCAGGTCTCCTGGCTCCATCCTGCTTCCTTCCTTCCTCAGTCTCTTCTGCAGCTTCTCCTCTTCCTGCTCAGCTCCACCCTCCCTTGGGTGGGGCAGGGAACCTCCCCCTTTCCTGGGGACCACCCTGTTACAAACAGATCAAGGACAGATGGGCACCTTCCTCCACGTTTCTCCAGTGTTCTCCCCCTACCCTCCCATGATTGTTGTGCATTCACATTATTGGAGTCTTTGCAAGAATCACCAGCTTAGTCAGGGAGTGAGGGAGTGTTATTTCTACATACTGGGTGGGAGACTTCCAGGCTCAGAGCCAGTAACACCTGAAAATCAAGAGTAAGTGCCCTTGGTGACAAGGACCTCTGACCCCTGGATTCACACCCTCTCAGAAGGCCCCGCTCTCCCTCCTTTGGGAAGAAAGAGAAGTGCCAGCGACGTGCATTAAGACCAGTGCATGAGTCGAGGGACAACTAGAGGCGAGGGGAGCACCTGGCTGTGTCAAGATCCCTTTCCCCCACACTTAGCAACCTGAAACAACCTGTCTCCTAGGCCTGCAGGCTGCGTTGCTTCTGGTGGGCCGGGAGAGAGGGTAGCATGCTGCTATGTTGTGAGGCATTCAGGGGCCCCCAAATTTGGAGAACTGCCATCTTAGTGAACTGCAGCATAAGTCAACACAAAGCTCTGGGGAAGAGGAAATCTTTTCCTAGGTTACCTTAATGTCACCAAACACATCAGAGGGTTTTTAGGCCCAGAAAACAGAAATTGTGTCCACATGTTCTGACTAAAAGAAATCCCTGTTGATTTTCTTCAAATGTTCTCTGGAGTCTGGTGACCCTCCTGGGAACCGGCTTGCTTTGTACGGGGTAAGTTTTGAACTGGCCCCCTGATCGTTGAGGAACTTTCTAGTAGTGAAGGACCCGACCCATGGAAAGGAAGAGGCTGAAGGCTCAGAGGTAGAAGCTGAGGCCAAGGTGTGGGGCTGAGGAGGTGCTGGTGCTTCTCCTGAACTATCTAGAATCCTCACTTGTTACTACCAGAGACAGAAACTGTAGACATGAATGGAATTTTTCTCTGCTTTTGAGGAAGAACTTCCTTGTGTCCATCCCCATAGATTCTGAGTTCATGAGTATGATCTAGAAAGATCTTCCTTCACCATTCTCAGTCTCTGCCCTGGATGATTCTAGACTCTATGAATTTGTTCAAAAACTTGGCCTGGCTTCCAACCCATGCCCCCTTGCAGAGCCTAGCCCTGCCCTTGTTTCCCACCCATTTCTGTAACTCACCTCCCACCTTCTCACCAAAACAGCCTGGAGACACGGGGCCAGGAAGGGGGGGTGGGCATGCTCGCTCAGCAGCCCTCTCCCTGGGCTCCTTCTGCACTTAGTTCACGCAGCTTTGTGAGGTGTACAGGTCTTGTCCTCAATTTACAGATAAGGCAACTGAGGCGTCAAGAGAGTAAGTAACTTGCCCAGCGTCACAACTACCTAATGTCAGAACTGGCTTTGGATCCAGTTGTATCTGATGCTAAAGCCCGACTTTCCTCTAGGAACTAATTCATCATTCATCTAGAAAATAACTCCTGGGGATTTTATAAGTTCAAAAGGCGTCCCCTTTGTGTGAAGATTATTCCGAGTCCAAATACTCTCAACCAATTTTTGTAGAAAACCCCTGGAGCCCCTGCTCTTCCTTAGAAGCCCTTGTCCAGTGCATGCAGTCAGAATAGAGATTCCACAGATTCCATCCCTCACTCTGAGTAAACAGCATGAAGGAGGAATCAAGAATTTTGTAGGCAGACGCTGATGTCCAGCCCCTTTCGCTTCTGTTGCAGTGACAGCCCTCATGGAGAGACTACCTCGGCCGAAGACTCCACCCAGGACGTGACCACCGAGCACCACACGAGCGATGATGGTACGAGGCAACTGCTGGTCAGGGGCCCAGAGGGAAGGACACCACGTCCTGTGCTCCTGATGAACTTCCTGCCCAGCAGCCCCTGAAACCAAGTCAGGAGCATCCCTGTCTCTCATTTCACTCCCTCCCTTCCTTGGTGCGGCAGCCCACCTTAAACAGACTGGCCTCGGGGTTAACCTAGTGGTGGAGAGCTGAGACCGGTGGAGAGCTGAAACCAGACCAGCTCCCTGCCACTCCCTACCCCCAGCTCCCTGCTCCACCTGGCTGTGTCACCTGCATGTTGGCCCCAACCCACCCTCCAGACTCCTGCCAGGTAGCTGGGGGCCAAAGCAAAAGAGACCTCAGTTGAAAAACAGCCTGGAATGGTGTGCCAGGAACCCAACAGGAGCAAGCCAGAGGGCACGGGGGAGCAAGGATCCAGAAACCACATGGTCTCATGCCCCTCTGGAAAAACTGACACTTCCTAACATGTCAGTATGGAGAGTTGTGTGTGGCCTGGTGGGTATGCGTCAGGAGGTGGAACGCACAGCTGTCAGCCGCTGGCCCTTCGATGGTACCCATGATTTATTAGGGCTTGTCCAGCCAGCATGTTTCCCCTCCTTCCAACAGCTCCGCAGCTCCATTTATGGATCACTTGGGCTATGGAAGTATCAGCAGCTGACCGGAGCCTCAGAATTTTCTGGGCATAAGAATGAAATGGCACAGTTTGCAGACCTCTCCTTCCTCCCTGCCTTGCTGCAAATTCTGCAATCCTAGGCCAGCTTTTAAAAGAGAAATCTTAGGACTTCTTATTTGGGTCCTGATGTTGGCTGGCTCAGTGTAATAATTTACTACATTATGGGAAGGGCGTCAGTGAACTGGGGAAATTCATATTTGCTTAGAGTTTTCCTTGTGCCTAGCCTTGTGAGAAGCTTTGTATATCTTATTGCTTACACTCTAGTGAAATGGATGTAGCCGCAATTTGAATTGAGAGAACTGAGGGCTAAGCGAGGTCAAATGACACAGCCAAAGCCTCATAGAACCAAGGCCAGACGTTCAGCTGGACATTCAGCAGGGCCTGCTCTGGCCTGCCTCCTAGGGGGCATCCCTAGCTGACCCCTTCTGAAGCAGAGTCCAGCCACTGCTGGGCGGGCATGCTTTTGCTTTTAAACAGCCTTTTTCTCCACTAGTCAGACTATCTGAACCTCAGGATCAAAATTTCTGCTCGTTTTCCTTTTCCTCTCTGGCCCCTACCTGCAGCCCAGAACTGATAACAACAATGGTGACAAAAATAACAATAGCCCTACTATGGACAGGCCCAGCTCTGTCCTACGAACTTTTTACTATTTGTTATGACTCAACTTCTCTTTTTTTTTTTTAAGTTGTATTTACTTATTTATACAAGCACTGGGTACAGTGGGAGGGTGAGAGAATTCACCAGAGCCAGAGCGGGGAACAGAACAGGCAAGACTGATGAAGTACACTGCTGAGGGGAGCAGCCAGCGCGGCAGGAGAGGTCTGCGTGCCATGTGGGACCCTCACCGGTCGCCGGAGATCAAACCGGCGCTGCAGAGACTGTGGGCAGCTTCGCAGCCCAGCGCTCAACCGCTGCGCCACCAGGGGAGGCCCATGACTCAACTTCTCTTAACAACTTCATATACAAGGAACTGTTATTATCCCTGTTTATAGACAAGGAGATGGAAGTCACAAAAAAGTAAAAATAAGTCACCTTTGTAACCTCTTGTAAGTTTTCAGATTCCTCTCATGCCTATTTTCATATATTGCTCACATTTCCGTATTTCACTCTCTGGAAAGTAAATTGGGCAAGTTATTTTTTCTTTATAGAGGCTGAAAGCTTATGTTTGACTTAGATTAATACATAACATAAATTATTTAAAATACAGTACGATGAATGGACTATAATTAAAGGAGTTACTTTGTCATCAGAAAAGAAGTAATGCTTACAAATGTGGTACAGTAAATTCAATCTAAAGATTAACATAAAAACACAGTGGAAACACCAAAGAACCTGTTGTCGGGAAACAAGTGATATTTAAATTGTCACTTGTGTTTCATCAGGCAGGTGAGAAAGAAAAGGACTTCAGGTAGAGGGACAGTGAGCAAGGGCACGGAGGTGGCACAGCTCCTATGGGAATGACCAGCTTTCTAGACCAGCCCTGCCTGATTTCCTCACCAGTTACCTCCCCACCACTGTTAAGTTCAACTAACTGGACCTTCCACCCCCGCCCCTAAGTCTGTGGGTCCCGGCAATAGTGTTTCTTTCTGTTCCACCCTCTCAGAGTGCGAGCCCATTGAGGCCATTGCCAAGTTTGACTACGTGGGCCGAACAGCCCGAGAGCTGTCCTTCAAGAAGGGGGCGTCCCTGCTGCTGTACCAGCGGGCTTCGGATGACTGGTGGGAAGGCCGGCACAACGGCGTCGACGGCCTCATCCCCCATCAGTACATCGTGGTCCAAGACACGTACGTTGGCTCCCCTGAACCTTTTGGTGGGGGGGTCCCTGGCTGCACTGTGGGAAGGAGACTTTATTTCTGGAGCCGCAAGAGCGTGAGGGAGACTAGCCCCCAGGGGGCACCAACAGCCCCTGGTGACACTTCCTTGAAGGGGGGCCCCCAGTCTCAGTGGGACATTGTTTTTTAACGTCTCCACTGCTTCCCCTGCAAGTCACCGCCTCCCCCGCCCACCTTTCCCACCCCCAGCCCCCCAGTCACCTTAAATCTTGACAGCCAGCCAGCACTCACCCGTACTTATACCTGACGAGTGCTAAGGAAAGGATATTATTTGTCCACATACATTTCGTTTCTGGAAAGATCAGACTGGGAAAACATTTTTACTTCTCGCTTTTTTTTTTTTTCTTTAAACAAATTATTCTCACCCCATCCTGTTGGGCCACTGATGATTCTTTTCCATCTGCAGATAAAATGATGAGTTACTTTTCTAGAGAAATCTAGTTTACACAGCCTTGTGGAAATGACCCAGATAAGGTCAACTGGGGGAAAGATGGGGGAGAGGAGGGGAAAGGAAGTCTGGGAGCAGAGTGAGCCAGCGAGGTCTGGTCCCAGAGTGACTTTGCCTTGGGCTGTAAAGCCGCATCCCCTGGGCAGGAAGACTTCTCCCCTCAGGCCCACCCTAGCCTGCCTCTGCCCTCCCCCTCTCTGCCCCACTCCCTTCCCTCAGGTATGCTGCTGTCAGTGTTTTTAGTCCTTCCCTTAATATTATTTTTTAAAGGTTGATATCCTGAGTCTGCGCCCTCCCAGCCTCTCCCTGGCTCGTTCTGCGGGGAAATCCTCCCTCTGTTGATAACATCGCAAACCTGGTGGCATCTATGCGTGGACAGAACCCTCCCAAATTTAGCATTATGACTTCACTACAGGATGGAGAGAAGATGAATTGTGGGGGAGAAGGGGCTTTCTTTGTCATCAGTAGCCAGAGGGGCCAGGAGAGCAGTGGCCAGACCTGGGAGCGGCTGGACGCCCTAAGCAGGACGACAGAGCTGCTGTCCCGCCTCCACCACGCCTCCCGGAGCCGCCGCGAGGGACTGGCTTACCCGCGAGCTCGGGACCTCAGCAGATAAACCACGACTGGACTTGCCACCTCCTTCTCCAGGAGGTGGCCCCAGCACAGTGGCCCCAGGAGAGCAGCGTGGGGGAGAAGGCAGCTGCCTCGAATCCCGGTGTCCCCTAGCTCAGCTTTCCTGAGTTGCTGAGGATCCCACAGAAGTCAGCGGGATTATTTATTTTTATTTAAACCACCCTCCAAAGGCCGTAGGCATCCTCGCCTCTGCTCCCAGTGCTAGCCCTGCCAGGAGTCGCTGCTCAGAGCCACTGTGGGGTCGCGTGTGTGTCGGGGGGGCCATCTTGCCGATTTAACGCTGCTTTTTGTGTTGTTGTTGTTTTCCCCTCCTCCCTGCCTGCCTGCTCCTTCTCCCCCAGCGAGGACGGTGTCGTGGAGAGGTCCAGCCCCAAGTCTGAGATTGAGGTCATTTCTGAGCCACCTGAAGAAAAGGTGACAGCCAGAGCGGGGGCCAGCTGTCCCAGTGGGGGTCATGTAGCTGATATTTATCTTGCAAACATCAACAAGTAAGCTCTGCTTTTCATTTTCTGCTCCCCTGAATGACTTGCAACACCCAGCCTCACTCCCTGGCCTAACCCCCTCCTTTTGCTGTGTTGCGCGTAGAGCTCCCAGCTCCCCAGCCTCACAGTTCGCATGTGCTCGTTGCTGCTTCGAGGCGGACAGAGCTGAGGCAGCAGGGCCAGGTCTCAGCCAGCGGCCACCTGCTGTGAGGGCGCTGAGGCCTGTCCTGGGGCCTGTCAGCTCAGACCCTTCCGACCGGCTGGCTGCCGAAACCTTGGCCACTTTATGCGACTAGGTTCTGCACTGTTTCTCAGACGTGCCTTCTCTCTCAGACAACGGCCTCTGATGTCTTCCTTGGCCCTTGTCTGTCTGAAGATCCGATGCCTCTCGTGTCTTCCCTGGGCTCCTGTCCCCCCAGAGGGCTCTATTTTGACATCATGTGTCTGTTTCTGCCCCTGTCCTGCATTCACCCCTGTGGAGGAAAGGGCCACTGTGCCCAAGGAAATCTGTGTCTTGAGCTCTTTGTTCATTGCTTAACTCCCTTCTGCCCTTTCTCATGGGTAGAAATGATGTTTCATTTTCTTATTGCTTCAGCCCTCTGTTTTCCACTGCCCTGTCAGCCCCTGTGTAGCCCCTACTCCTGTCCAGCAGGCTCTCACTGCGCCCCAGCTTTCACTGTGGCTGTTAGCAACGTCCTGGGGTTTTACCTCCACCCACACCCGATCTGGCTGTCTGGAGGGATTCCACGCCGTGTGCTGCCGCCTCCCCTAGAGACATTCAGGTTATTGGAGAAGTAATCTCATCTCAAGGGGCCAGACACCCAGTCCTAAAGCCTACAGACCTCTTTCCGCCAGACCCTGAAACCTGGCCCCGTGCCAGGGGGATGACGCGCCTCAGGGCGCTCCTCATGAATACGGATTGGACATGATGTACATTTTCTATTCTCCTTTGACTGGAGGAATGAAATGATTTGCACATTGAAAACCTGTTAACCATAGCCTCTGGACACTGAAACTGGAGAATAAAAGATGCTTGTTGTTTTCAAACTGCACCAGGTCGCCCAGATCTCTTGGCTTTTTTCCAACCAGACGGTAGCAGGGGGAATGGCTGGGGCACGTGGCTCTTTTCCATTTCTTTCACCCTCAAGTTAGTAAAGTAGCTTGTTCAGCTTATTTATTCAGTGCAGTTATAATTTAAGTCAACCCAGTAAAAAAGACTGAGGATTTTATTTATTTCCCTCCAGCGTATTGTCCCGCTGGGAGGGCAAGCTAGTGAAAAGTAACTGAGCTAATCACTTTTTTTTCTTATTTACAAGTCTGTGTTGATTATACACCTATCATCATAAGGTCTTACACCTATAATTAACCCAGAAACCAAGTGGGATTGGTGGAGAGACAGTTCAGTTTATTAGTCAGGTACATATCTTTAAACCGTCATCTATTCGATGCCATTTGTACAAAAGAATTGTAGAAAACTCCTGGTTTCCAAAGTCAAGGCAGGTCCCTGGAACTCCTTGTCGGGTGATGTCAGGATGGGGTCTGGGAGGACAATGGCCGTCAGTGGGGGAGGGCGCCCCAGGCCCGCCCTGCCCGCGACTGCCTTCCAGCCTCCCTTCCACCCACCCAAGCAGCCTCCAAGCATCTTCCCTCTCTGGGTGCCCGGGTTCTCTCCCACCTGGGCCTTCACATCTGCTGTCTCCTTCTCTCCCTTCAAGACGTAATCTGAAGATCTGCCTCCTCAGGAAGCCTTTCTGACAGGCTGAGGTAGACACACTGATTCTATAGTCCCAAGGCAGTTTGAGAAGCTCTAGGACTCAAGCTCCCTCAGCTCCCCCAACCAGAGTGAGCTCTTCCAGACCGGGAGCTCTGTCTTCCTCTCTTCACATCCCCAGGCCTGGCCTGGGGCCTGGTGCACCAGACACTCCACAAAACTGCCTCCTCAGCAATTTTAGCCTTGTGAGTCCAGCCATCCTCAAGTGGAAAAAGGAAATCAGCCAAGAGTCACTAGGATACAGCTTTTCAGTTTAACTCCACACATTTAGTAGGTGCTCAATAGCACCTACTGTTGTGCAAAGCACGGATGCCGGTTATTCAGATGAGCAGGATGGCCCCTGCTCTCAGAGCTCACACTGCAAGGCAGATGGCCTCCGAGACAGGGCAACTAAAGAGCACTTGGGGCCTCCCTGGTGGCGCAGAGGGTTAAGACACAGCACTGTGAGGCTGTCCGCAGCCACTGCAGCACAAGTTCGATCCCCAGCCAGGGAGGTGACCCACATGGCACAGCAGACCTCTCTTGACTCGCCCACTGCTCCCCTCAGCAGTGTATTTCAGTCAGTCTGTCCTGCTCCCCACTCTGTCTCTGGTGAGTCCTCTCACCCCCCATACCTCTGGACTGTGCCCCAGTTCTTGTATGCATAAATAAATAAATCTTTTAAAAAAAAAAAAAGAGCAGCACTGTAGATGCTCTGAAGGAACAGAAGAGGGAGGGGTCGATCCTGCCTGCCTTTGGAGTTGGGGTGCCAGGGAAGACTTTGCAGAGCTAGAGTCATTTCAGCAGGGCTCTCTCAAGTTCTCACCACCTCCTTTGTCCACTGGACAATGGCTGGTACCCAAGACTGAAACTGCCTGGCGGGCAGCTTCGTGGAGTGGCTGCTGTGCCCCGGCCCCAGGGTTACCCTGAGGAAGTCTCACCACTGAACAGGATGAGGCCTGGCTTAGGGGCTGGCCCCTCCTCAGAGCCCTGCCCTTCCCTTCTTTGAACCTCAACTCCTAGGTCCCATTAGGAGGCTCAAGCTCAGAGCTGCCCACCACCCACCCTGAACCAGAAGTCCTCTGCTTCCTAGTTAGGTCCTTCAAAATATGGATCCAAGAGAAAATGAAACCACTCAACCATGGGTGACATCCTCATCTGCAGGACTCTGCCAGACCATTTCAGGCAAGAACCATAGAGGCCTGAGATGTTCCAACTCAGTCCACCCAGTGCCAAGTGACTTGGCATCCTATACATGTTTCTGCCCTAAGACAATGCACAAGCCTGACCCTCACTCCACAGCAGCACAGCCTCTTGAAAAATACTCTGTTCCATGCTGCAGAGTCAGCAGTAACAGCCTCTCACCAGCGCCCAAAATGATCAGTCTAGTATTTGGACTCAGAAATGCTAAAATTCAGAAAAGTCAACTCTGGGTTTACCTGCACACCCTGTCTCCTTGGTGGTGGCGAGAATTTCACTCCTACGTGGGGCCTTAGGTTTCTGATCACAGCAGGTCACGGAGGGGCCTTCTCGTGAATCTATCTCCCACTCGAAACTTAGGCATAATCTCCACTTTTCCCTGACAGCACCTTACATCCCGAGCACTCAGCGCCCACAACCGCCAAGTGAGTATGCATCTCCTATGCCCAGGCGGGGGTGGCAGGGAGCAGGCGCTTGGAGGCCACGAAGAAATCGGATTGGGTCCTGAATGTGCTCTATGGCCCTGTCCTGCCAAGTCCCTGGGTGCCAGCATCTGTCCTGTTTCCTCAGAGCCAGGGTTCCCTGATCACACTGCCCTTTCTGTTTGTGATTGAAGGCAAAGGAAGCGGCCGGAATCTGGGAACATCCGGAAAACATTTCGGAGCGACAGCCATGGGCTGAGCAGTCCCCTGACTGACTCTGCCTCCCCGGGGTTGGGGGCTAGTTGCCGCCCATCCTCCCAGCCCATCATGAGCCAGAGCCTCCCCAAGGAGGGGCCAGATAAGTGTTCCATCAGCGGGCATGGGAGCCTCAACTCCATCAGCCGCCACTCGTCCCTGAAGAATCGGCTGGAGAGTCCCCAGATCCGGAAGGCGGTGACGGCAGGAAGGTCAAAGAGCTTCAATAACCACCGGCCCATGGACCCTGAGGTCATTGCACAGGTAACTGGGGGCTCTGGACACACGTTGCAGGGGTCTACACTGGCACTCTGCCTGGGACAGCCCAGGCCAGTTACGACAGGACTCGAAGCAGAAGGTGCTTTGCCTGTCACATGCTGAGTTCAGGGGCTCTTGTGCATCTGGACCTGCGAGGACAGCTTTCCCAAGAATTCGGCGACCTCCTCAGGGTACCCTGGCTTCTCCCCAAAAGGTACTTGAAGACAGTATAAAAGAATTTAGGCTTCTTCATCCACTATGGGCTATTTGCAGAGCTAGTGTTATTTTTAAAGCCACTAGTTATAGGTTGAGTTTTCTGAGAGTCTGGCTGGCCCGGGTTTCGGGGCTTCAGACCCTGATACAAGACCCCTGAGGCTACCCAAGCACTGAGATTCAGATGACGTTCTGCTCACACTTTTATATCACTTACCGTCCGCTCACCCTGTTTCCTGAGGCTAATCTCTGGTCCCTAGTGGCAGGTAGGTGATCATGGACAGTCTGCTCCTGGACTTTAAGGCCCCAAAGTATCTGCCTCCAGAGTCTCAAATACCAGAAGGATTTCCAGCCCAGGTCTACAGCTGCAGTGGAGGCGAGCTGCCTACTTACAGGGTCTGCCTTCTGTGAATGTATTACACTGACGAGTCTCTGTTTTCCGTGAAATATTAGAGATCCAACCCTACCTCTAAAAATCCAGCTACCGGGGCCACTCCAAGCAGTTCACTCAGACGTCTCTCCCAACTCTATCATTTTCATTAGACCAGGTAGGAACTAAGGGCTCGCTGTTAGCCTTTTATTTCTCAACCTAGTTGAGATTCTCCCTCCCCACCTTCTGGGGGCGTGGAGGCGGGGTAAGGTCTCTGTTGGCTTCATTGTGGTGCTCTGGCTTAAAAGACGGCCCTGGCAAGCCAGCGTGAGGCTCTGGGCCTGAGATGTCTTGGCTTCGCTAGCCTCCTATTTCTGTGCCTGTTCTTAAGCTCTTGGCTGCAATCCGCCTTGCGCCTTGGGGATCCTCCCAGCTCCCTCTCTGACCAGGTGTTAATAGAAATATCAGGATAGCTGCACAGCTGGCACAGGCTCTAGCTCCAGAGTGGGATGGCGGCGAGAAACAGATCTTCCCGAGCATTTGTAAGGTTTGAGGACATCCTGGGGATGAGTGTGGTTAAAATACCGTCAGCAGGAAGCATGGATCGCCCTGTAGGACAAAGAATCAACCTTGGAACATAAAGCCTTTGAAGTGAGCCCAGTGCTGAGGGAGTTGCCCTGTGGGATGGGGTGGGTGCCAGGCTCCAGTCTATGGGGAAAGAGGGAGGGAGCTGGGAGATTTCCCTGGGAGGTAGCTGGCTGCATAGAAGGATTCTTTGGTTCTGCCTTGAGCCCCTGAGCTACACTGCTGTTTCCTGAATCTGAATGTGTTCCTCTGTCACTTGCAGGCCACTCACCTGTGTGGGCTCTGGCTCCCCCTGCTGGTGACTCTCTGGCCCGTTCATGGTGATGGGTCAATGAAAAGGGCCTCATCAATTTGTGGCCTCCCATGGGGCAGGGAGGGTGGGGGTACTTGTCCTGATGAATCTTCAGGGCCAGGGCTCCTGCACCCTTCCTCAGCCCTTGAAGTAAAAGAGAACAAAGATCATACTTTAAATCTAGCAACTTTTTAAAAAAGGAGTTTATTACGTACAATATCAAGCATATGCAAAAGTAGAAGGAATTGGATAATGAATCCTCGTGTGCCCAGAGCAAACTCCTGGCCACTCGGTGTCTGCCCTCCCCCCTGGATTATACATCACTTCATCCATAAACGTTTTCAGTGCATCTCTCTGAAATCTGAGGATCTTTAAGTGTCATCTCAGCCTCTCTCTCTAACGGAAAAACTCATGATAATGAGAATCTCTGTCCGCCTCCCCCCGCCACCCCCAATTCTGAACTTTCCTATGTTCAAGGATTTGGGTCAAGTACAGTCACCTGGACATCTCCTTACAGTCTGTTTCATGATTTGCCTGATGTTACTGAAATAGGGTCCTCGGGGACTTCTCCCTCCATTTGCCTCTCCCCCTCCTTCCTGTTTTGCAGGACATTGAGGCAACTATGAACTCTGCCCTGAATGAGCTGCGGGAACTGGAGCGGCAGAGCAGCGTCAAACATACCCCTGATGTGGTTCTGGACACCTTGGAGCCCCTCAAAACCTCCCCAGTGGTGGCCCCCACATCAGAGCCCTCCAGCCCCCTGCACACCCAGCTCCTCAAGGACCCCGAGCCCGCCTTCCAGCGCAGCGCCAGCACCGCCGGGGACATCGCCTGCGCCTTCCGACCGGTCAAGTCCGTCAAGATGGCCGCCCCGGTCAAGCCACCCGCCACGCGCCCCAAGCCCGCCGTCTTCCCCAAAACAAATGCCACTAGTCCTGGTGTCAACTCATCAGCTTCCCCACAGTCCACAGACAAGTCTTGTACTGTCTGAGGAATATAACTTAATTGTTCTAGAAGGGGACTAGAAGGACTGTTATTAAAATCTTCCTATTTAACTTGCTTGGGGATTTAAATTAAAAATTAGATTCTCATTTGTTCTTGCAGGAATTAGCCTCCCCATCACCCAAAACCATGAGAATGAAGCCCTCATTATTGCCCTGCCCTGCCCGCTGCCCTCCACTCCCCCGTTGTCGTACTCAGCCAGCAGCAGCGCATGCTGCTTGTAGGTTAGCCAGAGATAGTCTTCATCATCAGTCACTGTGAGACCTGGCGCAGCAGGTCCTGGGGACGCGGGCGCCTGACCAGGTGACTGGCTGCTGACCCCCGGCGCCCAGTGGCATCTTGTTTTGGGTACTGATTATAGAGTCATATATAGTCCGTTCTTTGTCTCACACACACACACACACACACTCTCTCTCTCTCTCTCTCTCTCTCTCTCTCTCTTTTCCTCTCTCTCTCTCTCTCTCTGTCTCTCTCTCTCTCTCTTTTCCTCTCTCTCTCTCTCTCTCACTCTCCCTTTTTCCTTCTCTCTCTGTCTCTCTCTCCCCCTCTCCTGGTCTCTGGCCCCGCCTGGGTACCCTCTCCTGGTCTGACAGTCTCTTTGTCAGCTACTGTGCAGTTCCCACAGGTGCCACCAGGAGTCTCTGTTTCCGTTATGCATCTTGTTCTGTCTGGCCAGAGAATTGAGCCTTTGAACTGTCGCCGTCACATGAAATTGAGCAGGAGGGGCCTGATCCTGCAGTCTGCGCGGGTTGGGGGCGTGCTCGGTCTTCTTTCTATTGGTGTGCATAGTGTTTGCTTTTGCTCTGCTCCATCCTCTAGAACTATAACCCAATCTTACTGCGGGACTTCTCAAGTTTTTCTGAATGTATAGACATTTCTCGGATTCCTATCTTTGTCTCTGATGGACCATTTTCCATTTAAGACATTTTCCTGTACGAAGACAGTTTTATAAGTGGTTCCTATTAGGGTAAGGAGTGTTAAAGAGAGTTTTAATGTGTTTATGGTAGGTTTAGAAAAGGTCAGAAATGGGTCCTTCCTCCCACTTCTGGGGACACCACTTAAGACCTTACATTCATCATCCTATTAAAAATCAAATTCACCTTTGCCAAATTGTTCCCAAATGAAAAAAACTTTTCACCCTCTGCTCTTGTTACTTTACAAGGGCTCCCTTCAGGGACCAGCGAGGGCTTCGAAAGCCCGAGGTAAAATGAAGAGAGACTCTGCCCTCAAAGCCACTTTTCTTTTTTCCAAACAAGGACAACTAAGGGAGCTTTGGCCACATGAGCTCCTAAGTCTTCCCAAGGACAGAATTTAAAGAAAATAAAAAATAGGATGCTGAATGGCCTTCATTTGGCCTTTTCTTCCTGGTTCCCCTCTGTCAGGGAAAATGATAAACACGTCTTTAATCCAACCTCCAAACCCAGTGCCCGTGGACCCAGTTCCCCCAGCACCTGCTGTCCTAGGAGGATCAGGACAGGGGCATTGTATACCAGGCTCGTGGGTATCAGACAACTGCTCGAGTTAAAGCTAAAACTCATTCCTCTTCTGTTTTCTGGTTTTAAAACTGCACTTTTAACCATCGCATTTTCTATAGTTCAGGAGAGATGGTGAGTTGCCATGGAGACAGGAAAATTTGAATTTCCTTTGGTTAAGCCTAGAAGATCCTTTTTGGACCAACATTTTCAAGTTGGTAGTTGACTCTGAAGAGGGGCAAGGTTTTCCTCATTCTGTATGAAGGAGCATTGCGGGCTAATTTGAAGACTAACCTGCAACACCAGGAAAACCATTCCAAGAGTTAGAAGGGAGGAACCAAGAGCTCCCTCGGGAAAGCGAGTCGGCCCGTGTGAAGTGCCCGCTGTCCTCTGCCTCCCGGCCTCAGTCGCTCTATGTGGCGGCCTGTCCTCGTCGCTTAGCTGGACTTACACAGGCCCACGCCAGCCGCGGGGCTTTCGTCCCAAGGGCCTGCTCCTTGCTGAAAATGAAACCCCACCCTTCACTTTACATTCCTTGTGGTCCACTTGCTCCAAACTGGTGCCCCCACCTCCCTTTCCCTCTCTGCAGCACACTCCTAAGAGCAAAAGCCAAGCTCTCTAGTGACACACTTGGGCCTCTTCTGTTGCTCCTGCCTTACTCCCCTCAGCCCTGCTCACGACTGTGTCCACCTGCCCTCAGCTGACTTGCATCATAAACTGGACAGTGCGAGCAGGCGCCCTCCCCCAGCTCCAGGGGCCAAGTTGTCTTCCTTTCTCTGGTGCTCCTACACCTGTGGGATGGTCCTTTCGAGAGGACTGGGAACCCCTAAAAGGAGAGTCCTCCTCAGCAGCGCTCATCGCCATCAACTGAAATCCAGGCTGCACGCTGGGATTTCTACACCGAAAAGCCAAAAGGAGCTGCCGGGCCGGGGAGACCGGCCTTCCTCGGATGCGCTCGCCTAAACCAGCACAATGCTTCCGGAGCCCACTGTGCCCCTCGAGGGACAGATTCATTTCCTGGCGTGGACTCTGATGGGTCAGTCTTTGGGGAACAAAGGTGGGGTGGGGCTACCAGCATCCCAATTTGGAAAACAGAGGAGTTTGCAGCCGACAGCCTGTAAACTGGAAACACTGGTCTCAGCCAACCTCCTCAGGGCACCCCGGTTTCTCCCCAAGGAGAGGAGGAGCGATAATGCCAGCAACAAGATGAACAGACCACTGGAAGGCTGGTGTGTGTGTGCTTCACCTTCAGAAGAGAAGTTAGATCTTCCAGGGAATTGCAATATTGTGGCGTCTGACTTGTATGTCACATTTGTGTAAAATGGTATATTCTTTAAAATAGTGTTGATAACTGGAATATTGTATGTATGCTTGGAGATGCTTTGTGTGAACTTAAGACTGTCACAACACATGTTGGATTGGGGAAAATCCAAAGCACAACTTCAAAATAAAATACGTTTTTAGGTTTCGATGCCGCAGTTCATCTTCCTTCTCTGCTGCCCGAAAGCTCCAGGCTGGGAGTCCAGCTGCCCACGAGGGGTCTGGCTTCACCTGTTCTAAGGGACCCTGCCCCGCAGCAGAAGGAGAAAGGGAGTGACCTCAGGCGCCAGCCACCTCTCCCCGGCCAGCCACCGCAGAGGTGCATTTAGAGCCTGAATTTGCCCTCCTCCCCACTTCCATCTAGCCCATATATGGAGCCTAGAGGTTTTGTCCAAAGTCTCCCAGCTCCCCACTGGGCAGTGTGTTGCCATGAGAACCACTTCCTTCACAGAACCCACCTTCCTCTCTAGCTCTAGTCAGATCTCCTTTGGAACAAGAGCAGCCTGGGCAGTTGCCCCAAAGTGTTGCCAGTCTCAGCCAAGGATTTTCTTTTACCATCAAAGTTCTGAACCATTCTTCCCCTGGCAGCCCCCAGCCTAACATGCTTGGACGGGGTTGGGGGGGATGTACAGGAAATGCTTTTTCTCCTAGTTTGGGGGTGAAGTTATTTAAACCGTTACTCAGCTCTCTCTTAAAATGTATCCTGGAGCCCCTAGAGCCCACACTTCCTTTCAGTGGGCTTGTTCTCAGCCCGAACCCCCGCGGCTAGATCACACGTGCTGCCTACATGCCCAGTGTCTGGTGCTAATATGAGGACTTCTGTCCCCACCCTGGGCTCGACCCCGCATCATCCCCTCAGGTTTGCTGTCTCACTCTGTTCTTTGCGTATCTTCTATTCAACTCTCGTCCTTTCCAACCTGTCATCTCCTGCCCGCCTCCCATTTGAGCGGTAGAGCTATTGATACACCTTGAGCTGGCCACCTTGCTGGCCCCTTGGTCTTGGGAAAGTCATAGCTGAGGCTGCTGTGCCACCTGCTCGGTACATGAGCTCTCACATCCAGAATGTAGGCCACGCACTGTGAGATGACTGCAAGCAGAGAACCACAGAACCTTTTCAGAGAGTTCCAAGGCATCGGTGGGCTTTTGGGTGCCTCATAACTGATCTCATATTCTGATGGGCTCTTAATGGAAACAAGTGACAATGAATGAACATAGTTGAAACAGACCTTTCCATCCTAACCAAAACCAAAAATGGAGGCCAGATTGGTGTGAATCTAGGAAATGGTCTCAGTGGTTATCCCAACTGTTTATATCCATAGGTATGTGAAGCTTCCTTTACCCAAGAGTTGGCAACCCTGGTAGATTACATACGCCAAAGACTCCTCTGTTAGCCAACAAGCTACGCTTCACTATGCCAAGCACTGTTGTATGATACTGAACAGAAGGTACAGACAGTTGAGCTTACTAGTTTCTTTTATTTATGTAATATTTATTTTGTAGAAAAACTGGGGTGTAGGCCAGAAGTGCAGGGGGTGAGAGGATTCACCAGAGACAAAGTGGGGAGCACTGAAATACACTGCTGAGGGGAGCAGTGGGCGAGACAGGAGAGACTGCTGTGCCATGTGGATAGCTCCCTGGCCGGGGATCGAACTCAGGGCGTAGAGATGATAGCACTGAGACTCAACCGCTAGGCCACCAGGGAGCCCCTTACTAGTTTCAGGGAGAACAGCTAAATAAACAAAATAAATGCTCCTGTAATAATAAACGAAGTGATGTGACAAGATAGCAAGCGCCTGTGTTGACCCAGAAAGGCCACTAGCAGGGGACGGAGCAGTCCAGCTCATCAAAAGTTGAAGCGACTATTCAGCATCCAAGTAGAAACACCAAATACTCTTGAACATAGAATTTGAGAGAGATCATACCTGAAAACAAATAGGAGCTATTAAAACGCAAGTAAGCTATGAAATGCCCAGGAAGACCGTATCAAGGGAGAAAAGAGAAGGTCCCAGTGATAAGAAGTCCGGCAGAGAAGGTGCCATCAAAGAAAAGGGAGCAGACGACAGAGGCGGCTGCCAGGAGGGACAGTGTCACAGGAGGAAAAGGAAATGTTGCAGCGAGCAAGGACGTCTAGTTGGTGGGTGAGTGAGGCCAGCTGAGGGGACCATCATCAGTGACCAGGATGGGAGGGAGCTGGTGTGGTTGGAGTGGGTAGGGCAGCAAGTGGGGAGGGACCCAGGGTCTCTGGCAGCTCATCCAAGGGCACTGCTTTCTGTGAGATGCTTCTAGAGGGTGGGGAGCGAGGCTTCTGATTATGACATGGGCAGTGTTGATGCATCTGCTGAGGGAAGGCCCTAGTAGGAGGAAGAAAGGGCAGAAGAAGCGGGCACAGAAGCAAGCACCAGGGTGGCCAGGCCCCTAAAAGGGGTACTTCCTGCATCTCCACGGAGGGGAGGCGGGTGGAAGCAGGGCAGGAGGCAAGGCAGCAGTGGGCGTAGGGGCAAGAAGATGAGGGAGTTCCCTTTTGATTGCTCCCTTGGTTGCAGTGAAGTTTGAGACAAAGGCACTAGCTGAGCGTGTGGGAGGCAATGGGCTTGGTAAGGTTGAGTCAAGAGAAGGAGCAAAATGCTTTCCTTTAGAGGCTGGCAGCTGGTCGGGTGACAGCGTTGCTCCTCCTTCCTTGCCCTGATCTGCTGGTAAGGGGGCCAGGAGCAGGGCCTGGGTCCTGTCACCCAGCCCTCACACTGACGGAGCCTCGGGGTCTTGGGGTGCACGGCTCACCTCTCCAAGTCCCACCTGCTCAATCCTTCCTGCCCTCCCCTTCAAGGCACTGGGCAGTGAGACAGCAGGACAAGCAGGCACAAACCATAGAGGGATAGAAAAGGCACCCCCCACATCTACTCAGGGCCTCCTGGGGGTCTCCTCTCATTTTGTGTCCACATCCACCCTTGAAGAAGGCCATGGCCACACAGCAGGCAGCAGGGTCAGGGTGCCAGTGTCCAGGACGGCCAGGCTCCTGGCCTCCTGCCAGCCCAGATGGCCTCCCTTGGCAGAAGGCAGACAGAGCTTTTCCTTAAGAGACCCCCTTACTGCCTTTGGATTGCCACTTCTGTTTCTTTTTTTTTTTTTTTAAAGATTTATTTATTTTTATACAAGAACCGGGGTACAGTCAAGATGTGCAGGAGGGAGAGAAGATTCACCAGATACAGAGCGGGGAACAGAACAGGCAGACTGGCTGAAATACACTGCTGAGGGGAGCAGCGGGTGAGACAGGAGAGGTCTGCTGCGCCATGTGGGACCCACGCCGGCCAGCCGGGATGGAACTGCCGCTGCAGAGGCTGCAGATAGCTTCACAGCGTGGCACTCAACCGCCTGCACCACCAGGGAGGCCCGCCACTTCTGTTTCTATGGCTTCTCAGAACCGCTTGAGAAAATGAAGTGAGGCCCTCGCAGACTTCCTCACAGGTGACATCATGGCCCTGATGCCCAGCTGGGCCAGCAACTCAAGGCCAAAGGAAGGGGTCTCCCTAGTGGTGCAAGGGGTTAAGCATCAGCACTATGAAGCTGTCCACAGCCTCTGCAGCACATCCCAGGCCGGCCAGGGAGCTACCCACATGGCACAGCAGATCTCTCCTGCCTCGCCCGCTGCAACTCTTGGCGGTGTATTTCAGTGGATCTGCCTCTTCTGCTCCCCACTCTGCCTCTGGTGAATCCTCTCACCCCCACTCCTGCACCTCTGGCCTACACCCCAGCTCCTGTATGCATAAGTAAATAAAATAAAAAATCTTCAAAAAAAAAAAAAGCCAAAGGAAGACATACATTTCTTTGTCCAAAAAGAAGACCTGACCTCACAGATACTGTACAGTGAGCCCTGATCTGTCACCACACATCACCCAGCCCATCCCCTGCTGCCCCCAGTTTCTGGCCTTGCTGCATGCACCTACCAAACCACCCTCTCCACAGAGGGGTCTTCCCACTGCCTGGAATACTGTACTCCAACCCCTCACCCCCACTTAACTCCCTCCCTGCAAAGTCTGGGCAGCATCCCTTCTTTTGGCAAGCCCACTCAACCCCCACTACTTGGTGACCCCTATAATATCTCAGAGCATTCACCAGGTGTCCCGAACCTTGACTCCTGGGAGATGCCTGGTCCCCTTTGGAATCTGCATAGTACCTGCTTTGGAGCAGGTGCCAGACACACACTCTGGGAAAGAGATTGCATTTGCTGGAGAGAGCAAAGGAGGGGTGTTGGTGTGACTGCAGTTTCTTCAGGGAAAAGTGGGTGGACATGACAGAGTAAACTAGGTTCTATTACTTAAAACAACAAAACCCATTTCTCACCCTAATTACATGTCCTGTGTTGGCCAGCAGGGGGCGCTGTGATCATGACAGCAGGTCAGGGCCCCAGCTGCCGCCCTGCCAGCACCTGTCTGAAGGAATCCCACTGTCGGTGGGCAGGAGGGAGGGGGGTTACACAGCAATTAAAAGACTTGGCTGGGAAATCTTGTGACCCCACCCAATGAGGGAGCCAAAGGCGTGCAAGTCTAAAGTTCCTGGGAACCCTGGGAAGAGAGGGGGAGCCTGAGGTCTCCCTGGGCCTGCTGTGAGAGCTAGAAGTCAGCACCCTGGGCCCGCAGCAGTGCCTCTGGTGTAGACCTGCAGGCACATCCAGGGCCTCTAGGCTGGGCTCCTGTGCTGGTGTCGCTGGGCTGGGGCGGAACTGGCAGAGGAAACCACCAGGTGTGGCCCTGGGAAAGTCCCTCAACATTCTCTAGAAACATGGAATTTCCTGGTTTTAACTATTTCTTGTCCAACAGCCACCTTGGAGCTGGCCAGAGCCGGCCAGACCTCTGCAGCCTCCTGGGGGTTGACTGGGGACCTTGAGTCCTACTGCAAACTGGCAGCCCTGGGTTGCGGCCCCAGCAGTCTTGAAGGTTCTGGGACATTACTAGGTGTGTGGTCCTCAAGGCCCTGTCTGTACAATGCTTTCCAGTTTCTCAAGCATTTCCAAATACTTGCTGTATTTCAGCCACACAACCAAGGGGGTAAATGTTACTCTCCTGGAGCCTTGGATGGGAAGGCTGGGAGTGGGGGTGCTGTGCTCCAGGCCGCCCAGGAGGGCCCAGCTGGCTCCAGTGCTTGCTCTGGGCCTCCCGGCACTCACTGGGAAGATGAGTCAGACCCACTTCTCCTATCAATGGTGGGGCTAAGGTCCTGGACCTCTCGGGGCTCCTGGGCACGGGCTCTCCACCCACTGGGGAACTGGCCCGACCTGCTCTGTGATGAAGCCCTGAGCTCCCTGCGCCAGTGAACTGGGGGAGATGCGGAAACAGCGCCCTGTGGCCCCCACAGCCAGCCAGCCACAGTCCCCAGCTTCCTGTGAGCAGACTCTGGTCTTGTTGCCTCTGCCTGGAAACTGAGAGCATCTTCTTCTCCTTCCCTGGGGCGCCGGCGCCTCTGTCTCTTTAAGAGAGAGAAAGTACGAAATCAGGAAGTGAAAGGTTCTGAGTGGGGAGTCGGCTGGGAAGCTGGGAGCAGCCCGGTCTCCCAGCTGGGAGCAGCCCCGTCACCGGCTCTCCAGGTGGCACCGGCTGCTTCGGTTAACTCAGACCTCCAGTCCTCAGGCCCGTTGGCCACCAGGATGTCATGGGCACTGCCTCTCAGTGACAGCCAGCCCTGAGGGCCCTGGGGTGGTGCCCCCTCCGGTGCCTGCATCCCCATGGTCGAGATGTGGTGTGAGTGCAGGGTCCCTGGCGCAGGGAGGGGGCTGGTCTGCGGGGGCAATGTCCAGGGCAGTGCTCAGAGGCCCTGGTGCAGGCGTTGGCAGTGGATCTCCAGGCCCCAGGCCCACTCCCTGTGTCTCTGCTGCTACTCGGGCCACTTGGCACCCAGGCTGGCAGGTTGAGAGAGGTTTATAGCACAGAGGAGAGCTGCCTTTGCCCCCAGCGCGCCTTCCTGACTCTGCCAACTCCCAGCCTTCAGCTTCTCCTCCATGCTCTTCTCCTGCCTAGCTGCTGGTGCCCCTTCATCCCACCAAGGGCTCCCTGATGAGCCCCAGAAACAGGAGCGGCAGGAAAGTCTGGAGCAGCTGGAGGATTGGTCTGGAAACCCCCAGGCCTGTGGGGGAGAGTGACAAACAGGAAAGGGTTAAAGGGCTGGGGCCGGTGGCCTTTGATGGAGGCTGAGGTGCAGACAGCCCAGACAGCACAGCGCTGCTGAGGGGTGTCTGTCATCCGCCCTCCTCTTTCCGGTGCAGCCGGGCTCCTGGACCTGCGTAGACAGAGCAGAGCACACTCGCTGGGAGAGGATCCCTTGATCCAGGCTGCTTGGAGCCGGTGAGTGGGTGAGTGCACTTGGCCGGGGAGCCCCAGGAGGGCAGGGAGGGGAGGTGGAGGGGCTAGCCCTGGGCTTCCACCAAGCACCCTCATTCAGTCTTTCCAGATGTGCTGCCACCCTGCTGGGAGGCTGGGCCTTGGAAGGTTGGTGAGCGCAGGACCCCCCCAGGCTGTGCCTTGGCCACGCTGCCCACTCGCCCAGACTTTGGCTCTGGCAGATTTGTCGGGTGTGGGGAGGAGAGTGAAGGTGACACAATGGGCTGTGCACCTGTTCCTCGGAAGACCTGATCGCTGGCCTCAATTCCAGGGTGCTCTATCCAGTGTCACCCCCAGCTCTGCACCCCCAAGCCCCCAGGCTGGCCCCTCCTTAGCCAGGGGAACCAGCCAACTTCAGCTTAGCGGGTGTGTGCTGTCAGGGAGTCTGCCAGAACCTGCGCTGCTGTAAAGCGCAAACATTTTCTAAAACTAGAAATCAATGTCTTGAAGTTGCCTCTGGCTCAAGAGCTTGACATCCTTAAGATTTGCATTAAAAAATACACATATTGGAGAGAGAAGCACAAGCTAGGTGTGGCAACCCTCACTTTGGCTCTGGCTCTGAGAACCCTGGCGGTGTCAGGAGAGGAAGGAGCGCTGGTGCCCAGCCTGGCTCGAGAGTGTTTAGGGGCAGCGGCCAGTCTCATGGCCTCCCCCAGTCTCCCATCAAGGCTGGGCTTGGCCCCACTTTTCAGACCCCCGCTGACTGTGACTTCTAAGGCTGCACTCTCTGGAGCCAGTTGCTTTAGAGCAAGGAGCCTTTGGAGAGGATAATGGGGGGCTGTGGGGGTTTTCACATGTTCCCTGCACTCTTGAGCCCTTGGATTTGATCTCCTGCTACCCCTCCTCCCCCCACACACACACACACACGCAGGAGCACACACACAGGTGCGCACACACACACATGCACACACACACACACACACACACACACACACACACACACACACGCTCTCAGGCAGCCCCCGGGGCCGCCTGGCCATGCAGCTGTCAGCCAGCAGCAGGAAGCAGTGCGCCTGGGCGGGCGGGTGGGGGGGGCTTCAGGCTTGTGTTGCAATCCTGGAGATTTGTGGTGGTGTGGGTGACGCTGTTTGACTGGGGGCCCTTCCTCCAAGCACTATTTCTGTTTCCTGGGACAATCCCAAGTCTGGATGCCAAAACCCCAGAATTCTTAGTATCGGGGAGAGGTGACAGAAAAAAGAAGTTTGTTTCTGCAGAATGGCCTGTCTGCAGCGGGGAGGAGGCCTGGGGGATGGCCCCAAGTAGAATGCCCTGTGGTAGCTCAGGGGCAGGGAGTGGGTTAAGGGCACAGCACTGTGCTTTGGGGGGAAGTTTCTTAACCTCTCTGTGCTTCACACTTCCCCTGCCCCCTTTCCTCTGGGACAGTCCCCTGGAGTGCTCCATGGGCGTCTTGGGCACAGGGACACATCCTGGACCCCAGTATGTTCTTCTTCTTCGAGGTGGAAGGCGGTGGCCAGCAGGAGCAGGAGATGCAGAGCACCGTCAATTACCTGTGGCACACGGACGACCTGCTGGGGCAGGGGGCCACTGCGAGTGTGTACAAGGCCCGAAACAAGGTAGGACACAGCCCCAGTCAGGCCTGCCCAGCTGCCCTGGCTCCTTGGCCCAGGAAGTGCTTGGCCCAGTCAGCCCCCAGTGGGCATCACAGGCTGGCAGAGGCCACTGGAGTTTGTCCTGCACACCCCGGGGCTATAGGTTTGAGCAAAGGTGGGCAGAGCCAACAGGGGCTCCTCGAGATGATGCTTGGCACTGGTTGGGTCTGGAAAGAAAGAGACAGACAGACAAAGTGAAGCTTCAGGGAAAGAACAGCAAATCCTGGAGTAGCAGAGGAGGGAGGTAGGGCTGTCGGATTTCCTGTCTTTACTGCAGAGCAGCATTAAAATATATGAGCCGTCCTGCGCCATTCTCTTAAGAACTCTTAAAAACTGAAACCAGGTAGAACAGGTGCCAATCCCGGCCTTGCTGCTGACACCGGGGGGTGTTAGCTGCCACTGCCGACATGGCCAAAGGTAGCAACCAGCCAAGTGCACCGGGCCTCCCGGGGCGCCACAAGTGCCTGCCGAGGAAGGGCGGGGCTGGCATGGGTCCCCTGCCCTCTGCCCGCTCCTCTCTGGTGCAGGCTGGAAGGAAAACTGAATGGAGGCCTCCAGGGGGTGTCTCCCAAGGCAAGGTGCGACTTATGTCATCCCCACGGCAGAAATCCGGGGAGCTGGTTGCTGTGAAGGTCTTCAACGCTGCTAGCTACCTGCGCCCCCGAGAGGTGCAGGTGAGGGAATTTGAGGTCCTGCGGAAGCTGAACCACCAGAATATCGTGAAGCTGTTCGCCGTGGAGGAGACGGTGGGTCCATGCCCTATGGGAGCAGGGGCACTGCTCCTTGACCCCCAGGCAGGAAGTCGGGTCCCCAGAACAGAGACTGAGCAGCCAGCTGTACAGATGCCGGGGCGCAGGGCTGTGCCTGGGAAGTGGGGATGGGGCTAATCCAAGAGGGCTTCGTGGCGACCTTGTGCATGGATCCGTGTGAGGCCAAGGAGGGAAGGGCCAGGCTAGAAGCTAGACCGAGGGAAGGCGGGCTCTGGGCCCGGGGCTGAGCCACCTCCTCTTGAAAAAGCTGCTTGCCCCAGTAACAGAAGCGGAGAAGCGTCTTTCTCTGAAAGCCCCTCTGCCCACCCCAGGGGAGCAGCCGGCAGAAGGTGCTGGTGATGGAGTACTGCTCCAGCGGGAGCCTGCTGAGCGTGCTGGAGAGCCCTGAGAACGCCTTCGGGCTGCCGGAGGAGGAGTTCCTGGTGGTGCTGCGCTGTGTGGGTGAGCCCCCTGCACACCCCCGGCCCGCACCCCCCCCACCCCCGCACCTGGTGTTGGAGCCAAGAGCTCGGTCTGGGAACTTCCGGAGTCCAGGAGGTAAAAGGTGGCCACACCTCAGGCCCCTGAGCTGTGCGCCTCAAGATGGGGTGGGCCAACAGGTGGGCCTGTGTTAGGCATATGCTGCCACCATTTAAAGAAATAAGATAATAAGAGGGGGGAAGGGGACCAGCTCCGGGAAGGCCGAGCCACCAACCCTCTTGGTTTCTCACAGGATCTTTTTTTTTTTTAATATTTATTTATTTTTGCATACAAGAGCTGGGGTACAGGCCAGAGATGTGTGGGGTGAGACGATCCACCAGAGACAGAGTGGGGAGCAGAACAGGAAGATCTACTGAAACACACTGCTGAGGGGAGCAGCGGGCGAGACAGGAGAGGTCTGCCGCACCATATGGGTTGCTCCCTGGCTAGCCAGGGATAGAACTCGTGCTGCAGAGGTTGCGGATTGCTTCATAGTGGGGTGCTTAACCCCTTGTGCCACCAGGGAGACCCTCTCAGAGGATCTTGATAAGACCCCAACACCCCATGTCCTTGGGATGCCCCCCCTTGCCCTGTGTCCCTCTGTCCTGCCCCTCCTGTGGCCCTTCAGCTTTGGGGGGCTCTCTGGACCCAGGGCCAGGCTCCCCAGGAGCGCCTGACCCCAGCAGCCCCTCTGTCGCAGTGGCAGGCATGAACCACCTGCGGGAGAACGGTGTGGTGCACCGCGACATCAAGCCGGGCAACATCATGCGGCTCCTGGGCGAGCAGGGCCAGAGCATCTACAAGCTCACTGACTTCGGCGCCGCCAGGCAGCTGGACGACGAGGAGAAGTTCGTCTCCGTCTACGGGACTGAGGAGTACCTGGTAAATGGAATTTGGGGGAACAGCTGTCCAGACTGAAGGTCTCCCCTGCCCCTCCTCAGCAACTCCCTCAGAGCCCCCCTTACCCAGCAGGGCTATGTCACCCCTACACCCAACCCAAACATTCACTCTGTTCTCAAAAAACAGGGAAGGAGATGCGACTCCTGCTGGGCCCCCCACCCAGCCTCCCTCCCAGGGCCCCCCGCCCAGGGCTCCTTGCCGAGATCCCCCCTGCACAGACCTCTCTGACCAGGCACCCCCTCCCAGGATCCCCCACCCGTTTCCCACCCCTCCCAGGCTTCTCTGTCCAGGGCGCCCCCTGCACAGGCCTCTCTTGGACAGGAAACTCCTTGAGTGACCCTCACAGAGAAGAGGTTACCGCCTCCCCGGGAATGCTCTGGCTGGGCCACCTGGTACCATTTTGGAGACGATAAGGGCCTGGACTCTGCTGATTCTGTATCCACTGCAGATGCTGGCAGGGCCTGACGGGTGGGGCTCCAACCCTCACCTGCCTCCCTCTCCACGGCTGCTCTCTGCTTTTCTCTCTGGCAGCACCCTGACATGTACGAGCGGGCAGTGCTTCGCAAGCCCCAGCAGAAGGCGTTTGGGGTGACAGTGGATCTCTGGAGCATTGGGGTGACCCTGTACCATGCCGCCACCGGCAGCCTGCCCTTCGTCCCCTTTGGGGGACCTCGGCGCAACAAGGAGATCATGTACGAGGGGCCCAGGGCAGGGGATGGGCCCTGGTGTCCCCTACTCTCCTCTGCCCCTGGGGTCCCTTGCGCGTGTCCCCCAGGCTCCTCCCAGGCTTTTGGCTCTCAGTCAAGCCAACAAGAAGCCGAGCCCTGTCCCTGGCTGGGAGAGACGGGTGCTCACCCCTCGTCTTAGTCCAGGGCTTCGTTTTCACCCTTTAGCCCACTTGCTGCTCCCCTCACCTCACTTGAGGCTCCAAAACAGGCCATCTAGAGGGCGGCGCCTGCCGGGGGCAAAGGTGGGGCAGGCACCAGCCACCTAGGTCCAAGGTCCTCTCCTGCTATTTGATACTGAAGTGGCTGAGAGCACAGCTGCCCCCGCTGAGCCCACTGCCCAGGGCAGAACATCAGGGAGGTCCTCAGTCTCAGCTTGGGGTCCAGGCTATGTGAGGCCCACACAGGCCTTCCCCACTAGGGATGAGGGGGAAGTTTCTATTTGATGCGATTTGTTAGATTATTTCTGGGGTCTGAGAACAATCAAAATTTGTTTCCTATAAATGAATAGTAATAGCCAAAAAATAACCTGCCAAATCTTGCTAAATAGGAACATTTTCCTTTCAGATGGCGGGGGCAGGGTGGAGGCTGTGGTGGGTTTGCCTTTCAGATGGCAGGGGAGACAGGGGGCTATAAGGGGTTAGGGAATGAGAAGGAGACATGTGGACGGGGGCTGTCAGGGAAGGCTGCACTCTGAAGGGGGGGGACTAGAATAGTGAAGGGGTGAGGGGAGATTCGAGCGAAACGTGGCATGGGCAGAGGTATGGGGCAGGCCAGGCAGGGGGTGTAGCCGGCGTGGAGAGCTTCATGGGGCACCAAGGCATGGTGCAGAGGGCCTGGTGGCCGAGAGCTGGCACTCAAATTCCATTTTTCAGGACTTGAATCTGCCCTGAATTTGTCATCCCAGAAGCAGATGGACTGGGGTCCTGCTGACCAGTCCTGTCCCCCCCACCCCCCAGGTATAGGATCACCTCAGAGAAGCCAGCCGGGGCCATCGCCGGCTCTCAGCGGCGGGAGAACGGGCCCCTGGAGTGGAGCTACACCTTCCCCATCACCTGCCGCCTGTCAATGTGAGTGGGACAGCGAGGGCAACCCCAGCCTGGGTAGGTGATCACTTCTCTCTGCTGAGCCTCAAGGCCTCCCTGGACGCCTGTCCCATTGGCCTGCCTCCCTCTGAACAGCCAGCGCTCTCTGGGCTCAGCCTTCCCAGCGGTTGGGGTCCTGCTCCCCTCCCCCAGTCCCCCTGCCCCAGGTGCTTGGGGGTGGTGCCTGTGTCCTCCACGGCCTCTGACAGCCTCAATGTCCCGGGACGGCAGGGGTCTGCAGAGCCAGCTGGTGCCCATCCTGGCCAACATCCTGGAGGTGGAGCAGGCCAAGTGCTGGGGCTTCGACCAGTTCTTTGCAGAGACCAGTGACATCCTGCAGCGTGTGGTCATCCACGTCTTCTCCCTGCCCCAGGCGGTCCTGCACCATGTCTATATCCACACCCACAACACGTACGTGGGTACCAGTGGCACCTTCTTCTCCCAGGTGGAGGGCACGTCCTCGAGAGTATTCCCTGGGGTGTTCACATGTGGCAGCTTCTAGATCCTTCTTAGATTGGAAAAATACTAATTCCACTAAGTTCAAGCTAGACTTCGGAGATTCTAGCAAACTTTGCAACTCTGATGCTCATTATAAATCTGAGTGTGTGTGTGTGTGTGTGTGTGTGTGTGTGTGCGTGTTAGCAGTGCTTTTCCCAAACTTATTGTACATAGAACCCTCCATTTCCGGAGCATTTTATAGAACCAGGTAATTTTAATAGGGGTGTGGGAGGAAAAGGAATGAAGGCAGAGGTTGGACTTGGGGTCTCCTGAATTAAGTTCCTTCTCCATCTCTATCCAGTATAAACGTGAACCCCGCCTTTTGTCTCTCCATCCCTGATAAAAGACAACCCCCCAGTCCCTCTTGAAAGGCGGAGCTGTCCCCATTCACTAAGTCTCAGTTGGGAATTGGGTCACTCAGAGCCCAGCCCTGTACGCTGACACTCACTGCACCCCTGCTTCCCTCCACCCTGGTTTATCTAGGATATCCATCTTTCTGGAGGCCGTGTACAAGCAGACGAACGTGGCCCCCCAGCACCAGGAGTACTTGTTGGAGGGCCACCTCTGTGTCCTTGAGCCCAAACTCTCAGCACAGCAGATCGCCCACACGACAGCAAGCAGCCCCCTGACCCTGTTCAGCGTGGCCAGTGAGACCCCCAAGGGGCTGACCTTCAGGGACCGTGAGTAGTACCACACAGCAGGGTCTTTTCTCCCCCCACATTCCCCTTCAAGAGGCAGGGCTTGCAGCTAGTGGCTTCTTTTCTTTGTGGGTGTTCTTTGGGTCCACAGAGTGCAGAAGGCAGATCTGGACCCTAATTCTGCAGATGCCCCCTTTCTGGGGCATCCGCTGGGCTGTGGAAGAGGCTTCACTGTAAGCAGAGGGACCTGGAGTTGGCTTGACCGCCACAGTCTCTGTGGTTGGTGGGACCCTCAGAGAGTTTGGGTTGGCAGAAGGAGGAGCCCCAGCTACAGAAGAGAAATATGGTCAGGGGTCCAGAACTTAGTCCTCCAAGTTCTGAAAAAAAAAATCACTCCTTTTAACTTGAATAATGCCAATTCCACCCACCTTCTTGGGGTCCCCAAGACTGGGAAGGAGAATGAACAAGGAAATTTCTAGGCCTAAGTGTGGTTTTAGCCATTTTTTAAAAACTATTGAGGGACCTTGGGCTGAAGACTGTAGTTCTCCAGAATGGACACAAGGGAGCAGAGGGGGGCTGAAATTGTGGAAAAGCAAATTTTAGGCTTGGAACATGGGGGCTTCAGGCCTACTGGGAAGTTGAAGGTGGAAATAGGCGGGGAGGGGCGAATGTGAGCTGGTAACAAGGAAAGATGAACCCAGCTTCATGCAGAACCGTATAGGCTGCCCCCTCAGACAGCGTCTTTGTCCACAGCTGCTCTGGACCTTCCCAAGTTCGTCCCCAAAGTGGACGTCCAGGCAGATTACAGCACCGCCAAGGTGAGCCTGGCCCCGGGCGGCGGGTGCGGGCAGGGGCGGCCTGCGGGACCTGACCACCCCCTTGTTTCAGAGTGTGCTGGGCGCCGGCCACCAGGCCCTGCGGCTGGCGCGGACCCTGCTGGCCGGGCAGGAACTTATGCTTCGCGGGCTGTACTGGTTCGTGTGAGTACCCCGAGGGCCGGCGGAGAGGCCGAGGCAGGCAGGGTCAGTCCCCGGGAGAGGCGGCTCTTCTGACTCTGGCTCCCCGGGCAGGGAGCTGCTCCAGGCCACGTGCCGGCGGACGCTGGAGGTCACGCGGATGGCCCTCCTCTTCCTCAGCAGCAGCCTGGGCGCCGAGAGGTGGGTGTCCTGCCCGGGCCGGGAGGCGCAGCAGGCGTGGGGCCGGCCCTGGCCCCTTGGCCCTTCTCTCTCTGCCTGTGCCTCACCCCAATACTAGCACTAATTCCCCTTGCTGCCAGTCCTCGGGCTCCCCCTCCCCCTCGCTGGAGTAAGAGGGCGCCCCACTCCCACCCCCGCCCCCCTCACCTCGCAGGCAGGGGCTGGGCGCTGCCCCCCCGGGCAGCACGGACTGGCCTCGGTCCTAGCAGACCCCTCCAGCGGGACCCCAGGAGAAGGCTCACCCCTGCAGTCCCCTGGATCTGGCGCCCTGGTCCCCACGCTCCTTCCTCAGCGTCCTCTGCGTCTGAGATTGTCCTCTGCGGTCCTGGGCTTCCCGCCGGGGGCCTTGAACTCTGCGCCCTGAACTCCTCTGACTCGGGGCTAATTGGTGGTGATGGGTCAAAAACTAGGGAGACTGGAGAAGAGGAAATCAGGCTGGTGGGCGTGGAAACGAGTGTGGCAACACCCCACTGGCCCGAGAGGGCCCCTTATCTTGGAAGACACCGGGTTGTGGTACTGGAAGGGGTGGGGGTTCTGGCCCAGGAAAGCTGAGGGCAGCCAGGGGAGACTTGTGATGACAGAGGAGCAAAGGCGGACATCCCCCATGCCCCACCCCATGACCCCACCCCTGATATCCCACCTCCAACACCCCTACCCCCTAGATACCTTCCCTAATGCCCCCACCCCATCCCAGACACCCTCCCTGATGCCCTCACCCCTGATACCCCCACTTCACCCCAGACACCCTCCCTGATCCCCCAACCCCTGACAACCCCAACACCCCAACTCCACCCCACCCCCAACACCTTCCCTTATGCCCCGCCCCAGGCCTTGTCTTCAGAAAAGTGCTGGAGCTTCCCAGGGGTGCTTGACTCCCCGCACGCTGGTTCCTCTGGAGCTGCACATGACTGGCAGTAGGACCAGCGGGTGTTGAGGGAGAGGAATGTCTCCAGGTGACAGGATAGGGGGTGCTGGGCAATGGCCAAGCTCCCCTCAAATGGTGACAGGGATGAGGGGGTGCTGAGTCAGCAGCCCTGCCTGGAAGGAACAGCCTTCCCCAGGCATGTGCAGGTGACAGGAAGACTAGAGAGGGGTAGAAGCTACCACCAAGGTCTTCCTGGAAGAGGTGAGGCTTTTACGGTCAGAATGAGGGAATACCTCAGGTTCGAGGGTCCTGTGCAGAGTGAGATAAAGGGCCAGACTGGGGAGTGGGTGTGCTGAAGCCACGGTCAACGGGAAATGTCCCCAGGGTGGGGAGAGGAGGGGTGAGAGCATGTGGGGGGTACACCTGGCAGACAGAGCTGTCTCTGGTGAATCCTCTCACCCCCTGTGTCTCTGGCTTGTACCCCAGCCCTTGTATGCATAGATAAATAAATCTTTTAAAAAATTATTTATTTATGCTTACAAGAACTGGGGCACAGGCCAGAGGTGTGGGGGGTGAGAGGATTCACCAGAGACAGAGTGGGGAGCAGAACAGGCGGATCCACTGAAATCCACTGCTGAGGGGAGTAGCTGGGGTACAGGAGAGGTCTGCTGCACCCTGTGGGTCACTCCCTGGCCAGGGATCGAACTGGTGCTGCAGTGGCTGCGGATAGCTTCATAGTGCTGTGCTTAACCCCTTGCACCACCAGGGAGGCCCATCCACTTTATTCTTAACTCCCCTCTCGTCTCCCCTTGCCACCATTCCCAAGCCCAGTCACACAGGATTCTTTATTCCTAATTGTTATTGTCATTAAGACAGTATTCGCTAATGGTAGAAAATGGAAAAAATACAAATAAGCAAAAATGAAATAAAAATTCCATATCCTGTACTCAGAGGCAGGCTTGATGCCTGAGTGTGGCTTGTACCCTAGGTCAGTGCACACGTGTGTGTGCAAACGTGTGATTTTTCCTGTATTTGCCATTTTGGACTCTGCTTTTCTCAGCTAATAAGCTCTCCCATTTCATATGTTTCATTACGTTTTTAGCCCCGATTAAAATTTCTCTAATTATCCTCCACATGTTCTCTTCTAACTGGTTTCATCTAAACCAGAATCCAGTCTGAGACCCTACTTCTTATCTGGTGGTGTTCCTTAATCTGTTCTAATCTAAGCAGGCTGCCTCCCCCGCCCGCCCCCTTGTGGTTGGGAGGACACCCTGCTCCCTCCTTCTGGACTATTCTGGCACTTCCTCTGGGTGCCATTTGGCTTGTTCTTTCCTACAGAATTCTAGGATGGGTGGATTCAAGTCTAAACATTTTTGTCTAGAGGCATCATAGCTGCTGCTGGGAACTCTCCCTGCCCTCCCAGTGCTGATGCCTCTGCTCTACCCTTAGTTATATTTTCCCTGTAGAAGAGTCAGGTTTTGCTTTGGCACCAAGACATGCGCGCTGTCATCATTCATTGGGATCTTAACCCTGTGTCCACGTGGGCATAGTCCGACGCCGACATTCCAAGTCTGGGCACATTGCTGGCTAGAGTCTGTAAACTACAGCTTTGCCTGTCAATAAGTTGTTAGTTATCACAAACTACAATTTCTACTGCAAAGGATTTCTTCTTTTCCTTCAATTAAAAAGTTTCCAAGTACGAAATATTCATGGCTCCCTTGCATCACCGATTCATGGATTCTCTTGGGTTTGAGGTGTTCTACCCACCTCTGTCCAGAGTCTTTGCAACGTGATGTCGCAGCGTTCATGAGTAGGGGCCTGGTCAAGCTGGTTCCTCTGACCCAACCACACGCCTCCCCAGAGGCCCCAAAGCCACTGCCTAGAGATGCCAGCGTGTGCCACAGGCCTCTCTGCCTCCTCACCCCCGTGTGCCCTTCTTTGTCCTCCCCTCCTGCTTCAGCAACGTGGCTGGGATGCCTGAGACGCAGGAACTGAAGAAGACCACGGAGCTGAGGTCCAAGCTGCGGACTGTGAGTGAGGCTGGCGTGGGGCGGGCTGGGGGCCCTTGGGAGTGGTGACAGAGACCCAGAGACCGAGCTGAGGCCCCATGGGTGCTGCCTTTTCGCCCTGCAGCTGGCAGGAGTCCTCTCTAGATGTTCCTGCAACATCACGGAGACCCAGATGAGACTTAGCAACCTGAGCGCTGAGCTGGCAGGGAGCAGGGACCAGGTACATGAGGACAGAAGGTCTGTGGGATTTTCCTTCTCGGCAAGGTGGGGTCGGGCCTTATCTGAACGTGGGTTGTGGAGCAATGTTGGAGGTGGGAGACCCAGGAAGGTGCAAGACCCTCCCCTGAGACAGCTGGGAGAAAAGGATCAGCTGTGAGTTTAGAGTGAATTGGGAATCTTAGCAGAGATAATAGTCTTCGATAATTTAGTTTCCTTTTTTCTCTGACCCCATGTCCTGAGTCAGGCCCTCAGGCAGGTCTTCCTATTTGTAGCATCTCAGTTAATCCTAAAAACAGTAACAATTCCACTACCAGGCGCTGAGTGGACAGGGAGCCCCCTCGGGGAGGCCCTTTCCCTGAGTCACAGTCACTGGGTGACAGATGACAGAAAAAGCGCTTCGGGCTAATCTCAGGCCCTGAATCCCCTGTCCTGCCCTACTCCCACCAGCCATCACGAGGCTTTCGGGGTCCATGGCTGCTCCTCAACAGAGCTCCAGACCCTGAGAACAACAGGGTTTTTCTGAACCACTTTGGTTGCAAAACCATACGTAACCTGACACGAGGCTCTGTATAGTCTTTACACCATGTAGGTGAAAGCTCTTGCGGGACTCTGAAGAATGACTGTATTTGACGAGGGCCTCCTTCCCCAGAACCCGCTAGGGCTGTTCCACGATGTATTATGTATGTATGTATGCCAAGTCTACCTTTTGCAAATCAGAAGACATGTCTGAGCTGGAACACATCTGGCCTCTGCCTTTTGGATAAAGACGGCACCGGCCACCTCAGGCTCCTGGGAGGGGCATCTGGGACGAGTGTGGGCTCTGCCCAGGGTCCAGCTCCAGAGAAGACTGGGCTCAGGGGGGAAGGAAGTGGAGCTAAATAATCTTGAGGGTAAGGGCCCCCCATAAAATTTCAAACAAAACTTTTGTATCCAGCCTAAAACGGGGAAGAAATAAACAATAATGACTCACCCCAGGTTGGAGACAGTCCCTGAAAAGTCCTCTTGCCTTCCTGCTCCAGAGAGATTTCTGCTGCCACACCCCCATCCCAGACTCGTGTTTCAGGGTTAAGGGTCCCTTCCTGGCGCCCCATTCTCAGGCCTTGTGTAGCTAAGGCCAACTCTCCTGGTGCCTGCCAGACTTGGCTTTTTGTTTATCTCATCGAGAGAAAGAGAGAGAGAGAGAAAGAGAGAGAGAGAGTAGGAGAGAGAGGGAGAAAACATGAGAACTGAGAGCTGGCTGGCCCCAAGATGCCTCGAATAAGACAAGCAATTCACCGACTGGCCCCCAAAATTGTGGCACTGAGGTTCTATGAGAAAACAGCTCTTCGACTCCTCCCCCACCCCACCCCCACCTTTTACCTTGTGCTCTTTGATTCTTCCATCACCTGGTCCCTATCTCCTGCCCACAGCGTCCAGCAGATTCAGTGCTGTGTGGACAAGATGCAGCTCATCTACAAGCAGTTCAAGAAGTCTAGGATGAGGCCAGGTGAGTGTGGGGCAGGGGAATATCCCTGGTGCTCTCCCCTCCTTCCACCAGTCATCCCTTATTCCTTGACACTCCTGTGCTGCTAGAGACCCACGACGTGGGGGTGTGGGGTGAAGCCAGGGACCCTCTCAGCTGCTGCAGACCAAGAGGGTCGCAGAGCCTTTACAGCTGTGCTTATGGCCACTTGAGAGGGCTTCGAAGACTCGGTGGCGGCCGTAGAGGGCTGGCGCTGGGTGCTGCAGAAAAGGTGGCCCTCCTGTCTGCAGAGCACATTATAGTTCTGGGGTGTCTCCTTGATCTTTGGAGTGCTAAGATAGCCAGGTTTTCTAGAGAAGGGAGGATCTGGGAAATATCATCAAGCGTCATTACCTACGACTCCTCACAAAGCTTGGGCAAGAGGCTCATTCATTTACAGGCTTAGGACTGGGGGGCTGCTTGCCCAGGGGGGCTGCCATCAGGGCAAGAGAGGGTCGGGCAGGGGAGGGGGGGGCAGGTCCTAAGGGGTCCTGGGTGAGGGGTTCTGGGGAAGCCCCAGGGGGCAAGTGGGCCTGGGGAGCTAATATACCAGGAAACGACCCTCTCCCTCCATATCCTTGCCCCGAACTTCCCCGATGTGTAAACTGAAGGTCTTGGGCTTGGTGGCCAAGTTCCCTTTGGTTTCTCAGATTATCTACAGATAAAGATTGTCTAACTGAAATATAACTGAAATGTAATTTCTACATTTTCTAGAACCCAAATTTAAAAAGTAGAAACAGATAAAATTAAATTTAATGATAATTTAATGATATTCAACCCAATATATTGGAATTATAATTTCACAAGTTTTCAATAGAAACAAAATTATTTTAAAGAAATATTTTACAATCTTTGTGCAAAGTGTTCAAATTGCTGCATTTCCACCGACAGCATATCTGTATTCGGAAACTAATTTTTTAGCAAAATTATGTATAATTTCATCAAAGCAATGAAGGTGCGTTTAATAGGAAAAAGTACTTCACACTCCTTCCATTTTTAAGTTTAAGGTAATTGAATGAGCTGATGTACCTTCAGCCCGAGGTCACACCAGCACATCTCAAGGGCTCATGGTGGACTCTGGAATCTGAGATTTTCTCCGGGAGGCCCCTGGGCAACACAGGAGTTGCAGAAACTGAGACTCCCTGTTCTTTGAACCCAGCGGGCCCTCAAGGTGACCTGCACCCAGGGCCCACCTGGCTGAGGCTTTAGGAGAACCTGGGGGGCTTTTCTGCTCCGCCTGGAAACCCAGATCCCATCACTGCTACTGTCCGGAGCGTCTGCTGGTGCTGGACCCGGCCTTCCCGCCCATGTTCTTACTTTGTTTAATGTTCATGAAAGTCTTGACGCCCCTGCCGCCCCCCCATTTCACAGAGGTAGAAACTAAGACACAAGAAGGTAAAAGAGTAACGTAAGCTCAGCTGCTTTTCACTGCCCTGTTTCTTCAAGTATCCTTTATTTTTATTTTTTTCTTTTTAAAAAGATTTATTTATTTATGCATACAAGACCTGGGGTGTAGGCCAGAGGTGCTCGGGGGTGAGAGGATTCACCAGAGACAGAGTGGGGAGCAGAAGAGGCAGATCCACTGAAATACACTGCCGAGGGGAGCAGCAGGCAAGGCAGGAGAAGTCTGCTGTGCCATGGGGTCACCTCCCTGGCTGGGGATCGAACTCAGGCCTCAGTGGCTGGTGATAGCTTGATAGCTCTGTCTTTAACCCCTGCACCACCAGGGAGGCCCCTATCCTTTATTAATTAAAATTTTAAATGGACCAGAAGACTAACCCTTGATTGCTAACACCGGAGTGTTGAAAGGTACCATTCTGGAAAATGCGCCGGCCCCTCACTTCACCCTCCCATGTGGTGGATGAGGACACAGACTGGGGGTGGTAAAAGCATCTGTGGGCAGCCCCTGCTAGTGGCCAGGGAGGCGGGGGCTTACCACAGGTTACTGAGGACACGAGTGCTCAGCAGGTTGAGTGCCCAGCCCAGGTGAGAGCCTGGGCAGGACCCTGCCTATCCCGGGTGGTTTCCTTCTGGGGAATTCCCCACCTGGAGGCCATTCCTCAGAGTCCGGAAGTGGGCAGTGTGTCCCAGTCAGTTAACTTCCGAGGCCTTGGGAGCCTCAGAGAGAACACCAGGCCTCCTGGCCAAAGTGGCTGGGCTGAGAAGCCAGGTAGCGTGTGAGGGTCTGGTTTGCTCAGCGAGTTTGCCTAGAAGCAGGAGGGGACAGCCCCCCTCTGCAGCATCTGGGAGGGGCGCTGGAAGAGTGGCCAGCCAGGCTGATGGAGCCTCCTCCTTCCAGACCTGTCTCTTCCACCACCTCCCCAGCACATGCCCCTCCACTGTCCCCAGGGAGGGTCTGCCTGCCCCAGCCTGCAGCAATTGGTGTAGCCCTCCCCACCACCCCCCTCACCCTGTCAAAACCCCATCTCAGGTGCTGGGCTGTCCTCTGCCCCCATTCGTCCTCACGGTATCCTGTTTTGTCAACTGGTTGATCAGGAGACATGGTTTCTGTCTGTTTCCACCAGGCCTTGGTTACAACGAGGAGCAGATTCACAAGCTGGACAAGTGAGTAGCCCCTGCCCAGGCGAGTGAGCAGGAGGGGCGGTCACCAGAGCAGGTGGGAGACCCTAGTGCCCGGAGCTGGGGGGGAGGAGAGCGCAAGCAAGCGTCTCAGACAGGTTATCTAGGCCGGGAGCGTGACCATGGGGCTGAGTCAGGAGGTTTCTGGAAGCAGGAATGATGTAACTGGCTTTGCTCCTAGTGTGAACAAGATTATTTGCAGGATTCTTTCCCTAACTGTCCTCACTGATGCCACTTGCCACTTCCCACTCTGACCCCTGCCCCAGCTCCTCCTAGGGCTGCCCTCTGCTCCAGTCTCCTGGACACCCCAGACATCCTCCCTGATGTCACGCCTATTTGGAGACTCACCTGCACTCCTTAGCCCCCTGCACACACACCTCCATAACCATCCCTCCTCCCCTCCCTCTGGGGACTGACCTGAGCATGTGTGTTTGTGTGCACACGTGTGTGTGTGTGTGTGTGGTTCACTCTGCTCTCTGTCCGTCATGTGTGGCCTCCCCCTCCTGTGGGTCTGGGGCTGGGCGTTTGTGACAAGGTGGTAGAGAACCAATGTCTAGGCTTGCACCCCAGTGGTCCTGGCTGCTAATCTCTGTGCCTTGGTTTCCCTGTCTTCTCAGGGTGAATTTTAGTCACTTAGCCAAAAGGCTCCTGCAGGTGTTCCAGGAGGAGTGTGCGCAGAAGTACCAGGCGGCGCTGGCCACGCATGGCAAGCAGATGAGGTAGCAAGTGGCCCTGCCTCCTGGGCTCATGACCCGGCCTGACTGGGCCCTTCCAGCCTGCCAGTAGCCCTGGGCCCAGCAGAGCCCTGGGAGAGACTTGGTCATAAAGGAATGAAGGCAAAGGAGCAGGCGTTTTGTGCGCAGGGTGGAGGCAGTCCATGGGGCATCTCTGCGCATCCCTTGATTTAATCCCACAGTCTCCACCCCGTGTAGTAGATGCTTTCACCCCATTTCACTGCTGAGAAAACTGAGGCTCAGGGAACGTGTCTGTTCCACAGTACTCCACAGCTAGTAAGTCGCAGATCCAGGATGAGTCTAGGTAGGGCTGCCTCTAAGATCCGGATCCTCCCAGGGTCCCAGGTGCTTGTGTTAAGCCCCTCTCTGGGGAGAACACAGGGTATTTGGGCTTCTGTGTGGTCAGGAAGCAGGAGCAGCGAGGAGCCCTTAAGTGGAACCCTCTAAAACACTGTCCCCTACAGGAGTTTGGGGCTCTCCCTTTTCAGACCAGCCCCTCCTTCCTGTCTGCCGAATACCTGGGGCGGTGGCTCCACTCTTGAGGTGCTTGTGACCTGAAGGCTTGTCTTGAGGCTGAGACCCAACACCCACACTTCAACAACTCCCACTCCCTCCACTTAGAGAGAGAAGAGGTTTCATAAGAGTCTTGACCTTGGTTTGCTCTGGAAATGGGAGCAGGGGCAGTTCCATGCACGGTGCTCCACAGGGGGTTGAACCTGCTCTCGAGCTGATGGTAACCAGCTCAGGCGGCCCAGCCCCTACTGGTGCTTCTGCCCAGACTCTCTGCAAGCTCAGAAGCTTCAGGCAGAGTCCCCTGGGGTAGATGGGGGGAGGGGCACAGCAGGAAGGGTAGAGGCAGCTGGGAGGCAGGGCTCAGGCTTCTGTCACCTGGAGGGCTCCGGACTGGAAGGACCCGGGTGGGCCCAGGTGGGGCGCCTGAGCCTGACCCCTCTGTCTGCTCTCTCGAGCCTGGTGCACGAGATCAGGAACCACCTGCGCCTGGTCGGCTGCTCTGTGGCTGCCTGCACCACGGAAGCCCAGGGAGCCCAGGAGAGCCTCAGCAAGGTGGGGATCGATACGGGCCCCTTGGGTGGCAAGAGGCTCTGACCCTTCGCTCGGGCCACTTGCCTCTGGGAAGAACTGCTCTGGACCTGGTGCAGGCGCCTTGGTGCGCTTGGGCGGGGTGTCTCTGGCCACAAATGTGCCCCAAGACTAGGAAGCGCTTCCTGGTGATCTCAGGCTGAAGGTCCCCACTGGGCCTTCCTCATGGAGCCTCAGAGGCCCCGGCTGCTCCAGACAGAGGCAACTTGAGCTCCCCTTGGTCTGAGCAACTCTGTGAAGACCCCCATAGAGGCAGCTGCAAGGCCACAGCTTGGCTGGCAGGGAGGGACAGGCAGGCTGCTTCTGCTCCCAGGAGGGGCCCCGCCAGCCCCCCTCCCTCCGCAGCTCCCAACTTGCAACTTGTGCTGTCGGGAGAGGTGTGGGTCAGACACAGATGAGGAGGGTCTGGTCATTCAACCCAAGCCCAGATGATCCAGGGAGACATGCCCACTACACCCCCAGGCAGGGAGGAGGGCTGTGCCTTCAGGGACGAGGCTGGGGCCCTTCTTCAGCACCCCAGCCTCCCTCATCCTCTGACTAAGGCGGGCTTCACTTCAGATCCTGGACCTGCTGTCTCACGGGCTCCTTCAGGACAGAGCAAAGGATGCTCAGGCCTCACCACCCCCTGCAGCAGCTGATCCTGGCCCGGAAGCAGACGACCTGATCCTGCAGTGAGCACCAGGGAGAGGGTGGAGGGTCTGAGGTGTGGGTTGGGGGGGCTTGGTGAGAGATGACTAGAGCTGAGGTTAGGGCCTAGTGGGTTTGCCCATGCCAGGCCTGGAGGGCAGCAATAGGGGCTTCATGGGTGGGGTGTAGAGGAGGGGAGCCATCTGGGGAAGGGTTCGGTGGAGTGATTGGGCCTTAGCCCCAGGCATCTCTCTGCCTCTGCCCTGGACAGCATGCAGGAGCTCTGCGAGGGGATGAAGGTGCTTGCCTTTGACCTCCAGGATAACAACCGCATCATCGAAAGGTAAGGGGCTCTGCTATGAGCCAAGGGCTGGGTCTCACGCTGCCCCTGCCTCGGTGTGTAGCTTCTGTTGCTGTCGGTGCTGAGCTGCCAAGCTCACCACACACAGACTTTCGCGTGGCCTTGGGGAGGCACACAGTGGGTCAGACACTGCAGGGAGGCCCCAGTGCAGAGTTTGCGTTAACTGCCTGAGGCAGTGTACCCGGGCTACCCACTGCAAGCCCCTTCACTGCAGGTTAAGTAGGGTTCCACTGGCTCCAGATGCTGAGCCCTGTGGATTGCCCAGTGGGTGGCCCTGCCTGTGGCTCATCACCCAACCAGATTCCCTCCCCATGGGTGTGGGGGGCACTGGAGAGGGAGCTGGCAGAGTACAGGAGGCCTAGACTTTGGGATTTCATTACCAGTGAAATCCACAAGATTGGAGAGGAGCAGCAGGGCCTCTCACGTTGCCAAGGGCGCATATCTGAAAGGGAGTGGACAACCAGCGAGCAGCCCCACTCTGTAAAGCAACATAGTCTCAGAATAAGGGGCGGCCCTTGCCTACAAGGTCAGTGGGCCTGCGTAGGCCCACGCAGGCCCACATATGGAGCGTGGACCTCCCGCCTCTTTCCCGGCAGCCCTATGCCTGTGACCACCCCATTTGGGAACCGGTGGCACAGTAGGAAGAGTTGGCAGAGTCCAATTCTGATTCCTGCCTTTGCCCCTCACAACCACATGGCCCTGGGAGATTTGTTCAGCCCCAAGTTCTGTCCCGCCCCTGTAAAGGAGGAGTCATGAGGAATAATGATTCCTGCCTCGTGGTGGTGACCTGGGACTGAAAAGGATGAGGTTTGCAGTGTGCAGAGGAGGGAGGCCATGTGAGAGGGAAGGGCTCCCCAAGTGTTGCTGCTCCCCAGAGGTCACCAGCCTGGGTCACTGTCTGCCTCCCTCCCTGCCTCTGCCCTTCCCGATGCGCTCTGGTTGCCACACTGGGGCAGGGGGTAAGGAAGCCAGGAGCAGGGCTCGTAGTTTGTCCCCAGAGCCCCAGAGGTCTTTGAGTTGAGGGGTCATCTTTGCCACATCTCCTTCCAGCAAGGGGAGAACCAGCCTCTGAAACGCTTGCACAGAGGAGATTTGACGGCTCTGTGGAAAGACTTTCCAAAACAGCCCTCGTGGGCAGGAAATTCTAATTTTAGTGCTGACATAAATTTTCCTTGCTGTGAACTACAGGCTATTTACAAATAGCTCGAAACTTCATTTTAGTGATTTTTCACTTCCTTATTCAGAGCTAGAGCCAAAGAGCCAGAAAACCAACTTGAATTCCTTCCCCCTCCTGTCCTGTGGCTGCACTTCCATTCACAGGGGAGTTTCCATTCACAGGAGGAATTGCCTCAGAGTTGCTGGGTGTCTGGGGCGGGAGGTGGGGGGGTGTCGGTGTAACCTCCCAGGTGACTCTGATGCGTAATCAGGGGTGAGGTACAGAGAGTTCTTGTCGAGAGAAAGGGATGCTGTTGGCAAAGAGCAGAGGACTTGAGGACGCCGAGCTCCTGGAGCGGGTGGCATGAGGTGCTGGGGTGTGGCCTGCAGGCTCTGTCTGAAGAGGTGACAGTAACCTGCCCCTTCACTGCAGGTTAAGCAGGGCTCCGCTGGCTCCAGACGCCTGAGCCCCTTGGGTTGCAGGAGGCAGCCTGAAGCATTAGAGTTGTGCAAACACTCCTCTCCTGCCAACATGCTGGCCAGCATGAGGCATCATCTGCACCCATCTCTACCTCCATCCTGGCCATCAGCTGGGAGACGTCAGCATTAACTTCCACTGCCTTTCTGTGCGAGCGGCACCGCAGCACGGGGTGCCCAGGCTATCCCTGTCGGACACCTGCCTGCGCTTGGCAGAGCTCTTCGGTGGCCCTGGCCTGTCCAGATGAACCTGGCCGGGCAGCGGGGCAAGATCTCTCCTGGGCCCTCCCAGCCGCCCTTCCAGTTTACTGGACTCCACTTCTCAAGGACAGAAGAGAAGCCACCTGAAGTTTCCCTAGGGTGCTGGGTCAAAGGCCCCAAGGCGTTTCCCCTAGAACACACGCCCCTCTCTCCTGAGACTTCGGAGGGTCGGGCACTCAGCCCCAGCATCACAGAGCCGAAAGTTCCTTCTGCTCTGGGTCTGGGTGAGGGTGGGGTGGAGGCCAGCAGCCGGTGCCTTGGGGACATGTCCCCTCCTCTCTCCAGGGCACCACTGGGTTCTGGATACACAGCCTGCTCTGGGAAGTCTAGCGCTCTGAGGAAATAAAGGCCTGTGCCTTCAAGAAATGAACGTGGCCTTCTTTTCTGTTTCAGAGTGGCTCTCGTTGGGCTGTCTATGGGGCAGGGAAGCTCTGGGCCACGGGATGGGGTCTGTGAGCCAAAGGATCCAGAAGGGGAGGCAGGACTGGCCACCTCCTGACTCCTGTTCCCTGAAGATGCCCGAGGAAGCCTCCCACTGAGGGGCCTCCTTCCCCTTTCCCTCTCTCCTGCCCCATCATTTGGGGAGCTGAATTGGGCCTGGAGTTGTGACGTCAAATCCACCATCTAATACTACTCCTTTCCCACGTTCCCTGCCACTGTCCCAAACCCAGGCTGTGTCTTCAACGCTGTCTGAGCACACCTGGGTTTGCTGTGAGCATTCCTTGTTGTCTCGGGGTAGAAAGGTGCCCAGGTAAGGGGTTCAGGTTTGTGCAAACTTGGTCTTTCTACTGCAATACCCCGTCTTTCTCTTAACCAGAGCTGAACGAACCACCAACCCAGGGTGGGGGGACAGATGCAGCAAAGCAGTCCCCATAGTGGATGGAGCGAGTGAGAAGCCCTACTTTGTGCTTTGAAGTGTGAAGGCACCATTATGCCTGGCACCAAATAGCCCCAGAAATCCTTCCTTCCCACCTTCCTGGGCTTCCATGTCCCTAGGCTCTTCTGCCTGACAACCCAGCAGGGCAGAAGCAGGAAAGGAGGGTCCTGGAATCTGAACCCTCCAGGCAGCTTCTTTTTGGGAGACTCTCGGAAGACCCAGGGGAGGGGAGCTGGGGGCTGCTGTGTCAGTGCCATTTGGAGCTCATGCCCATGAGACCTCTTAAGCCCTGAGGGTTCAGGTTCGGGGACCCAAGGAGCCAGCTGTTGTCTGGACACCCCAAGGCCCTGGACCACCAGGGGTCTGTTCTGCTTGTGTGAAGTCAGCCCCCGGCTCTTCCGTGGCGCTGCAGAGAAGTCCCACGAAGGGTTTTCCTGGCAGCTCTGGCTGCATCTGGATCCCACACACTTGGTGGTTCTCAGCAAAATAGCCAGGGGATCCCTGAAAGCCACGTGCAGATCTGGGGGGATGGTATTATCCGAGTCCTATGATCTCATAAGCAAAGCCCAGTGGGAAGCGTGCAGAGGCAGCACCACCGACGTGGGCACCTCCCTCACAAGTCCTGCTTTTTCTGACCCGCCTTAGTGGGAATAAGAGATGCGGCTGGAAGAGCCTCAGGTGCTCAGGTGTCTGCAGATCTTTTCAAAGTCCCCTCTCCATTCTCTGCGCTGATTCCCAGCCTAACACTCAAATGGGAGAACTGAGCACCTGGGGTGTGCCAAGCCCAAACCAGGGCAGGGGACACCATGGGTCAGATGCCTGCCTGCCCCTGGGGACTCACTTCAACCTTAGGGAAGGCATCTCATGGCCCAGGGGAGGCTGGTAGGAAGGCCCAGCCTATGTGCAGCCACTCTGTGTCATCACAGGAGGGTGCCTGGGGCAGCCTGGGAGGGTGTCAGGGAAGGACTGGGGAGCAGGTGACTCCACAGCGTAGTCTCCGCAGTGAGCAGTTACCTAGCAGAGCAGGCGTGGCAGGAATCCCGGCAATGGGAGAGCGCCGGCCTAGGCACAGCGGGAACCATGGGCACGAGAGGAGACTCCTGACTTTAACCCCAGGGAAGCAGGTTTTACATGAAGTGCAACTGGTGTTTTTTTTTTTTTTTTAAGATTTATTGATTTATGCATACAATACAATGGGGAACAAGCCAGAGGTGCAGGGGGTGAGAGGATTCACCAGAGACAGAGTGGGGAGCAGAACAGGCAGACTGACTGAAATACACTGCTGAGAGGAGCAGCGGGCGAGACAGGAGAGGTCTGCTGCTCCATGTGGGTAGCTCCCTGGCCAGCCGGGAATTGAACCCGCACTGCAGAGGCTGCAGACAGCTTCACAGTGCTGTGCTTAGCCCCCTGTTCCACCAGGGAGGCCCACAACTGGTGTTTTTTGTTTGTTTGTTTGTTTTTAATCTTTTTTTTCAAGATTTATTTTTTATTTTACAATAGCTGGGGTATAGGCCAGAGGCACGGCAGGGTGAGAGGATTCTCCAGAGACAGAGTGGGGAGCAGAACAGGCAGAAGGACTGAAATACACTGCTGAGGGGAGCAGCAGGCGCGACAGGAGAGGTCTGCCGCACATGTGGGAATCTCCCTGGCTGGCCAGGAATTGAACCCGCACTGCAGAGGCTGCGGACAGCTTCATAGCACTGCGCTCAACCTGCTGCGCCACTGGAAGACCCCACAACTGGTGTTTTAAAGATTTTACCATGGTGGCTGAGTAGAGGTGGATTGAAAATACTGTGCCTTGGTTTCCTCCCTTGTAAAATGTAAAAAAACCCTAAGTTATGGGCAGGAATAGAATGGATATTTCCGTAAAGTGCCTGGAACATAGCGTGAGTTCTTGGCACGCCTCCCACCATCCCCCACCGACCCCCCCACCACCCCCGTTGTGAGGCCATGGCCAACCTGGGTGGGGATGCAGGGCTGTCAGCCGCACAAATTGGCACCCATATCTGGGGCGCATCAGCAGTCAGCTTCCCAGCAAGCACCCCAGAAAGCAGGGCCCTACAGGTGGATGCAGGGGCACGCCTACTCCTCAGGCAGTAACGCAGCCAGGGCTGGAGGGCCAGCTGCCGTTCCCCCGATGCTGCGGGACTGGCCTCTGCACCCCTCAGAAGCTATGAGCTCTTTCTAGGCTGCCGTCCTGGCTCAGGACACAGATTCTGGGACCCCACCCACCTCCTGAATCTTACTGGCTAGGGTGTGGCTCAGTCACTGGGTGCTGGCGAGCCTCCCTGGTGATTCTTGCCCAGGGTGAGTGCGCCCAGGCCGCGTGCCACACGCTGCAAAGGGCATGAGCCGGGAGGCCACTGGCAGAGGGCGGTGCACTGGACTAGGCACATCCCCCCGACAGCCGCGGCCAGGATAGCCAGCCCAAGGGACAGGCTTAGCGGCTTAATGTCCAGACTGCTCAGGCCACCTGGTCAAGGGCGGGATCCCTGGCGGCTCTCCCTCCATCTCCCAAAGCGCCTTATGCAGGAGAGCCCGTGGGAGGTGGCGACCCAGGATAACCTGAAGTGGAAGCGTGGAATCACAGCAGCCCCTTGAGCAGGGTCCATTCCCTGACAGGAGAGAGATGAAATGAGATGACTCAGAAAAGGAGAGAGAGGGAGGGGAGATGCAGGCAGGGGAGAGAGAGGGAGAGGGGAAGGAGGTGGAAGTGAGGGGAACAAGACAGACACCCCAAAGAGACAGGTGTGTGGTGGGCTGGGATGGCCTCGGATGTCACCTAGGCCTCCCTGGTCTGTCACAACCCCAGCCCATGTCCTGCCACAGCGATGGGCCCAGACCAGCTTAGAACAGGAATGTTAAGTGGCTATGACTTGGAGCCTCCCCTCTGACTGAGGGGGAAACCTGCTGACAAATCTTTTTTTTTTTTTTTAAGATTTATTTATTTATGCATACAAGAGCTGGGGTACTGGCCAGAGATGCCGGGTGCGGGGCTGGGGGGGGGGCGGGGGGAGGGTTGGTGGTGGTGAGAGGATTCACCAGAGAGAGTGGGGCACAGAACAGGCAGACTGACTGAAGAACACTGCTGAGGGGAGCAGCGGGTGAGTCAGGAGAGGTCTGCCGCGCCATGTGGGTTGCTCCCTGGCTGGCCGGGGATCAAACTCGTGCTGCAGAGGCTGCGGATTGCTTCATAGTGTGTTGCACCACCTCCCTTGCACCACCAGGGAGGCCCCAAGCTGCTGACAAATCTGCCTGGAATATCTGAGTTTTTCCAACCCAGAAAGAAGAAACTCATACAAGCCAACTTTATCATAAGCCTGGCAGAGTGGCTCGGGGAGGAGAAATTCTGTAATTCAGATGCGACAGGGGAGGCATCTCTTAACTGCCGAAAACAGCCCTACCTGCCCCATCCCGAGCCCTCCTGTCCCTACCTCAATCCTACCCTGATTTGCCCTTCTTTTTTTTTTTTTGGAGAATATGAAACCCATTTTATTTCTAACTGCACACACTCAGGATAAGAACAATACCTGACAGAAGACAGGGCATTTAATCTGAGGAAACGTTGTCTACGAACGGAATGGACCATGTAGCTGTTAGAAGGAAAATATACATTTTATATGAGTTTATACATATTCACATATATACTATTCTACTATATATTTCGGAGCTACTTTTTTAAAATATATTTATTACATCATCCTTCATTTTTGTACAATGTATACTGTCTCCACTTGGTTATAGTCCCCATGAAATCCCCACCACCAATTCACCTGTGCACCGTCACCCTGGTCCCTTGTGCTCTTCCCGCCACTGTCCTGACCCCTCCCCCTCCTCCTCCCCTGCAGGATGTCTCTGCTCTATGGTTGCCTGTTGATTTTGATGTTTAATTTATTATAGTTATTTTTCCCCTTATTTGATTCCTCTACATTCCTCCTATAAGTGAAACCATCGATATTTTTCTTTTTCTTTCTGGCTTATTTCACTGAGCATGATCCCTTCCAGCTCCATCCAGGTTGCTGTGTGATTCGCGCTTCATGTCCCCACCGCTGTCCAGCACTAGCTGCTTCCCCTGGGAGACTGGAGTTTGGTGACACACAGAAAGCCCACGCCCAAGAAGCCAGGCTGGCACTTTGCCCGCTCTCATCCCTAGACCAGCACCTGGAGGCCGGACAACTACCCAGAATCAGCAACTTTGGAGGGTGGTGTCCTCCCATCACCGACCCCACTTCCAGCCAGCCCCATTAGGTCTTTGGGTGCCTGTTAGCTTCCCTAGACCAGACAATTCCTCCGGCTGTCCCCTCCTGCCACAGCTGGAGGGATGTTAAGAGGAAGGTCCTGGAGTGTAGGTTGGGAGCCGCTGCTGAGTTCCTCTCATTAAACATTGATGAGCTCCTCCTACTTACCCTATGCGGGTGGGTAGAAAGGCCAGCAAGACCTCAGTGAGGGAGCAGAGACGCAAAAGCTCAGCTGTGGGACA